TTGTTTAATTTACCCCTAAGGACTACTTGAAAAGACAACATTATATTTTACTTTGTAGGTAATTATGGTGACGTAATCCGTGTAAAGATTCTGTTTAACAAGAAGGACACAGCTCTAATCCAGTTTAACGATCCTCAACAAGCCCAGACAGGTAATGATAGTGTTTTGAGACTAAATGCGTTGTGATTAATGGCATCAAACTAAAACCATAGTAAACGAGAAGTGAAAACATTTGAAGGAACTGATGGGAATTCAAAGTAAAACCAAACAAACAGTGGCAAGGGGGGGGTTAGACTCTAGTGACCAAGTGCTGCTTGGTCTTCAACGTAGTTTTGCATTGGATTTGTTGAGAAGGCGGTAGGAGTCTTTTATACCAAATATAATGTGAAGTTCAGTGAAATCTTTTGTTATCCTAAATTAGTTTTGGTGGTGGTTTGAAAATGCTTTTCTCGTTGTCCATTCCAGCAATCAGAAATCTGAGTGGAGTCTCTATGTATGGAAAAGAAATCAAAGTGACTTTGTCAAAACACACCTATGTTTCCATGCCTAAGGATGGAGATGTAAGACAGCCTTTTTTATCATTTTCTTTAATCCTTTAACTCCCATTAGTTACTAGGAACAATATTTCTCATTAAGGTATTTCTCATTACAATATCAGTAGAATACCAAGCAGGCAAGTGATGAAAATAAAGAAAAGTATTGAGTAGGGGATTATTAGTTAATTCAATACCAAATTTATATCATGAGAATTGCATGGAAGACAGTCAGGAGAATAACTAATGGGAGTGAAATGGTTTAGCTGCTTTAAAGTTATGTGGGTGTCATTGTTACAAAATTTAGGTTCTTTCAGGACAATCTTACAGCTGTACTTAAATTGAAGGAGATGGACCAATAATTTTCTTTCTATTATGGTAATCAATATCAGGTTTCCCTAATGAATTCACAGATTATATTTGAAAGTATTTTAGAAGATGTTGTTTTTTGCATTTTTAGGAAAATAATCTAACAAAAGATTTCACCAATTCACCCTTACATCGCTTCAAGAAACCAGGATCCAAAAACTTCCAGAACATTTTCCCTCCTATCAGAACACTTCATGTATCAAATATACCGTAAGTAAATGTTTGCATGCTATGCAACTGCTGAGTACCTGGCACACTTTCCTCTCTTCTCTATTTACAGAATTAGTTTGTGGAAACAAAAGTAGTCAGCATAGGAATTTAACAATTTTGAGAATAACTTTTTTGTTACGATCTTCACCTCAGTGACACAGCTACAGAAGAAGAATTAATAGATGCTTTCTCTGTTTCTGGAACAGTAACAGAATTCCGCTTCTTTGCGTAAGTGATAAAATATGTGTAATGGTGGAATTTATACATATGTATGTGCATGTGTCATAAGTTCTGTGACTTCATTTTCATGGCAAGATGCTGCTTAGTTTGTGTAATGTTTTGCTGAGTTGTAATTAGTGGCACTTTATTTTTCTTTTTTTGCTCTTCAGGAAAGACCGAAAAATGGCCCTGGTGACTATGACAACAATAGAAGAGGCAATTGATGCTCTTATTGTAAGTTTTATTTAGCACTCTGATTTTTTTCATTTCAGATGTTTGAATTTTACATACATTGTTTCCACCTATTTGTTTGGAATGTTTTTCTTTGGTTTGTGTTGTGTATCATAATCCACTCTTCAATAAAAATTCAGGGGTTTCAATAACGGCTGGTTACAAGCACTCTACTGCCTCCTGCAAGACCTCATGCTGCAGTTTGTTTAGCTTGTGAGCAAGCTCTTTTGTTTGGGCTTTTCCTTACAGCCCTTTCTTGGGCACAGCTGCCTATTACACCATCTGCAACTGCTCATAAATAGAAAAAGTTATTGAAACCCCTGCAATGGCTGTATATCCTTCAACCCCTGAGGGTGACTAGCATCTAATTTCCCTTTAGAAAATCACCTCTCAATGAAACATTAAGGTCATGAGAATAAGATAAATGACCACCAGATTAAGAAGCTCTTGATTTTTTAACAAATTCTCCTTGTCAGCACCTTTGGAAATGTACAGAGAACAGTATGGAGAATATGCATACTGATGTTAGGGTGTAAATGGTTGATTTTTATATTATGTATTGTATTGAAAAGTACATTATAGAACTGTTTAGTTGTTCCTTCTTGTAGATTTACTAATTTTCCTCTTTTTCTCTCCCCATCCAACAGAAAATGCACAACTACAAAATCACAGAATCTAATCACCTCAGAGTATCTTTTGCTAAAACAAGATCATCTAACTGAGCATCTGAATCTAACCTGTGATCACACATTCTTTTTTTGGTGGGAACTCAAATTTTGGCAGTGCAAAAAAAGCTTGTCAGATTACAGGTTGCTCCATATCATGCCTAAGTCATCCAAACTCAAGTCAGTTGACCTTTATGTACATGCAGCTGTACGTGCACACGTTCCAATGCAATTAACATTTTAAAAGTAACATATTGCCTTATCAAAGTGAAGGATTCCTTTTTTGAAATTTTCGTTCTCTAGTATGAAAACATCAAAATTTCCTACATTTTAGGATCTGTTTCATTAGCATTGTAGATAAACCATCACTTAAATAGGGAAATTCAAAATATTGGAATTATATACTTGGGAATTTTCTGTTTTCTTTTTTCATTTTGATTTATGCTTTGCTTTTTTCTGGATTTGACGCACAAATTACTTGATTTTTGTTAGGTGAAAAGGATTAAAGGCAAGGGTGGCCTATGTATTTTAAAAATTTGAAATATGTGCTTTGGGTGCTAGACATCTTATTGCCTCTACATCTACTGTTCTTGTTAGATTTAATTTAATATTTGTTGATCCTTGTATTCAGATCTCCTAAGGGTTTTTTTTCAGTTCATCTATTTTACTTTAATAGCTGATCTTTCTTGGAAATTAATGGGTTTAAAAAGTTCTTCTCAAAGTTAATGAATCATCTCTTTGATTTGTGGTTTTTAAGTAAGTTAATAATTAAAACCAATAGGTTTTCTTCTATTACTTTGGAAGTAAATTCAAATTGGGGTTTTATTTGTTGTCACATCTGGTTTGACAATTTGAATTGACCAAAGGTTTTGCCCTTCAATATGGTTACAGATTTGATTGATTTGTTGAAAAAATAAGGTTGATCAATCAGTTTTATTTGTAAAACTTACAGGGGTGCTAGATTCATGTATATTCAATTTCTCACTTCAGCTCTTAAGGAGGGTTCTTAAAATTCAATTTGTAATGTTTAACACTTTTTTTCCTCTGATTCATAGGGATTTGTTGTGATTCTTTGTTGGTATGGGGGGAAGGGTCTTGTTAAGATAGCTTTAGACATGTTATTCTTGTTCCTGTTTGTAGCAGCTTGTAAAATGAGAGAGATTGAGAAAAATAAAAATTAATTTCTTACTTTGGTTTTCTTTTGTGTGTGTCAGTATTTCTTTATTCGTTTATTGGATATAATTGTGTTTAGGAGAGAAAAAAAGACTGTGTCTTTGCTAACCTTTCCCCAGAGGAAGGTAAGCACAGCTTGGTGGAGCTAAACGGATGGGGAGAGGGGTGGGGAGTGGGAAGAGAAAATTTGACATTGTTTCTGAAATGAGGTCGGGCACGGCTACGAAGTGTTGCGGATTTATTGTAATACTCACACCAGAATGCGACAATCGAGGAAAGAAGTGAATAAACAAAGAAGAGTTCGCACTCGCTGCAAGATATTCAATTTGTCTGGACTAACCTCACAGATAGTTTTTGTCCTCATGAGATCAAACAACGATTACGAAGGAGACTCGCGAACTCCCATACTTCGGAACACGGAGTTGTTTTTCCTTAGGGTGTGGTGGTAGAGGAGACCTTGTGCATCTTTGCTCACTGGATCCAGTCTCCACCGTGGTTGGATTGCCACGATTTCTTAAAACATGGCGCCTGGCGATTACTGTTTTCAAGTCCAGTGAAAAACTTCACACTTCCTGACCACCTTCAGGTATTATGTTACGATTACTATGCTATTGTGTGAGTTCCTTTCCCGGGTCTGAAATTTGCAGTGCAGTTGTAATTGATCTGTGGCATTTATCGCCCTGGGAATTTCTGAGAAGTCGTGAAAGCTAACAATAGTGTCTTTTGATGAACGAGTTCATGAAATGCAAACTAACTAATCGTCATTTAAATTTCTGAGGTAACCGGTGAATTAATTCGTTAGAAAGACGCGAATATTTTGATCAGGAGTAACATGATACCCTTGTTACCATCATCATTATGTCTATAATAGCTGCTAACAGCTTTTGTAAATAGCGAATGACTGGTTAGATCTGAAGGGTTTTTAAATTATTTGAAGTCATAGATATATTTAGTTTTCAAATCCGTTAGAAGTAGATGGTTATCATCATTAAGTAGCGCCTTCGATCATTATTGGAGTCTAGCAAAGTTGATCCGCAGAAACTTCCTACCATATTGATGAAAACATCTCGCACTAGCATTGTTTTATGATAGCAATACGTTATTTCAGTTAGTATAGTGTCATCTGAGAGTGGAAATATTTCTTATCAGTAAAAGGAAAGTAGAACTACTCTGGCCCTCCAATATCCCTTCAAACCAATTTCTCTCCAGTTATTTAATGAGAACTAATTTCAATTTTTTATAGAGCACGTACGGAAGGACTCCATGACGTGAACATCTAGACATAAACTGAAGAGTTGCTTTTTTAAGTAAATGGTATGCTGACTTTGTTTTATTTTATTGTAAAAATTTCATGCCGCGGTCTGAGGCGTTGGGAATGGTTAATGCCGCTTTCAGCGTCGAGTAAACAGGCCGGACTCCTCTGTTGACGGGAAAGAAGAACCCACTAAAATTTCCCTTGCTCTCAACATGAGGCTTTGTAGCTCAGCTCAGTTGGTAGTAACGCCCAACTATAGTATCTGGGAGGGTAAGGGGGGGAGGGGGGGTTCGAAGTTGGAATTTTGATAGGCTTCTTTTCTGAAATTGCCTAAATTGTAGTTTACCCTTCAAGGATCATATATTGACTTGAATTTCATCCGAGGTAAATTTTTGATTATTTAATTCAAATTGTGGAGTTATAAATCGAGGGAAGCTGGGTCTGTAAACAGAAACAGACGCAGTCATAGAGGCTACTTGCTATTCGTGGAAAAGAAATCACAACAGCCCACCAGAACAAAGGAAAATCTCATAAGGAGCCAATGAAATCTCAAGGTAAAAATGGGCCTACTGTCTGAAGGGCGGGAAAACGCGAGAAACCTAGTCTCGATTGGTTCAAGTTTTGCATCTGATTGGTTGAGAGGGTGGCATGAGTTTTCTAGACCAATCACAGCAGAGTTAGTGCAATCTCGAGTAACTTGCGACACTCCATTACAAATTGCTCTTACGAACATAATACGTGATTAACACCTCTTCCAAGCCTAGCAGAACGCGATGTTAATGGTATGCACTACATCTGAGTTTCCTCCTCTAGTTTATTGTTAAATGAATCCGTTTTAGAAGGACGATTTTGGTTATGTGACACAAGACGGAGTCATTCGGCGGTCAGATCGATGCAGTTTCTCTTCTTTATGCTAATCTTTTTCTGCTGCTGATCTCATTGTGTACCACGCCACATTCCTTCACCGGGTGTCCATCGTGGGTTTGTTATACACGGTCTCAAATCAAACTGATACATTCCAGCAACTTTAGAGATGTTAAACACATTAGGAAAATGGCACGTCTCCGTTATACGAGTTAATTTTGGAAGTTTTAAAATACGACGCCTATCAGCGCTGTTGCGCCCAAACTTTTTTATCATTTCTGGCGAGCTTCCGTGCACTCCAAGGAAATTGTCACAAACCTGTGGTAAATTATTGAATTTGTCTAGTTTTCTTGCTGGCGGGTAGTGGTGAAGCCTTCCATCGTGAAATTCTATCAAGCTCTTCTTACTGCCATACAAAGTACTGAGCCAAACTGCAATTTGTTGATCGCTATGTGGATGGCATAAAATGGTTTGTGGATCTTGAGAGAGGAACTGCTCTATAACGTCCGAAGAAAATATTATCCACGCTTCATCGACATAAATGATGTCTTTAAATGAGCAGTGATATGAACCCCAAACTAGTGATTTTTTCGGTCTGTGGTACAACTCCGATTTAAGTTTTTCCAAGCATAAAAAGTAGTCGTCATCCATGTGTAACATAAATTTGAATTCATATTTTGCTTTCGCCCACATTATCTGGTACAAGAAGCGTATTCCAAAAATTCTTGTTTCTTCAAATGGCATAAACTCGATATCCCTGTGAATCTTCTGCTCCGCGGAGAGATTTTTCTGTAGCTCTTTAGTCAACTGGAGACCATCGGTGAAGAACTTGCACATGACCTGAAAAGCAAACAAAAGCACAGAAAGGAAGGAGGAAAAGGAATAATGATAAATACAAAGCTGAGTATGGCCTCATCTGCGATTTCCCTTCCCTTTCGACCATTACTACTTCCTGCGCTCTTGACCCCTTTGGTCAGCGTTTCGATTTACGACGCTTGTCAAAGGAACCGCGGACGCTGGAAGCGATAACTATGGAATCTCAACGCGTAACAAATCGATGATCTATTATGCGCAAACCTTGATCTAGTGCAGCAAAGTCATGCCACTGTTTACCGGCACGCTGTTGTTACCTTCAGTGAGTAGCGTCTCAAAGAGAGAGACAGTCCCATAGGTCACTTCATGCAAATAAGGCCGTGATATGCTGAAATCATCTAAGCATGCTCACGAATAACTTGGGTATCGCGAAGACTTAACCTGCTTTTGTGTTTCTCTGGCTAAGTGTACTGAATTCTCCTTCCAACTGAAAGGAGATAATTTTTTTGCATGGCCTTTTAGAACTCACCTCAGCTCCATCGCAGTTTTTCCACCACGTTGCTCTGATTGCTTCTCTTCTGTCAAATCTCGAAGGAGCCGTGGTAACAATCAACAATAACAGAACAGAGACTTTGTTATCGACTTCTTGCAAACTGCTCATATTCAACATGGAATGCGCCACTGATGGCCATTTATCTCCAAGGGCAGAGGTTTGCCTTTGTTCATTCAACACTTTGCCTTTTGACGCGTTGTAAAACATGTCGATGAGGGGTTGTAATCGATTGTAACCTCTGGTCGTTCGTGGTATAGTATGTTTCAGGCTGGTCGATGCATAGGCTAGTCGTGGCCAAGAGTTATAGTCTATGACGGAAAAGCTTACTATCAGGAGAATTGCAAATGTGAAAATAAATCCTGCGATGATCCGAGAACGGGACCACGGATTGTTAACTGAGAACATTCTGTATTGTGTTGCGGTCATGGTTCTGAGCACCAAGCGCCAACACTTACCTGAAACAAATGATGAGAAACCTTCAATTGGTATAAAGTGTATTAAGAGATATGGGCCCAGTTATTCGAAAGCCGATTAGCACTAACCCAGGGTTAAGAGTTAATCTGGGTTTCTGTATTTCTTTCTTCACAAGCCTTTTTCAGATAATTTCCTCTATTCTTTTTAGAGCATCCAAGCATCAAGTTGTAGACAAAAAGAATATTCTTTGAAAGCTTTCCTAGGTTATCTTAAGTTAGATTTGAACAACCCAGCCATGATTTGCTACGTGATTCGTGTATAACTGAAAATAGGGGGAGGGGAGGGGGCTGAAACGAGCATCCCCTTCATTGGATAATCACCATATGCGTCAGAAATCGAGAGAAGCCCCGGCAGATTGAGACACTCGGGTCTTGTTTTATCGGCAGAGAAAATTGAAAACTCATTAAAAGTGCTAGAAAGCACGTAACATACAGCCTTAGGTTTTGATTCTTTCAAAGCTGTCAAAGAGAGTGTTCTGATGGCAAGTTCAAACACTGTCCTGAGATACATCCTTTCCGCTGAATACAGCGACATCGATCGGTTACCAAACCTCTCCGCACGAGTCATGTTCGGAGCACGAAGATCCATACGAGGCACGAAGTATCACGAGTGAAAAGAAGTGTGCTAGGCCGACATTACTTAATTTAAGCGGTTTTCATCTCGAAAGACGTGATCCTATATTTATCGATTGTCAATCAACCAGAACGACTCACGCTACAACTGTAACAGTAGTTTTAATGGGAATACAGTTAACTAAAACTCCTCTGCTTTCTGAGCGATTAGGTTTTTTCTGATTCTCTTTTCCCTCTTTTTGGTTCGCTGTATTAAATACCATTTACACTGTTACAGTCATCAAGGTAATCAGGCCTATGACACGCTAAAGAACATAACAGCTAACCAAATATTGCATATTTAGAGAAAGATTTTTCTTCGTCTGGTCACGAACGTGGGACAAAGAAAAAATTCTGAGTTCCTATGAGGAACCGAACCCAAACCTTCAGATTCCACGCTACGATGCTCTACCACTGAGCCACAGAGACTTTATGGTGAGCAAAGTGCATTACGAAGTTCATATTAAAACTTAATACTTCCATTATTCATCTTCTATTTACAAACTATCGCATATTTGTTCACTATTTCTACATCGCCGATTCATCACCTGAGTACCAGCGTACCTACAGTTCTCTCTGACCTTGAAAATATAATCTTTTATATCAAATTGTAGTTTAAATGATCGAAGTAATTTGAAATTTTAAAAGCTTAGTCTGACGCTATTTAATCGGTTGAACAGAAGAAAACTCTTTCATTTGACCCTAAATTCGGACTGCCATCTTAATCAGTGTTATTACTCTCAATCTTTGATGAAACTATAAGGATAAAAGAGTGAAAATGATAAATGACATACGTACCCAAAATGCACGAAATGAAAGCTTATCTTGTTCAGCATTTTTCAAATCAACGGCCTCAGGTACTATGACTGTGCACGAGAGCGAAAGTTCGTTCGGCTTGAAATAAATGTTGACCTTCTGCCAGAGCCAATATTCCTTGAGGCATGATGTGTTATTGTGATATATTATCATACACTTGTGTCCGGTCCTGAGGGGAACAGTTTCTTTCTAGACATAGTTTGATGCTACTCTAGTTGAAAGATTTAATGAATGTAACCGAGAAGTCAGAGGTGATCTAATCGCCGTTTTCCTGAGAGTCTCAACGTTTCCCTCGACTTTTTCGAGACTCGAGTGGAAAATAAAACTGTTTCCCGAGGGACCAGACCGTAAGTGCTTTGTTATAATTGCAAAGGACAAGCTTAGTAAATAGGCAAAAAACGAGCTTCTATAATAGTATAATAAGAGATTGCAAAGTTCAACTTTTTGTGTGATCCATTCGTCTCTCTGCAATCGGAAAAGAACTCAACATATGGGTAAGACAAAAGCGAACCTGATGATCGCCTTTGTAAAGTCCTAACAGGAAATGTATCAGCAAGTTTGACTGTCTGATCTACGGAATGTTTGTTGTTCGGGACACCAAGCCTTCGCTGAACACCCAAACTGTCACGATTCGCGCCAAACTCTTCACCTGACACTTAATTGTTATTTGTTCTTTCATCTTTGGGAACAACAGCCACAGGGGCGAAAACAATTTATCCACTGTTTGAATACTATATTTGTTTTCACTTATCAATTTTTACTCTTTACTAGCTTGGTGATGAGGTGAAGCAATGTCAAAACGTCATCAAAAATATGTTACGAACGGTTTTTACAAGTTTTTCGAAGTTTCAATAGTATTAAAATAACTTTCTAGCGTTGAACTTTGCAATTAGTTCGATGTTTATAATAGTACAACAGCTTTGTAAACACTACAGCTGTACCTTTGAAGAATCGTATTTTGGGAGTTCTTCTGCTCCACCAGTTTTTCGACTTTTGCTTTCGATAATGTAGAAAAAGCCTCAGCCAGATGTCGCTTCATTCTGTTATCAATAATAAGCAGAGAGCTGGCGACAAATTAAAATTGCCGGGAATCGCCGAGAAGAAGTATCACGTTATAATAACACCACCTGCCTTAATCACGCTCCGATCACGAGCAAAAACCGTGACCATTTCTTTTCGGATACAATTAATTTTATGCAGGGTCGTGTGATAGCTAATCGGCCAATCACAATCGTCTTTAGAGCAAGAAAAACCGAAGTCGAAATCGCGTGTTTTACTATGTATAACTGTGGGTTCTATTTATATCTTGGCAGGAAACTGGAAGTCGACGGTCAATATACTACACAAAAGACTCTTTGGGATGCGCAATTTTTTCACGATTGAACAACGTTGAAACAAAAAAAAAATTTTTGAATTATTATTGATAGAAGCTGTAGAGTCTTGCTGCAATATTCACTTAAGCTAACCTTCGTAATCAGCTTATTTTCTATGTGTGGCAGGATCAACACAATGTACAGAAAAAAAAACTGTAGTATGAACATAATTCTTTTATTTTCTCCGCAGTCCTCAGGCGGATTGGAATTACATTATATTCGCTTAAAGCTGAAACTCTTAACGGTGGCCAACTTATATTTTCTACTCGGATGATAGAATCATATTATCTTGGAATTTACTTCTGGTTGGGTATGAGTTAGTAATGATCTAGTGGAAGCTTCAATTACTGTAACATTATAAAGAAGCAAAAGAAAGGCACTTTTTCTAATTCGATTCCCGGAGAGCAGTGGAGAAAAATATAAGCAGGTAGTAAAACCTGCACTATATTTCAATCATATGATTTGCTCCAATCTTATAAGCTGGAAAAATGGATGAAAAGCTTACTAGATTTTAGGGATGGGTAACAATAGACCGCAAATCAATAAAACTGATAACCAACATGGTAGAACTTTTTAACCCAATAGTTGGATCCAGTCAATGGAGGATAAACTGCACTCTCTGTCTTTCTGTACATAATTCTAGACTGTGAGAGATTACTTAATTTTTAGAAAAAAGGAAAATTACTCACCGAATGTTGAAGTCTTCATGCTAACAGATGCATCCAAATTGTTGAATATCAGTTGTCGAAATTGATGTAACTGGGAAACGGAAGAGCTGTATTAAACTAGCTGGATTCATAATAAAACTAACCACTGGAATATAACTATTTGTTATTAGAATTGATGCTTGAAAAGCTTGGTAGATTTTAGGGATGGGTAACAATAAACTGCAAATCAATAAGATTGATAACCAACATGGTAGAACTGGATCCAGTCGGTCGAGGATATACTGCACTCTCTGTCTTTCTGTACATAATTCCCAACTGGAAGAGCCCGTATTAAACTAGCTGGATTCATAATAAAACTAACAACTGGAATATAACTATTTGTTATTAGAATGATCCGAAAATAATCATGATCATTCGGTAACCAATAGGTCTTAGAATTGCCTTTCTTAGAAATTTAAATAAAGCGCATGAATTTAAGAAGTCGTATCTGTCTTAAAATAATTTTAGGTTTCCAACTAAATGGTATTTTCATTAATTAATTACTCGATCCTTTTAACCCCATAGTTTCGTTCCAAAAGGGAGAAGTAATTATGTTGAAGTATGTAGTTCACCTTAACCAGATCGAAAACGTGGCCCTAAAAATGCCTTTCTCTTCAATCGTCTCGCGCTTCTCGCTTGCGAACAAATGGTAATGAGCCAGACCAGTAAACGTACGTGTCCCTTTTTCTTTTCTTTTTTTTTTTTCCAAAGATGAAAAATGTGTTAACTTATGTCAATTCAAAGTGAATGCACTTATTGTAACTTGAAATCACGAGTACCTTTTTATTTATAGATTGTCTTCGTTTTGAGATGAAAGATCGTTACTCTGTTTGAAGAGCTGGCATGAATATTAATCAGTACGTTTTCCAGTCAGCCATGAGCGATGTAATTTTGTGCTAAGTTTTAAGCACCCCGCTAGACAGCCAGATCCTTATCATAATAGTTAACTTTTGTTCAGTCTTTCAAACATCTTTAAACGATCGACCAATTTCGCGGAATTTCCGCGACGTGCCTCACATCAGAGGCGCAACCGAATGACTAACGAAAAATGTTTAATTTAAGAAAATGTGTTGCTGGCAGTAAGAAGATTTAATGCTGACATCTTGAGAGTAAAATAAAGTTTAACTTAGGACATGACATCTGAGGCGCTAATGAACCGACATAAACATTACAACACGAAAGTTACAAACTTTACCTTAGTTTTGTGTCCATAGAGGTGAATCAAAATCACCCTTGAGTTTAAAGTGTTGTTTCTATACAGCTGAATTCTCCACAGTTTGCTCTTTTAAAATGCTGTTAAATTGTAGTCGGAAATATTCTTTGTTCCCCTATTTGATTTAGTTGTATTCAAGTTTGTAGCAAACTTTGTTCAGCTTGCTCTCCGTTGTCGTGAGGAAAAAGTGTTGTACAGCTTAAGATTGTTCCCGGGCTGTTAGTATTGAAAAGAGAGAATTAATGGTACTGGATACATTTTGTAAAAGTGTGTTGTGTTGTAACAGTATAATATTTAGAATTATTGTATACTAACACAGTGGGTAACGTTGAAGGCGTGCTCTGATTGGCTACTTAAACTTGGAATATCCTTTGCTATTCACCTCCAAGTAGCGGCTCTTACTTGGTGTACAAGACACAGTATACGTCGCAATAGAATTTCATCACAACTAGAAATAAGAAAGCAGAGAAAACAATAGTGTAAAGTATACTGTGTCTTCTACACTAAGTAAGAGCCCAAGAAGCGCGCACAGGTTCTGCGCTCAAAAATATTGTAAACATGACAGGAATAAATTAGTTAGATTTTTTTTTTGCTATATTGTTTCACAGTGTTAGTTTATACTGAAACAACTGTTTATTTTTTTCCTCGATAACAAACTTTTCCCATGAATCTGTCATGAGCTTAAAGTGATTGAAACTACCTTTGTTTTTCCAAATATTGCAAAATAAATTTTTGTCGAGCGAAAACTGCTTAAAAATGGCACAATTTGCCAAGCTCGCCTTTTCAAAAAACTTTTGTTTGAGGAATTTTTATTACTAAGTATATTTAGATCAATCCTCTAAGACAACAAAACACATAAGTTTTTTTATACTGAAAATTATTTTCAGTTTGACAAGGACATTTTGATGGCTCTAAATTAGCAAATTTTGATCTCGGCTCAGCGCAAAATTAAAGTCCAACTTCTTCCCCATGAAGTTTTATTCAGACCAGCTAACACAAGATAGAGAAGTATGTCGAATTTGTATGTATTTTTCTAGATGGGGAAGTATATTTTTGTTTTTTGAATGATGTTTTATCGTATTATCAAATGTAAATAAGCTTTTCAGTGCCCAATTTACGCGCAGAACATAATTTTTGTGCATTATGGAATTTACATAAATGTGCTGGCTGGCTGTGCTAGAAATTCGTAGAAACTACAACATATTTTTACATTTCCGCATTCCCCCAACTTATTTTAGCTAGCCTGAAGAAAAACTTTTAGGGAAAAAAGTTCCAGAATTTCGCGCTGAGCCAAGATTAAAAGTTGCTGTCGTACTGCCGTGGCAGCAGCTGCAAATAGGTGTCAAACTGAACACTAATTTTCATTAAAAAAAAAAAAAACCTTAAAAAAAAAAAGCTTACGTGCGGTCCGCATTCTCTCCCAGCGACACCTTTACGCGTTTTTCTTGATATGGAAGACAACCAGAGAGAAAACGTAGGTTTAATGACAGCCTCGTTGTCGCGCATGGCATTGTAAGCTTAACTCGAGTCTTCTTGGGAACTATGAGTTTTTTTATCGAAAGTACAATTTGTTACGCTCTATTTTATTATTTCTTATGTTCTAAGTTATTATTGTCCACTAATGAGCTGAAACAAATCCGATTCGGCTGAATCCTTCATATCTCCTTTTTTCGTATAAGTTCACAGCAAGTTACAAACACCTTGAGTCCGCGTCCATGTTTCGTCATGGAGTAAAGAATGCCGGCAAGATCAACTCAAGAAGTTTTATTTATAACAGCACTGAGCTCTGTCTTGAAACTTTAACCTTAATTTTCATATTCTTGATTGGATTATTTCGTTTTGTTGCTCGTTTTTATCCAGGAGAAGTAAGCAAAACATTTATTCACAAATAAATGTTATCAAAATTTTTATTTAGTGTTCTACCTGTTTAGGAGTTCTATTGATATCTAAACAGTTTTTTTATTTGCTCTTCTCTTAAAGACGAACATAAACGCGATGTTGGTACATTTTAAAAATAATAAAAAACATTTCTAAACTCCTTAAAGAAAAGTGAAGTGATTATGGCTGTAAGCCATCGATTCCTCCATCGCTGGTGTTTTTGCTTTTTTGTTTTTGCTTTTTTGTTTCTGCTTTCTTGGTTTTGCTTTTTTGTTTTTGCTTTTGTCGAACAAGCACGTTTTTTGAGTGACTCTTTAAAGTAATGTATCTTTAATTTTATTTGCTAGGAATTTATTAGATATTTTTTTTGTCAAGTGAGAAAAATCTAATAAGTTCAGACCCTATTTTTTGTGTAAAAACGTTGACAGGCTTAGAAATCTAGACAACTGCTAAACAGGTTTGCTTTTATATATCACATGTTGGTCTCTAGGTAAAAGCTGAAAATAAACGAAAAACTTCGAAAATTAAGAAATGTTAGAGATAAAAGTTACGCTTTTTATCTTAAGTATTATTACGTAAACTCGCAATTTTTATCTTTCTCTCCAGTGGACTGAACATTCTGATAGACTTGTGATGTCATAAATGAAGTAGTAACGTAACTGACTGCGCAGCAGTTGGCATCCTTGGAACATGGTGCTTCTGCCACGAGGTCTCAGCTTACACAGGAATCAACAAAGATCACCCCACTTTTCTTAAGACAAACGAAAAAAAAATTTGCTTGACACATTTTTTTTTTTCACCTGCTTTTCCTTTTGTAATCTTGTAACCGATTAATAATCGAAGATCACAAGAGGGTACGGTCTTTAGCGTGCGTGTTTTCCTGTACGTGGACGCTCGGGTTTGCCTATATTGTTTTTATTTTAGCATTTTGAAAGGAAAAATAACTTTTTTCTAGGGGTAAGAACAGCCATTGTGAACACTTGCGATCTACAGTCTTGTTGTTTGTGTCAAATCACGAACAATTATCTCTTGTTGTGCTACCAAACGTGTTTTAAAGCAGCAACAAATCGACAAACGCTATTACAGAGTGTTTTCCAAAGCAACGAGATGAATAATTAAACTTGAACAAAACTTTAAGTTTAAGGGTTCGAAAATTATTCAAAAGGCTTTGTCGTTGCGACCTAGCCTCGAAGAGCTGAGACAAGAGACGGTTTTTACCGTCCTCTGTTGAGAATGCTTCTACGAGGACCACTTCCCGGCTTATTGCTGTTTATATTGTAAGTACTTAATCCAACTTTAAATAGTATATAAGCCTTTATTAGTTGAATCGTCTATTTAAAACGATATTTAACAGACCTAACTCTTTACTGGCGCCATATTGAGTTATCTAAGTAGTCCATCAAATTTTAAAAGCAAAATTGAACAATTGTGGTAGTGAAAAATGTCTCTAAACACCAAGTCAAATATGTGGAAATTGAGGGAATTGTACGAAACGCGCCCAAATTTTTGTGTTCCTAGTTATATTCTAAGTTTACATTTGTTCCCTGTGATCAAAAGTAAAACACTCTTAGCTTTAAAAAGTAACACTCTTGGACCAGCTTTTAAATTGAAACAGTCTTTATTTCTTTCAAGCGCCAGTCACTTTGTGAATCTTGAACACCATAGTAGTCCTCGGGTTTTACCGAACACGTCATTATTTTAATGGTATTCAATTTGTTCCATGTTTAATAAAACGGATCACCTAGTTTTGGTTAAAGAAATACTTAAATTACTGATTCATTGATTAAACATGGCTAGTGAGGGGAATTCACAAAAATTAACCTTGGAAATAGCAGAGTTTAACATGATTTATTACGCGAGAAAATTGTCACCATTGTAACATCGTGATTTTTATAACATAATAACACTCCAAGGCAATGGTAGGAAAATTATGGAACACCCCTTGGTTACATTTTTTTCTTTAAATTCTTTAAAGAAAGACATCTTTTCTTCTCTCATCCGACGGTATAGCTCCCTCACGGGGCACCAAAATGATATCCAAGTACAGAAACGCCTCTTTAACACGTTCCCCTGAAAAAATTTGAAATTGATCATCTTGAATTTTTGCTCACTAAAAGTTTTGTTATCTTGAATCTGAAGTTTTTGTTACAAGAAAGGTAATAACTTTTAAATCAAGATTCTGAACTAATAGTTCCGAAGGATTACATTTTAAAAAAAGGAGTTATCTTGAAATCTTGACTTAGCTTTTATTGATTTGTTTATTGATTTGAGTACCCATAAAATGGTTCATTTTCTTCCCCTAAAACTTCTTTCAAGATGTTTTTCTTGTACCTTTAGTTTCTTTCGAAATCATTGGATAAGTAGAACGAGTATTTATGTTACTGAGGAATGAAAGGCTCAATAGTTTTTAAAAACAGCGATAGCACCAGTCAACTTTATGAAAATAAAAATTAAAGTGCATCTTCATTGCACAAAATCTTCCCATTTTGGTGCCTTATGTTTATGATACTGCTTGGAGTGAATTATGTTTCGTTAAATAGTTGGCTAAGTTGGAATGATCTTACAAAATACTGTATTGACGTCTTTAAAGGGTTAATTTGCCAGCGCGTGTCCCCAAATACCTGTTGCTCATATGGTTCTTGGTGTCCCGTCGTGTCCTTATTATGTAATTTATATCAACGGTATTTCCTTTTTGAGTTCGACAATTACGCTCATCGTAAAATTATCTTTTCTTATTCTGACCAAATCTTTGTATAGTACATAAAATCATATTGTTGTTCATACTTGTAACGGGTCAGAATCATTACATAACTCCACAACGTTGCAACGTTTACCAAGTTATTGCGACCATATTTTCGTGGCTCAGCGGTACTTGGTCTTACTGTCGACCTGTCATGGTACATAACCGGGTTCCATATTCTTACCTAATTAGGTCCCTTTTGTTGCATAATCAGGTTCCATTCTGTTATATAACTCGGTTCCATTTTGTAACGCATCTGAGTTCCTTTGTATGATCACTTGACATGTACAGTACTGTAGTTGTGAAACAGAGAGATTCGTCTATCGTTTTGCAATTTTTTTCCTTACAGAAACTAAACTTGGAGATCTTTTAAGTTGGTTAAGAAGTATCTTGTTAATGTAACATTTCTTTTCTTTTTTCATTTTAGGTACTGGAATGCCGCAGAAAGTATGTATTATTGACATCACTTCTTGGAGTTTCTATCTTTTGTGTCACACAAAGCATATCACCGACCAATCACATTTGATCTCAACACTGAGCATTGACGGGGCCATAGTTGTGTTCGTTAGTGTTCACACCAGAAACTCTTTGACTGTCACCCAACCCCCCCTCCCTCCCTCCCTTCACATACTTCAACTCCTTTCTTGGGTATCTTAGGCCGCAGTATGAAGTATTTTGGGGGGTATGTGATGTACCCCTTGTCACATCGACATCTGTTTGTTGTAACACCATCAAATCGTTATTTCTCTGATATATCTGAATTGTATTGACTTAAAATTTTTAACCGATCTTTCTGCACCATAATGTTTATTTCTGATAAATTGTTAAATTCTAAGGGTTGGTGTCCATTTGAGAGACTAGCTGATTTTGTTTTCTAATGCAATATTTGGTGATTTCTAGCCAGTCCACCCGGATGTGTAAACTTCAATTTCGAAAGGGGAAATCTTTACGGATGGACAAAGTCAGGTACTGCGTTTAATTACCAGCCAACATACGGTGACAACCCCACGGCTCGTCGCGCAAGACAGCCCTCAAAGCATCAGGGGAATTATTGGATTGGCACATATGAGAAGCGCCCCAATCCTCGGAGCCGAGCGGGTGCCATACAAGGGGACCGCCCCACCGGAACTTTGAGCTCCACCCGGTTCCGTATCATAGGGAATTACATTGATTTCCTGATCGGCGGAGGTTGCAATATTAATTATGCCAGGGCAGAGCTTGTCATTGATGGGCGAGGAGTTGTGCTTCGTACCACAGGTCAGTATACGCACGTGGTTTTCGTCTACAGTCACAAATACACGATTTTCATTGTCACCAGAGAGTTGTGCATGGTTGTCACCAAGTTACTCCTAGTCTGTACTCGAGTTGAGTAGCCCACCCGGCCAGAGCTTATCCCGGTTTCTTTAGCTAATACGAGTATCACTACACCCCTTGATAGGATGCCAGTCCATCGTAAGGTTACACCCCCTTTTTTTTTCATTACGCTTCCCTTACGCTTCCCTTGGTGCCTATTTATACGCCTGGGCGGAGAGATGCACCGAGAGAGTTGACTGTTTTTCCCAAAAATACTTTATTTATAAAAACGCATAAATACGACGGATTGTAGAAGGTACGAAAGATCTCGCGGCTTTTTAGCGAAAATTAAATAACAAAATCATCTTCTCTACTAGTCATTAAATCATTCATACGGAAATATAATATTCCGATTCGCCCCTTAACATTCCCAGTGTATCTCAAGCAATTTTATTCCTCTTCACTAACTAGTCGTAGGTTTTACAGACAGCTAATCATATTGATGATTATTATCTATGGTGGTCCCTGTAATCTGATTGGCTCGAATTGGTGCGATTTATTCACGAATCGCACCATTTTTTGCTTTAAATCGCATCTTTTTCCCAGCCAATGAGAAGGCTACACTAAAAACAAAAAAACCAAGCAGATTTCAAGGCTTGTTTAAAGTAACCAATCAAATCGCAGGAAAATGTAAGGCAAAGAGTTTCATGTGGCAAATTTGGCAACTATTGTTTCCAAAACTCTTATCCCTCCCCCCCCCCCCCAAAAAAAGGATGAATTTAATTTCAAACCGGCTTAGTACTGCATCAATAAAATATTTGAACTGACCAAGTCCTGTATTTGGGCAATTTCAAAATGGATGCAATAACCTGGTGATTGAACCTCGTGTCGTGCAATTTTGGTCTGAAATCATACTTGTGATTTCAAATCACACGAATGTTTTCAGCCCCGATTGCACTCCACTCAGTTCAGTTACCATTATAAATCATCTGGCTCGTCTACGAATGTCTTAAAACGTTTTTATGCTCAAGTTACCTTACATTTCGTCTTGCTCGTTAGATGTTCTCTGATATAGTTCGCATATATTCTTATATGTTCCTATATGATAAATGCAATCACAGTGACCTCATGTGAGAATGCGTCTGCCACCATACCTTCTCAATGTCATTGAAAAGCTAATACAACCTTTGATTTAGAGTATCACACCTTTGTTCGCAACAAGCTTGAGGTAAAATATAAATTTAACATTCTTGTAAATTCTTATTTTTCTGACTACAGGACGTTGCAAAGAAACCATGCAACGGAAGCGATGGAATGTACGCCAATACATCGGAAGAACGGGCTTTGTGCGTCTTGTGGATTATGGCTCAGGTGGCTGGGGACATATCAATTTTGATGACCTACGAGGCAATATCAAATGCGAGAGTAAGTAGCAATTGATCGTTTAAAACAGTGGATGCGAAACCCGATGAAAACTTTTAATACCTCTGACGGTATACTTTATTTTGGCCAAACGTTACAATCTCACTTTCTTTAGAACCCTGCAAGAACCCTCTTGGAATGCAGAATCGCAGGATTCCTAACTATGCTATCACGGCCTCTTCTTCATGGGACAAAAATCACGGTCCCTATCTGGGACGCCTGCATTTCACCGCCCGTGGAAGGTACCAAGGAGCTTGGAGCTCACGGCATAACAATCATAATCAGTATTTTCAAGTGAACTTTCGTCGACCGACAAAGATTACAGCCGTCGCTACTCAAGGAAGACAAAATGCAAATCAATGGGTAACACAGTACCGACTCTCATACAGTCAAGATGGGTTGTCATGGGTTTTTTATAAGCTGAGAGATGGTATTAAGGTATGGGGAATGTAGTGTTTGTATCCGTAATGAACCGAAGTAGTCACACATAGTTAAAACATTTTTTACATCACACCTTCGCTCTCTGCAAAGATAAAGTCCTTGTGTACAGTAGCTTCCAGTGCACAAAGGGATATACAATAGTATGCTCTCAGGAGACAAATTTTTTCCCAAGAATTATTTACACGCCTTACGGAAGATTAATTAGTGACTGTCATATTTCACTGTTAATTGGGGTGATCATCTTAACAAGCTTAAGCAGTAAATATTCGCGCAACGTAAAAAGGAAGATGCTTTGTTTTTTGAGCGAAGTAAAATATGAGACCACTGTTGGAATACATGGTTTATTTAACACGTAGATAAAAAAAACATTATAAATGTCTTAAATGGCCTTACGCGTTTTCGACTACTGTGCTAAAAGACCGTACGTCGTGTAACGTTATTCTTGAGTGCCCGCGTTGATGAAGCAGCAGACGATGGAAAGTGACTGGCTTAACCTTTTCACTCCTAAGAGTGATAAAAACGGAGTTTCACCATACAATTCCGATACATTTTTGGGAGGAAGGGACTTGAGAAAAAAGAAACATATCAATTGGTCGATATTGTCTAATTAAACGCCAAATTATCAGAGCTAAGATAATACGAAATGTATAGCAGACAGTGAAGAGAATTGAAATTTAGATCTCAAGGAGTGAAATGGGGAAAAAGGAGGATCCTTGGACCACTAGTATTATCATCTAACGGAACTATCCCGCAAAAGAAAGAGGCATGCCTTAGAAAATTTACCATCAACTTAGCGATTTGCCAGTCTTACTTCGGACTAAACTATGAGTTTTGTTACAGCTCTTTGTCTTTCTTTTTTTTCTCAGTATTTCTCAGCTAACAAAGACAGAAACACTGTGGTGACCAATACACTCAGTACACCAATCAGAGCACGATTCGTCAGGATTATCCCCTGGGGATGGCGCAGCCATATCTCCATGAGGACAGAGTTTTATGGATGTTATGTTGGTGGGATATTCTGAGTTTTTATTAATCTCAACAATGAATACATAAAATACAAAATGGATTCCAATAGATCATTAATAAAAACCAGTCAAAATGCCTGTATAATCCAGCCTATTATAGAGCGTGAAACAGGCAGGCAAGGAGAGCAAGGTAATCACTTAATTTGTGGATAGTGACTTAGTATTAGCGGGACAAAGTCAGAACGAGAGGAGAAATCCACTGTCATCATCTGAGGGATAATGATTTCATGTCTTGGAGATGTGTTGGCGCTCTACTCTGATTTTTTTAGCATGTGACACTTCGCTTCATTTGTCAAACGTAATCGGGAGGTGTTTTCCTCGTTCAACTTCCTTTCGGCAAAATTCGCGCAAATTCTTGGTAGGATGTGCTTGTTTTAATGTTATATATTTACTTACTGTTAACCTTTTGATTGTTGTCCTATGCTGCTTTGCAGACCAATGCCGCATGCCTCTTGGTGCAGAAGACGGCCGCTTGGTCCCAGGTTCTTTCTCGGCCTCTACTTACTATAATCATTATCTGGCACCATGGCACGGTCGCTTAAATCACCGCTGGTCATGGAGCGCACGTTACCGCAGGCACGGCCAATGGATGCAGATTTCTTTTGGAGGAAGTGCAACAGTGAAGGGAATCGCGTCACAAGGCAGACAGGACGCTAACCAATGGGTAACGCAGTACACACTTGGTCGCAGTACAGATGGCATGAAATTTTATCCATACCACGAGGGACGAGGAACAATGGTAAAAGAGATAGAGATTATTGTTACGATTTAATTTTTTCAGACTAATCCTTCACTGAATCCGTGCTTTTACTGGACCATATCATAGTATGCAAATGTTCTAGTGCTGCACGTAGCAGGAAGTATGGGCAGATATTAGAATATAGTTCATTTCACGATGAGCTTGCATTTTTTTTTCGCTCTTGTTCAGATTCAAATTCGAAAATAGGAGTATCATTAAAGTGTATGATTGAGTACAGAGAAAGCAGACATTCCCGTCGAAGCAGAGGAGAAAGAAATTCGCGTTCATGCTTTTTTTTCAAAGTGTTTCCTGTAGTACACATGAAAACAAAGAGGAGAACAGATAGAGGAGCAAGGAAGCTTTCCTCATTTTAATCCTTTAACTCCCATGAGTGACCAAGACAGAATTTCGCCTTATAACATCGATACAGTAACAAGCAAACAATTGATGGGAACAAAGAAAAATATAAATTAGGGGATTATTAGTTGTTTCAATACCAAATTCTCCGCACCAACACCATGGGAGCCTCAAGGCTGACCGTGAAGAGGAGTACTAATGAAATCTTGAGAGTTAAAGATAAATGAAGAGAGTCATATATTTTTGTATGAGTCATTTGAAACAACTCTAGCCAAGCAATTTGTGCATTTATTTATTTCTATTTCTTTCCTTGTTTTTAGATGTTTAGAGGAAACATGAATCGCTTTGGAATCGTTTTTCACCTCATCAACAGACCGTTTGTGGCGAGTCACGTTCGTTTTTATCCTCGTGGATGGTACAGCTGGATTTCAATGAGGGTCGAAGTCTATGGATGTTCCACAAGTAAAGTTCTTTCTACTTTTTAGCTACATTACACTACATTTAAAAACTTTTGAGGATTCGAGTGTACACCGAGAAAAGCGAATTTCCATGTTTAAATAATGACAAAAAAAAGCAAATCAGGAAGTAAGATGCCAAGCAACAGTACTCAGCGACAGCCATGATTTATCGCTTGCGGGGGAGGGGAGGGGGGGTCGGAGGGAATGGAGGGAGGCCAGTCGTCGCCAAAAAGGAAAAAAAGGGGGTACTATAGAAAATTGACTACCGACTAACTGCCGATGAGGGGGAAGGGGGGTCATAAGAACATTACAGAGCCTTATGGGGGGAGGGCAGGTAAATTGTATCGTGACTCGACGAAAATCCTCCGACCATCCCCTCCCCTCCTTCCGCGAAAAATAATGAGTGGTCTTTTAGATTAACTAGATTAACGTTTATCCCTAAATTCTTTTACACCAGCCATGATTGAATGATCATGATAAATCCAAAGCTTATTGCAGCATTCTTCCTTTCAGTCGGTCTCTGTAATGGTGTTCTCGGTCTTCAAAATGGCCGTCTAAAGAACAAGCAAATCACAGCATCCTCTTCGTGGCCAGGCCTTTACACTTGGCGCGCGAGACTGCATCACAGTCAGGCATGGTGCGCACGGTATAACAATCACAATCAGTGGCTCAAATTTGACTTCCTTCGGCCCACAAAAGTGACAGGAATCGCCTTACAGGGGAGGTCTAATGTGCACCAGTGGGTAACTCGGTTCCTTTTGCACTCAAGTCTGGATAACGTGCATTGGAATGTGTACAGATACAAGAATAATGATAAAGTGAGTATTTACGGTTACATAGGTTTTGCTTTTCTCTTTTTTTAACTCAAAGTGAAAGCTAATGTCGTATCCGGATCCTCCCGTTCAACTGTAACTGAAATAGCCGTGGGAGGTCTGGGTACGAGACAAGGTAAAAGCAACACTGGAACTGAGTGGCCCACAAGGCGCCGGAGCTAATCCCGGTTTTCTTAGCAGAGGGACCAATTACTATTCCTTAATGAAAGTGTATGGTGAATTTATTAATTCATCCGTTACGTTTAATGTCTCAGTACTTTCCTGGAAGCCGCGATAAAGATTCAGTGGTGACGCAGCCAATAAACCCAGCAATCATTGCAAGATTTGTGAAAATACAACCACGTGGCTGGCGGAGTCATATTTGTATGAGAGTCGAATTTTACGGCTGTCCAGCAGGTAAATAGATATTTAACGTAGTTAAGTATGGATGCTGTAATTCTTACGGCAATGGTTACTTCTCTCATCTCTAAGAATTGCAAAAGACATAACAAAGTATGCGACAATATGGATATTTTTTTCATTGATTTGTCTTTGTCTCTTTTTTATGAGCTCTAAGAGATGGCTGTCCGGTTTAAATCACTGACAGAACTATTTACCCCTTTATATCTCCCATGAGTGTCGAAGAAATAATCTCTCCTCACACTATCAAAATAATATCAAGCAGACAAGTGACGAGATTAAAGAAAAAAATTTCAACGAGGGGATTATTAGTCGATCCAATACCTATTTCTCTGAACTAACATCATAAGAATTTTATGGCAGATAGTAAGGAGAATTGCTAATGAAAAAAGGTTAAATTGATTAAATCGATTGAAACAAAACCCCGCAAAGTAAAAGGGAGAAGCTAGCGTTTGCTCGTGAACCATTTCCATAAAGATATTTACCAGCATGGGTATAAACTATAACTTTAAAGTATTGCTCCTTTTGCAGATCGTTGCTTCGTACCTCTCGGAATGCAAGATGGCCGCATTACAAAATCCCGCCTTCGCGCATCTTCCATGTACAACTGGTACTATGGACCATACAATGCCAGGCTACAGGCGCGAAACTATGGCTCCACACGAGGAGGTTGGATCGCCAAGATAAGAAACACTCAGCAATGGATTCAGGTTGATTTGGAAAAACCCTCTACACTAAAAGGCGTCGCTACCCAGGGTCGCTATGACGCATATCAATATGTAAAGTCGTACCTCATCACTTACAGTGGAAATGGAAGGCGCTTTTATCCGTACAAAGAAGGGAGCCGGACAAGGGTAATATGCTACTATCATCACTGTTCGTTTTCTATCTGCAGTATTCAGAAACGTTCAAAATATGAGCTACTCTCAATGTAATAAAAATATATTTTTTTTTAACGTGGTTAAGAAGTTTTAACCCTTTACGCCCTAACATTAGGATTCATATTCTCCACACTTTCCCTTTACAAGGAAGATTTTTTTGACAACAAGGAGCTTCTTAAATTGGTGATAGTTTCCTTTATTTTTATTACTTTTACATTTGATTCAATTGATAATTCATTAATAATAATTATTAATTATTATTAATTATTATTAATTATTAATTAACATTAATACTTTAAGGAGAAGTTAAAAGCTAGTCACTCTTAGGGGTAAAATGACTGAAGAGGAACAAGCTTTTACATTCATTTGCTTGGTTTGTGAACCCTAGGTTGAATTGATCGAAATAGCCTTTTGTTCTTGAAATAAAAAACCATGGTTTTGATCTTTCACTACTTTTCACAGTCTCATTAGTGTCTTCAGGTCTTTGCTAACGTCAGTCATCTTATTGGTCAAATATATTGTTTATAGATGTTTAGTGGCAATAGTGACAGATACCACGTGGTCCTGCATCGCTTTGTAAAACCATTCAGGGCACGGTATGTACGACTGCATCCGAAATCCTGGTTCGGGTACATATCTTTGAGAATGGAACTGTACGGCTGTAGACACGGTGAGTGTGGCAATTACAGAGAGTTCATTCACCTTTTTACACCCTAACATTAGTATGCATATTCTTCATACTGTTTTCTATACATTCTCTAAAGAGTCGACGAGGAGAATTTGCTTAACAATCAAGAGCTTCTTTACCGTTTTATCGTTTCCTTTACACCCGTTTGAAAGATTTCCCTCTGGCTTAATTATTGCTGTGTTTGACGCCATTTTCCACTTTAGGTCCTCTGTGTAACCGACCGATGGGAATGCAGAGTGGTCGTATTCACAACAGCAAAATCACTGCTTCGTCTAATTGGGACCCATTCCATGCCGCGTTTCGCGCCAGATTGCATCATGGTAAAGCTGGACGCTTCATTGGAGCATGGAGTGCGAAAACTAACAATCGTTATCAATTTCTGCAGGTGAATACTAAAAAAAAAATCATTGTCGATAAATGAAAAGCTTGTTGGAAGTATATGATTCATGGTTGAGTCAAGTAAAACGCTATTTTATCCAATGAATGTTATAAATACAAACGTAACTAGCCATGAAGATTGTTCGGTGTTAGCACATATCAGGCTCGCTAAATGCTTCCTGACAATTGTTCCAACGAACGTGGAAGGACATTAAATATTTCCTTCCTGGCTTTGCACACAATGTTGTTGCACAAACTCGGCCAATCCGTAAAATAGGGACTAAATTCCACTCATCAAATCGACTCACCCCGAATAAGCCGGTTATTGGTCAGAGTGACCTATGCAAGAGGCTCTTAGATTGATTGAGTTATTGCCTAGCTTAGTGGGCGCTTGGCTAGAAACAGCGTCATTTTTAAAAGCGCATGGTTTTTCATTTATTTTTTCCCGCTCATACTGGAACATGCGCCCTCCGTACTCAATCGTTTGGCACGCTGCTTAAGAAGTTATTCAGTTGTTGGATAAATGTTTTTTTTATTTTAAAATAGGTGGATTTTTCAAGAGCTGCTCTCATCGTCAGAGTCGCAACTCAGGGGCGACAGGACTACAGACAGTGGGTCACACAATATTATTTGAGATACTCTTTAGACGGAATTCACTTCGTTGACTACAAGCAACGTCACACTAGAAAGGTAGATATTTATAATCAAAGATCGAGCAATTTTCAATTGATTGTCGAAAGTAATCCGCAATTGCTTTGGTTTTGCTTAAATTTGTTCTGCGGGTGGTCTGAGAGTTATTGCACGGGAAAATTTAAAAGAAGACTTGAAGGATTTAAATCCACGATCCACTCGGTATAAAGCTACTTACATGTCTTGTTAAGGTCTGAAGTTTCTAAAGAAATTCTTTACGAATTGCAGAAGTCGCTCAGGCGTGTTAACACCCATTAAACTGGATCTTAGCCGAGAACGCGCCTAAATTGCCTTCGGGACGACGTTCTTTTAGTACATCTTTAGGCTAAGCAGTGATGGTGTCCTGTTCCCAAGTGCCTGATGTGTTATGCCCTTTGTTTGTCTTAGTATTTCCCAGGAAATCGCGATCAGAACACGGTTGTATCACACGCGCTGGTACCCAATATAAGAACGAGGATTATCCGTATTGTGCCCTGGCATTGGTATGGGCACATCTCCATGCGAGCAGAGTTTTATGGATGCCTTACAGGTTTGTTATGAATATGAAAGCGATTTTCGCGGTAATAAACACTTTCAAGCAGTAGAGAAAATCACACAGAGTGTATAACTGAGTATAGAAGTCTGGCTACAAGACTGACTTGCTCAGCTACCGAAGCTTATCCCAGTTTCTGTGGCATAGAGTGACTTAGCCTGCAGAATAGGCAGACACGTGCGAGAGGCGTCCGTGAAAGGCGAGTCACACGCGAGACAGAGAACTTTGATTCTCGTATACGACTCTTTTCCGCACTCACATCTCCTGCTTGTCTAAGCTCTCTCATAAACAATGAAATGACTCCCGCAGGCCACGTTACCCATAAGTATTACGTTTATTTTTCTTTACATGTCATTGACACTCATTATGTAACTCGGTCGATCGAGGCTCTGTGGAACGCAATGGCCTGATCAGGGTTTGCACTGATTAAGACATGTAGTTGAGACCAAAATTATTTTGCGTGCGGTTTTAAATTAAATCATAAACGCTACTGTCACTAGGTCTTGTGAAACAAGACTCACTATGGAGTTCTGAAGCTTTGCAGAAAATTAGAGTTTTTGTAAAAGAACAGTCATTCACAGATTATCAATATTGAGAGACTCATTTTAACTGCATATTTCTTTCGTTCTCTTAAAGATCATTGTAAGATGCCTCTTGGTGTGGAAGACTATCGTATCCCTTCTGGCTCACTTCAAGCATCATCTTCCTGGAACTACAACCATGGTCCAGACCGCGCGCGAATCAACTTTCCTTCGGGACATAGTCGGTCAGGGGCCTGGGTTGCGAGAGGCAGAAACACAAATCAGTGGCTACAGGTGGAACTGGATCGACCGGCCAAAGTTACAGGCGTGGCTACTCAGGGTCGGCATGATGGCCACCAATGGGTTACCAGTTATATTGTGTCTTACAGTTTAGATGGAAAGTCGTTTAAGGCGTATCTTGAATTTGGTAGAACCAAGGTTGGTAATTATTTCTATGTAAAAGTCCTTTCTCGACTCTTTTCAAAATCTATCTGGGGAATAAAATGAAATACATTGCGACAACTGAATACCATTCCTACTATAAATTGAAAAAAAATTGAGAATGTCTGTTGTAAGGTTACAGACGATTCCGGTATTCAGATTTCTCTAGATTTCGTTGTCAGTTTGTTTTCTAGCTTTTTCAAAGTTTATCAGAGTTGAAAAAAGATTAAGAGAGATTAAGTCAAAATAGCGGAATTGTCTGCCAAGTGGTAAAAACAGTGTCTTCCGATATTTTTTGGTTGACCTTTAAAGTAAGCAGATTCACTACATGACTTAATGACCTTTAATTATTCTTTTGCTGGAAGTTAATACTGGAATAAGTAATTCCTGCTTTTTGAACTCGCCAGCTGAGCGGTAGGCTATCGCTTAAAACTAGAAACAGGATTTTAAAACAGATGCGGCATCTTTCAGTGTAAATTTTTATTGGTTCTCAAGTCTTATAGTAGTGTGAGAAAAATGTCACTTTCGAGGATTTTTTTGCAACTTTCCAAGTTGCAAGTTGTATCCCAGTTGCATATTTCTTCAATTTTTTCGTACATGAAATGTTCTATACACCGATTCGCAGGTATTCAGCGGAAACTTCGATCGCTACACGATCGTGATACACGAACTTGCTCCTCCGATCAGAGCCAAATTTGTCCGATTTTATCCGAAGTCGTTCCGAGGCGGCATCGCCATGAGGGTAGAGGTTTTTGGCTGCTATTATGGGGGAGGTAAGGATATCTTTGTGACAGGTGCAGTTATATGAGTAAACGAGGGAACATATTTGGTTGGTTCTTGAGTTAAAAGAAATTGGGTTTGGCTATCATCATAAAATTTTGCCTGTTTTTAGTGTACAAGAGTTTCAATAAGCTCCTTCTCTAGGCAAGCTTTGTCTATCTTCCTGTTACATCTCTGCATGAGTATTGTGGTCAAGATTTTGGTCAAAAGCCCAGGGATTGATTGACAAGCTGTAAACTAAAGCGTTCGAAGTAACCATTGCAAAGCAGAGGCTCGATTTCGATAGCGAACGTTAAGAATTTCTTTTTCCTCTTCTGTGGACATGCCATCGGATGAAAAACATTGTCTTTCACTACAGAAGATTCGTCGTCGTTGATTTGTTTATCAGCTCAATTAATTTAATGGTTTATTTTCCCATTTGTCAACAGCTCGTTTCTGTACCAATCCAGTCGGAATGCAAAATGGGAAGATCAAAAATGGCCAAATCACCGCCTCCTCAATGTTCAATCAGTTCCACGCACCGTGGCTTGCCAGGCTCCACCGCGCCAAACATGGCCGCTACATTGGCTCTTGGTCATCAAGACACAACAATCACAATCAGTGGCTACAAGTTGACCTGGGAAAGACCATGAAAGTGACTGGTATCAATACTCAGGGACGACAGGACCTCCATCAGTGGGTGACTGCTTATTATGTGTTCTACAGCTTGGATGGAATGTACTTTGCTAAAGTGAAGCACTGGTGGAATTATGTGAAGGTTGGTGACTGACGTTGTACAGCTCTGTTTCGTTCTGTTTTAGCTCACCGCACAGAGGAATCTACTTGCGGGTAAATGTTTGTGCGCGTTTACATGAATAAAGACGTTTAGGCGAGTCAAACCCTTGTCGAGAGCCGAGTTGAATGGTGGAAATTTTTTTGTTCTTTTTCTTATGAAAAAATTGTCATACGTTACCCACTGACTCATGTCGGTTTTAAAAACTGACCACTTGTTTTTGCGAGTTTTTTCCAATTTTAGGTTTTTGATTATCATTAGCGCTTTCGGATAATTCAATCCGAAATCGTGTGAGGAGCCTTCAGTGAAGCTTGGTCAAAATGTTATCAAGGTTTATGATTTGGTCAGCTTTCCATATATATTCTTGCATGGGCGATAGACTTCACTTCACTTCAAAGTTTAACCCGTAAACCCTAACATCAGTATGCATATTCTCCATACTATTCTCCATACATTTCCTAAGGTGCTGAAAAGGAGAATTTTCTTAACAATCAAGAGCTTCTGTAGTTTTTGATCATTTCCTTTATTCTCATAACCTTTATATGTGATTCAGGGGTGATACTGTAATGAGAAGTTGGAAGCAATGCTCACTTGTGTGTGACCAATGTCACTCTAATTGGTCAAAGAGTTAAATTGGCACAGACAAAAATTGTCCAAATATCTTGAAAGAACTAGAAAGGATTCATCAGTGGTAACAGAATACCTACGCACTCCATGCCGAAGTAGACAAGGGAATGACCTACCTAATGACATAACCTTACCACACCTGTAAAAAAATTCATGGATTTTTTTAATGTTTCTTTCGCAGCAATTTCCAGGAAACTACGACAGATATTCTCTACGTACGCACGCTTTCAGGCCAGCTATATATACCCGCTTCGTTCGTATCCAGCCACGAGGCTGGAGATCACATATTTCCATGAGGATGGAGCTTTACGGATGTCCGTGGAGTAAGTGAGGCTCTCTACACTTTAAAAACTATAGGAAGCTATTTTCGAGAACCCTCCCTTAAACCCTCTTTCAATCCAACATAACTAGAACCGTAGAAGTAAAGCTGAATGAAAAGTCGGTGTAATTGTAGACACAACTTCGCTTTCTGTAGTGATTTTTTGACGATGATTTCTCCTTCCAAGCGTTTCTGAGCTAAAAAGAAGTATTAAACTTCTCTTGAGCAATTATGATCGAATTGTTTTATTTTTTTTCTTTTGATTCAGTGATCCCATCTACAAATAGTTCTCTCGAGCCGTGACACCACTTTTCTGCCCACTGTTGCTTTACATCGGTTTCTACTTATTTAATACTTTTTTCTTTGTTTGATGACCAGAAAGACGCTTGTAACTGTTGCGTAAACTTATTCTATGGAGTCAGCCGATCAGAACTGGCTGAACCAGAGTTTAATCTGTCCCAAGCTAGTCACAAATGTTTAACGTATTTCTGTTAATTTTTCTTATGTTTTCTAGGTCATTGTGATATGCCACTCGGTCTCGAAGACGGCCGTGTGCCAGACCAAGTCATGACTGCTTCTTCGTACAACAATATTTACGATGCGCCATGGAATGCCCGTCTCAACAGGCGGCGTTACAGCCGTTTTGGCGGAGGATGGTCACCGCGTAGAAATGACGGACATAGGTTTCTGCAGGTTGACTTCCAGGCTTTGGCGAAAGTGACACGTGTCGCTACCCAGGGAATGCAAAATGCCAATTACTGGGTGAAGAAATATTACATTAAATACTCAAGAAGAAGAACTGGATTTGCTACATATCGCGAAGGTAGAACCACAAAGGTATGTTTTACTTACTTATGTGATGTTAAAGCTTCATCTCCAGACTTTGCTCAGACGGTTCGAGGTCGCTCTTTTCAAGGAGATCACCTTAACACTTCCTACTGATTGAGTAGATTCTTCCATTAGCTCAATCGTATCGGTCGTTTCATTTGTATTTCCTTTTTCTGTAGATTTTCCGTGGAAACAATGATAGATACATCACCGTGGAAAATAGATTTGCCCGGGTTCTCCATGGAAAATACTTCAGAGTTTACCCTGTTTCTTGGTACTCTTGGATTGGCTTGAGGGTGGAGTTTTATGGATGTGTGTACGGTAAGATTTCACTTGAGTGGCGAAGTTTCTCGATCTCTAAAACTTGAAATGAGAAGTGCCGAGGTAACTGCACTCTTACTGAGTTGAATTTCAAATCTGACAGCGTTTGACAGAAAGTGAAAGAGACATCGATGTGATCACCGAACTTTGAATCGTTCTTTTACGAAATATCGTACGAAAAGGTAGATTTAACTTATTTAGACCCCGAGATCACAAATTGTGCGTGAAGTATCATTTGAAAGGGCAGACTAAGCTGATTGGAACACTCGACTCAATATCACAATTCAGAATCTTTCCGCTTTCCAGATACAATTACACAAATTTTCTCTAATCAATTTCTGTTTCATTAAGAGTGGAAAAGAATATGTGAATATGTGAATGCTGTAGATTTTGATATCTTGTCCCAAATTTAACGAAGTAAGGAAATTTATTTCTTACCTGGTTAATTTGCCCATAAAAACACAAGTGTTGAGAACTTAAGGTAACATTTTTTATAAAAACTCTTAGTAATACATTAATTTTACCCCTCAATTTACAGGAAAGCGATGTAACCAACCTTTGGGAATGCAAAATGGTCGCATAAAAGCAGCACAATTATCCGCCTCCTCCAGTTGGGACGGAAATCACGTGCCTAACAACGGCAGGCTTCATCTCCGCCGCGTTGGCCATCGAGTGGGGGCCTGGTGTGCTCGACATAACACTCGGTACCAGTGGTTTCAGATCGATTTTTACCGCGCTGTGAGACTGGTAAAAATCGCTACACAAGGAAGACAAGATGCTGCTCAGTGGGTCACTCAGTATTATCTCAGCTACAGTCAAGATGGCGCACACTTCGCGGAGTTTAAACATAACAGCAACCGGAAAGTAAGTTCGGTTATTTAATTTAGAAGCAGTATTTTTGTACTACTTTATTGGACCATGTCGTTCGCCGTGCAATAAACTTTCGGAGGAAAGTAGAAAAGAATCGTTCTAGCAATTATAAAAACCTAAATCAAGGATAAGTATCATATCTAAATAAGTCGGCAATGCGTGCAATTTCTGAACTGTAAACAGAGATTTGTAAGTCACGTTTGCCACTAAGTTTTAGTGCTAATAGTAGTATATGATTCAAGCGTAGCGCTAACCTGGAGGTTAGGAATTTTTTTAACACTTGATATACTGCTTTTGCGACGTTGCTTAGTGGGCGATATGATTTCATACACTTGCCCTGAAATAGCGCCTAAAGCCATTCACAGAATAACTCTTTACACTTAAGCATCAGTATCCATTTTCTCCCAACTGTTCTCTATACATTTCCTAAGGTGCTAACAAGGAGACTTTGTTTAACAATCAAGAGCTTCTTTAGTTGGAGATCATTTCCTGTATTCTCATGACCTTAATGTTTGATTCGGGAATGATGTTGTAAGGAGAAATCAGATGTTAGTCACTCTTAGCTCTCAAAGGGTTAAAATTTAAGCTTTAGAGAATGAAAAGTAGTTAACGGTTTCGTCCTTCTTATTTTCCCAGTACCTCACGGGTAATAGAGACCAAAACAGCGTGGTACAGCATCGTTTATTCCCGCAAATCAGAGCGCGTTTTCTCCGTGTCCATCCTTGGGGCTGGTACCGACATATCTCTATGAGAGTGGAGCTGTATGGGTGTTCTACAGGTTTGATGTCGTCCTTATAGAAATCAAAGCAAAATTATGATTCCTGGGTGTTACATGGTTCATCCTGTTCTACCTAGTATAGTACACACAAAGTGCTTTAAGTAGGACGCGCGTAATTCAGCGCTAATATTGCCTTCTATCTACCCCTGCCTACCCCTCCCCTAACCCAAAATAACTCTGACTTGTTATCAAGTTGACTGTGGTTGGGGTAGGGAAGGGGTAAGTATAGATTTGCTCAGATACTGACTCCCGATTCTACGATTCATTGGAAATACGTGTTGAAATAAGACATTTTTTCCTAAACATGTATGCTTGATCTTTTTTCCTTTTTTTAAATTTTGGTATACTGTATTGTGGGGAAAAATCAAGGAAAATTTAAAAAGGTCCGAAAACAACCTCTATTTCTAGGAAATAACCTTATTAATGAGCCAATACCTGACGTTAATGGGCTCAAATATTTTTTTTTACCTACCCTTGCCCCTTGTCATCAGTATATTCTATTTGTCGTTTGTAACTTTACGATTTCGTCCTTTTCATTTTCTGTTTATAATTTTTATCTTTTGACTAAAAGGACGTTGCTCTCTTCCTCTTGGTTTGGAAGACAAACGTATCACTAATGGCCTTTTATCGGCGTCTACATATTACAATCATCATCTGTCCCCTTGGCATGGCCGGTTGAACCACCGCTGGTCATGGAGCGCAAGGACCAACAACCATAACCAGTGGTTCCAAGTGAGTTTTGTGGGTGTGGTCAGGGCGACAGGGATTGGTACCCAGGGAAGACAGGATGCTAATCAATGGGTGACAAAGTATATTGTGTCCTACAGTCCGGATTCAACCCACTTCCGCTTTTACTCTGAAGGGAGGGGAACCAAGGTAAGAGTGTGCCTTGTGTGCCACTTTTTTGTTCTAACCAGATTCTTAAGTCGTCTTTAATTTATCACTGAAAAGTCGCACGATAACATGGAGTCTTTTTGTTAAACGGTTAAACCAGAGTGTAAGGCTTGATGAGTAAGGCAATCTTGCTAATCACCTTAATCACCGTGAATACTCATCAATCACCTCTTTGAAATTTTACTATTCTAAATCCTGGCAGGTTTTCACCGGAAACAGCAACAGGCACTCGATTGTGTACCATGATTTTGTTAAACAGTTCAAAGCCGTGTATGTTCGTATTTATCCAAGAAGTTGGTACGGCTGGATGTCTATGAGGACCGAGATATACGGCTGTTATGGTATGTTAGAGTTTGCGCTTCGAGGGTGTTTGAGAAACTGAGGGACGAAAATGTTTCATTATTAGTCCGGGACTAACCGATTGATTGATTGGTTTATTGAATGACAGACAGACAGACAAGAAGACAGACTAATATGTAGATTGGTGATTGATTGATGGACTGATTGGTTGACTGGTTGATGGACTGATTGACTGGTTGATTGACAGATTAATTGATTGATTGATTGATTGATTGATGGAAGAAACTTTGTTCACCAGTGTTATACCGATCAATAAAGTTACAATCAGTCTAACTTTTCATTTTTGGCCTATGAATGTTTAGATAAAATTTTATCGTTCCTTGTTCGCTTTTCCACATTTCAGCAGTTGTTGATTACCTTGAGGTTATGATCGAAGTAGTATTGATACTTTAGAGTGATGAAGTATGTACCGATCCTATTTCAATATTTTCAAGAGTTTTGTCACTCACCGATAGTATTTTATGAAAATTTTTTCCTCTTTATCAATAAAAACGTGAAAATATACAATATGAGATTCGAGTCAATAAAACTCTTGCTATGAAATGAAAAGTTTTCTATCAAGATGTTGACATTCTATAAGTTAATTGTGGCAAAATTTCGATGTTTTGCAGTATTTTCATGCAGCAGCCCACTGGTTAGAAAGCTACCGAATTCCAAGATCACCGCGTCTTCGGAATACAACAAATACCACGCGCCCCGGCTTGTTAGATTGGGTCAAGTGCGGCATAGAGGTTACGTGGGAGCCTGGAGCTCAAGACACAACAATCACAACCAATGGATCAAGTTTGACTTCTCTCGACCAATGAAAATCACTAAAGTGGACACTCAAGGTCGACAGGACTCTAACCAGTGGGTAACGCGTTATCTGCTTTCCTCCAGCTTGGATGGAATTCACTGGCAGATTCATAGGATTAACAGTCAGGACAAGGTAGGACACCTACGATTAAGGAGTCATTTGTGAAGTTATCGCATGCAATTTGAGAATGCTCACTGTGACCGTCACGCAACATGGTCTCTCAGGGAAGAAAGTGCGTTGCGCGACAATGGCAAATAGAGGCTACTAAGGCGACTATACCCTACTTTAACAGACGCAAATACGACTCGTTACCTTCAAAGTAAAGTAGATAGCCATAGCTTTAAAAACAACTGACCAACAAACTGAATTTTTTAAGCTCCATCACGGGCCTTAGCGCGGAAGACATATGTCGCCTGACGAGCTCAAGTTTAAGGCGTTTCCTCGTCGTGCCATTTTGACATAACGCAAGTTGCATGAGCACCTAAAAGAAATGCCTTTGAACCTTAGCGTCCCCCAAGAATTTGATGATCGGTTTTCTTGATTGTTGTGATACTAACGCCTCTTTGCTAACTTTTCGCTAAACGTTATCTTCAAATTTTCTCTTAAAGTACTTCCAAGGAAACCGCGATCGTAACAGCGTAGTCACGCAAGCTATAAATCCACCTGTCTTGGCGCGTTACATTCGTTTACACCCGAAGGGATGGAGCGGCCACATTTCTATGAGAGTCGAGTTCTATGGATGTCGCGCAGGTAGGGACCAATTTCTATGTAAATATATGATGCGCAATAATTCTTCAATAATAATAATAGTAGTACTATGAATAATAAATCATAGAATTTTATTGAGCAGTTATCAATATAAAATTTTCAATTTTGCATTGACGGCCAGGGTCTGTTTTTGTTTCTTTTTATGAGCGTGGTCTGTTTTGTATTATTATTGGGTCTCTGTACTGTGTTCATATTTTTGAGGTAAATGGAGGTTTTTATTCATTTTTTGTCTATGTACTGTATTTTGACTATATTATTAACATTGCAATGATTGTTTCAGATCCGTGCGATGTTCCGTTGGGAATGGAAGACGGTCGGGTCACCAAGGGAATGCTCACGGCATCCTCCATGTATAACCATTACTACGGTCCCTGGAGTGCCAGGCTTCAGGCCAGGAACTATGGCTCCCTCCGGGGAGGCTGGATCGCAAAGTACCGCAACACTCATCAGTGGCTGCAGATTGACCTAGGAATCTTATCCAGAGTAAAGAGAATCGCTACTCAGGGTCGGTACGACGCTAATCAGTGGGTGAAGTCTTATACAGTGTCTTACAGCAATAACGGAGCGAGGTTTTATCCTGTCAAACAAGGAAGGAATGTCAAGGTACTAGATTTCAATTTCTGATTTGATTCAAATCTTGCTTATTCGTACTTTAAAGGACCTGCTTACTTATGTGCTTCGTTTCTTTCCTTTTCTTTTCAAGGTATTCCAAGGCAACATCGAAAGAAATCATGTTGTCTTCCATAAATTCAGGCCTTCATTGAAAACGCGTTACGTTCGTATACATCCCAAGTCATGGTACAGCTACATTTCTATGAGAGTAGAGTTGTATGGTTGTAGGCTCGGTAAGTGTGCTCCCTCAAACCCTTATAACGTTTTCCTTGATTAGGGCAAACTCAAACTAAAGCTTTCCACTCCGCCGGTCACTTATGTTAGAAATGCATGCAATGACGAAAATGGCAGATTTGACGAAATTTCGCCAAACCGGTGGATATCATGGATTTAAAAATTTTGGTGAATTTTTAGTCAAATTTGCCACAGCGAAATCAGCAGGGTGGTTTTGACGATTTTGACGAATTTTCGCCATTTTCGTTACAGCATGCATTTCTGGACATATCTCCCGCAGGCAGAACAACGTTAGTTTTAACTACTGCTTTGTCTACAGCACTTAATTCTAATGATATTCTTTGGAATTTTCGGTCGTGATTTTCTCGATTGGTTACCTTTTAACACCTTTTGAGTATAGTTATCTCTGTGTTTATTTTCATCCCTCTGAACTTCATTTTGTTTACTTTGATTTCGTAAAAACCGTTTCTGCCTTTCTCCTCTCTGCAACCGGTGTACCTAGACGTAGCTGTAATGACTTTCTCTTATTGCTCTGCTCGCAGGCCCACTATGCAACCGACCAATGGGATTACAGTCTGGCCGCATTAAAAATCACATGATGTCAGCCTCATCTTATTGGGATGTGAACCACGCTGCTCACTTTGGTCGGCTTCACCACCGCCGCCGCGGTCGTTTCATCGGGGCTTGGTCCTCAAAATACAACAATCGGTACCAGTTCCTGCAGGTCGACTTTGGCGGAGCGTCTAAAATAATTCGAATTGCGACCCAGGGACGACATGACGCAAACCAGTGGGTGACGCAATACTATGTATCACACAGTTTAACCCGAATCCACTTCTCAGAGTATAAAGAACGAAACTCCCGAAAGGTAATAATTTATTTAATAATTATTAAAATTATCATAGACCAGACATCAAATAAAATGTGATATATTATCTTGTTTATACCAGTTTTATATATTTTTTTTTTTTTTCAATTAAGCTCTCGTTTTTTCTTCACTAACGGGGAAGAGTGTCCCAATGGATTTGTTGAACAAATCGTTATTATTAGTATCATTATTTTCATTTTATTAGTATTATCATTCTTATTATTATTTTTCTCATAAGCAACCAAAATATTTGATTTTTGTTTGTTTGTTGTCTCGTTCCAGTATTTCTCTGGTAATCACGACCGGAACACAGTAAGGTTACACTCATTTATTCCTGCCATTCGAGGACGGTACATTCGGGTACATCCTTGGGGATGGCACGCTCATGTCTCGATGAGATTAGAGTTCTACGGATGTCGCATTGGTAAGAGTAAACACCCCTTTATTCTGATCACTCGTTCGAAAACTGAGAGGAACGAGGACCTGGTGAATGCGTTATAAGCCTGATGGCAAGACAAACTCGAAATGTCATAGAAAAGTGTCGGGTTTTACATTAGAGCTTCCAGGACATGACTTTCTCCTTTAGGACCTCTTTGCATTTATTTTAAGAGGGCATTTTAAGTGTAATTCAGAAAGTAAATCATTAGGTCTTGTTCTGTGGCTAAACGTTAAATTTGTAGGTCGCAATTCGTCAACTGGGACGAACGTAAGACTCTTAAAGAGTCTTGCGTTCTGGAGAGGAACATTCTGCTACTTACAGTTGCAAAATTATGACCTACAAGTTACTAAAAAGCCTTGTTCACATCTGAATGACTTATAAAATTTCCATTTTTTGTTGGTATACCTTTTAAAACTTATCACTTGAATTTTTTTAAGATCGTTTCACCATGCCTCTTGGTATGGAAGATCGTCGTATTCTGTCGGGTCATCTTCGGGCCTCGTCGTCTTACAACTACAACCACGGACCTGACCGATCGCGTCTAAACATCGTCAACGGTCGTGGACGAACAGGAGCCTGGGTAGCCAGGCATCGTAACCACAATCAGTGGCTACAGATTGACCTCAGGGAAATGACTATTGTGAAAGGAATCGCTACACAAGGAAGGAGAGAAGCTCATCAATGGGTGACAAAGTATCAGATATCCTACAGTCGATTCGGAGCGCGATTTATCTCTTACGTATCTTTCGGGCGCGTTAAGGTAAGGCGAAGAAATTGTACTCTCAGGAAACTTGTTAGAGATGAATTGCAAGATTTCTGTTCGTTATGTTGAGTGCAGGGTTAAAGACCACTTTCTAAGAGGAGGCGTTCCAAATACTTTTTCCACTCAATGTAAATTGGGGCAGTTTCTACGTTTACCTTTTTTTCTACAGTTTTTTTACAGCATATAGAGATGATTTCTCTTTTGAAGATAAATTCCAAACCCTATACCCTGTTATTTTCATATTTAGTCACAAACGGTGTAGTTTGATTGCCGCGCAAAGTTATTCGGAGAGAAGTTCAGTGTACCAACCCTGAACATAATTTAACAAATCTCGCAGCGTTCCCCCTTCATTCAACATTTGCAAAACCAGGTTTTTAATTTTCTCGCAATTAGTGTAACTATAACGAAGAAAGCTACTAATAAAACTGTTTAACTTTAGGGGGCCGACTTTGTTGTTATCAAACATTTTGTTGGATTTACTTCGATTTGTTTAAAGCAAACCCATCTGCAATTAAGGATGTAACAAAATTTTTCCTCGTTCCCGTTCTTGCATTTTCGGCTGTAAGTAACATTTGTCTTTTACTCTTATTTTAGATGTTCCGAGGTAACTACGACATTTATCACACAGTGGCCCAGAAGATACTTCCCGCTATCAAAGCACGCTACATCAGGATCCATCCTAAGGGATGGCGTTCATACATCGCCATGAGGGTCGAACTTTATGGAGGACGATTAAGAGGTGATTACATGACTAATATCATGGGTCAGATGTTTAAATATTTGGTCCATCAAGAGTTAAGCATTCAATACTTCATTTACTTTGTATTCAGAAAACTTCTGCGATGCGCCAGTGGGTCTTCAATCCGGTCGTATAAAAAACAGCCAAATCACAGCTTCCTCTCAGTGGAATAAGCATCACGCACCCTGGCTTGCTCGTCTGCACCGAGCCAAAAGGGGGCCTTACATTGGATCCTGGTCTTCCCGACATAACAACCACAATCAGTGGCTACAAATCGACTTTAGAAGGGCAATGAAGATCACTGGTATTGCCACTCAAGGTCGACAGGACGCTGTCCAATGGGTGACCGCGTACTATATCTACTATGGTTACGATGGTGTGTACTTTTCCCAAGTGAAATATTGGTGGAGTTATACACCAAGGGTAAGATGGTTTTTAACTAAAGATCGATAGGAAGTATGACATGATGGCAAATTTAGTTGCATTCTGGCGTGAAGGAGGACATCGATTTGAAATTCAAGTGATGAGTTTGGGAACTCATCGATAACAATACAGGACTACCGATTCCTTTCCATTCTAATTTTGTATCCTTTTGACTGCCTAAGAAAGTTTTACCTGATTTAAGCAAGTGACAGAAGTCGTCATAGGTTAGTCTCCCACTTATTAGGTTACTGAAGTTACTAATAATTTAGATGAGGTGACTTTGTCGTGGGCTTTGCAGTATTGATAAATTTTCGGCTGGCAAGTGCTCAATATTTCTTCATGAAAAATTTCGCCGACATCATAGCGTTTTAGAGTGGAAGAAAGTTGGGTACAGCAAATAAAGTGAGGAAAGACGACTGGCAAAAAGAATGTAGAAGGAAGGGGGGGGGGAATCAATAGTGGATCCGTGAACGATCGTTTGCTTGTAAGGCAAGCTCGTTCTACCTGATGAAATGCTAGAGGTGATTCATGTATTTCCATGCTAATACATTATTGCTTCTGTTGTGTTTGTCCTTAAACAGACTTTCCAAGGCAACCGAGATCAGCTATCTGTACAAACACACCCTATAAACCCAGCTATTTACGGCAGATACGTGCGAATCATACCACGAGGCTGGAGATCACATATTTCAATGAGGCTAGAGCTTTATGGAAGTCCTTGGAGTAAGTTTTTCAAAAACGCCATTTTTGTGTTATTTTTGTTATTTCTGTTGTCTGGAGTAAACCAATAATCACATACAAGTTCCAGGGAGAAGTTGTTGTCAGTTTAACCCTCTACTCCCTAACATCAGTATCAATCTTCTCCCTACTCTTCTCTATACATTCCCTTGGTATTGATACGGAGAATTCGTTTCACAATCAAGCTTCTAAGGTTGGCGATCATTTCCTCAATTCTCTTAATTAATGATTCAGCAGTATCACTGTAAGGAGAACTTAGAATCTGGTCACTAAAGGGTTAAGAGAGAAATTCAATATTACATGCATCGCAAATCTCTACATCCACATTAATACGTTGAACGACACTAAATGATTCTTAGGTTTTCCTGTTTTGTGTTAAATCTATTTGAACCTCACCTCTTCACCTTCTTGTGCTCGTTCAACTATTAGTTAAATATGACGTTTGTCATTTAAAACTTTCCCCTTCCCTTTTTGATTTTAATCATCTAAACCCACGAGTGACACTCGAAAAAAGAGCCAAGTCGACGAAGTCCTACGTGTACTTAATTTTTTTCTGTTGTAGATCGTTGTGATATGCCACTTGGTATCGAAGATAAGCGCGTCCACGACAAAATGATGCGCGCTTCTTCGTACGCCAGCTACTACTGTAGACCAGCAAGTGGACGGCTGAACGGCCGCCGATATGGTCGATACGGAGGGGCCTGGTGCGCAAAGAGACGAGACAGGCGCCAGTGGCTTCAGGTGGATTTTGGTGCATATACCAGAGTGTCTCGTATTGCTACGCAAGGAAGACAGAACTCCGCTCAATGGGTGAAATCGTACTCTCTTTCATACAGCAAGAATGGATACGCATATGTACCTTATAGAGTGGGAGGTCGAACAAAGGTTAGTGAAAGAATATTCAAAAGAATAACATCCACTACCCACTCAAGACTTAGGCTTCTAGCTCTTCTGTCTTATGTGCCCACAGCTCTTGCCCAGGAGCCGGTTGTTCAAGGGTGGTGCTAGTGCAAATGTAGGATTAACTTTTAAACTTGGTTTTTACTTCTCTTGTTTAGCATCGCACATTACCGCCAACATTTGGTGAGGTCTCTCAGTGTTTTGAATAATTCATCTCAGAATAACGCACAGACTCCACTGGACTTAAAATACAGTCTTCTTTTGAGCAAGGAAACTTTGTAGCACTCTTTCAATTTTTTCTCCCGAACTCTTAGTCTAACACACACTTTTCATTGGGACACTTAGGTTTTTAAACCAGATATTAATGATCCATTTTACTTTCAGATATTCCTTGGAAACTATGATCAACACGTGATTGTACGCCACAGATTACGTCACCATATCACAGCGCGCTATTTTAGATTTCATCCCATCACGTGGTACAACTGGATCTCAATGAGAGTTGAACTGTACGGCTGTGTCGTTGGTGAGTTTTTCTCGCCCTTAATTAAGTTTCTTATTGCGATTTTTTTCAGAACGTTTAAAGCGCGTTTCGATCAAGTGAAATAAAATTACGACCAAAGAAATCACAATGGCCGGCCAAAACAAGGGCTAAATTTACGATCTCTAACCGGAGAAGTAAGGTAAATTTAGGCACCAACTTGAATTTCTGAGTGTCTATGCGGAATTTGAAAAAGTTCGGCCAGGTTCGAAACAAGTACTCTCAGTCTAATGTCCATGGCACCAGCCACTGCCTCCTGGCTTTCTTACTTCACAGTCACGTCAAAAGAGTAACATCCTTCTTAACATGGAACAACTCCCACTTTTTATAGAAGAATGAAAACCATATCGTATTGATTGTCGTATGCGCTCTTTTGTTTATTCCTTTTAGGAGCACGATGCAACAGGCCTTTAGGAATGCAAAATGGCCGCATACGTGCAAACCAACTTACTGCTTCTTCCAGCTGGGACAAGAACCACGCACCCAGCTACGGCAGGCTTCATTTCCGCCGCGCTGGTCATCGAGTGGGGGCCTGGTGCTCGCGGCATAACAACCGTCTCCAGTGGTTTCAGGTTTACTTTGGTCGCCCCACCCGGGTGGTGAAGTTTGCTACACAAGGACGACAGGATGCCCGTCAATGGGTGACTCAGTATTATTTGACATTTAGTCAGGATGGAGTGCATTCTGCTGAATACAAAGAAAACAGTAATCGAAAGGTACATCATAATTGCTCGTTGAAATTTTTTAAAAGATCATTTTTTCCAAACAGTGGACATGTGTGGAAACTGAAATAGAAGCAAATAGAGATGTCAGCTTTAAGAACATTCCTCACTAAGTATTTCTTCTTTACGTACCTTGGTTGCTTTTCCGCCAGACATATGTTCAAGGAAAAGCAAAATTGATTATCTAAAAAAGAGGACAGAGAGATAGCTAGATTTTTGGGAACCAGTAAAATATGTGCCCCATTTGAGGATCGTACCCACGACCTTTAAATTTCTTCAACTTTTTCACTTTTGCTTGAGACTGATGCGCTGCTGCCTATTGTGCTAACAAGGCACCTTGGATATCGACAAACATGCATGAATATTTATTTGGTGTGCTTCTAACTAAAAGACAGGGCAAGGGATATAAAATCAATGGCAATATTTAATTTTTCTATTGCAGTACTTCCAAGGAAACAGAGATCAAAACAGTGTTGTCCAACATCGCCTCTTTCCTAATATTAAAGCGCAATATATTGAGATCCATCCATGGGGTTGGTATGGACATATCTCCATGAGGGTCGAATTCTATGGCTGTGCTGAAGGTAATCGAGAAACCATTTAACCCTTTCAATTCCAAAACCTCAATATAAGTTCTCCTTATTGCTTGCCATACATTTCATACTCTCTCTCTTTATCTTCTGTTTGGTGGTGTATTGATATCGTAAGGAGAAATTACGTATTGGTTTTCCTGAAGTGAAAGTGTTGGATTGTAAAGCCGAGGACGATCTATCATTGAGTGTTTGGCGAGGGAAAATTTCTGGTCTTCTCTCTTTCGAAAAAAAAAAACAAAAACAAGCAATTAAATGGAGCAAAATTTCTTTGTTAACACAAGCGTTCTGCTCATATTTTTTATACTTGCAAGAACCTTCTTTTCGTCCAGTATCAAGCCTTATCAAGAGTCATTAGAAGCTCTTAAATACATGGCTTCTCTCTCTCGTCAGGGTACAGAACGAAAGAATCTAACCCCTCTTCCTCTAACACTTTCAGATCGCTTTGTTATGCCACTTGGTTTGGAAGATAAGCGTATTACAGATGGTTCTCTCACCGCATCCACTTACTACAATCATCACCTCTCTCCATGGCATGGCCGACTGAACAGCCGCTGGTCATGGAGCGTGCGCCACAACCGCAGAGGGGAATGGTTCCAAGTGAACTTTGTTGAGCTGATGCGCATAAAAGGCGTGGCTACCCAGGGAAGGCAGGACGCTTCCCAGTGGGTGAGAAGCTATACAATTATGTACAGCGTGGACGGAATGAATTTCGTGTCTTACAAGGAAGGACGTACCACCAAGGTAAATGTCTAGTGTGATTTTCAAAGGTAGATGTATTTGGTTCACAAGTGAAACCGCATGACATTGAAAAGTGCGCAAGTGTTATTCGTTTTATGTTTTCGCGGGATGTCAGTTTCTAACAAATATGGAAGTATTCCGCTTCCATAAAGAATCAGCGAAAAACTCAATTGAATGAAGCTGTTCGTTATTTCAATACACTTTGCGTCAACTTTCAAATAATGCGATAATCTCAAGTTCCCGGCTGAGAAATGCAACTATACGAGTAAATTCTGGTTTTGAGTATAAACTAGTATTTTTTATGCTACTAACGAGAATAACAGAAACGTCTTTTTTTTGTTTTACGACGCTTTAATTGGAATGCACAGATGCCCGCTGAGGGACGTGGATCCCTGGCCTTCCGGTTAATTAGAGAATACTCCTCTTGTTTAATTGGGGAACTCAGCCAATACAACCCTCCGTCATTCATATGTAATAGTTTTTCCTCTGTTGTGTTTTGTGGCTGTTTTAAAAGATTCATGGTTTTATCTTAGGTCTTCAGTGGAAACACAGACCGCCATTCCATCGTGTATCACCAGTTCCTCAGGCCCTTCACGGCCATAAACGTTCGTTTTTATCCGAAAACCTGGTACGGTTGGATATCTATGAGAGCTGAAGTTTATGGCGCTTCAGGTATGCCTTAACTTTCTAAGAAAAATGTCTAAGCGATGAAATTACGACAAAAAGTAAGTAAGAAATTTATTGACAAAGAAATTTAGTACTGTGCAAATGTAATGCGAACGATTATCGTCGAATATTGCGCTTTGCTCTGCCGAGATATCGCCGATATTTTGATGATTTATCGTACACTTTAACGCCACGTGTGAACGATAAATCGACGAGATATGGGGGCTTTTCTGCGATCTTTCGTTTCTTATTTGTCATTAACCGAAAAAAATTGTTGTTCACTGTTTTTATGTCTGATTATACAGCCTCTCCGTGTAACAAACCTCTGGGATTACAAAACCACCGTCTTCCCAACAGCCGTATTACAGCATCATCGGAATGGAATCAATTCCACGCAGCCAGACTTGGGAGACTGGGTCAAGTCAAACGTGGCAAATATGTAGGGGCCTGGTGCACACGGTACAACAATCATCTACAATGGTTCAAGGTGGACTTTGGTCGACCAATGAAAATCACTAAAGTAGCCACTCAAGGCCGACAGGATACCAATCAATGGGTGACTTCTTTCTATCTGTCGTCAAGTCAGGATAACGTGCACTGGGAGGCATTCAAGTTTAGAAGTGTATTCAAGGTAAAAACATATGAAAATACCGATAAAATCAATCATTTAATCAGGTGTTAGATTTACAAATTTTCTGCCCGAACTATCTAAATAAACAATTATAGCAAAGCTGACATTTGCAGCTGTACTTGTGAACGCTGTTGTGTAGACGCTAAAAATCTCATTGCCAACCATTTTAGATTTAAATGTGCCCTTTTGTTTGTATTCTTGGAGAAGAAATTCATTGAATGATTTTCTGAGTGAGTTCTGCCCTACCTTTCAGTAAAACCTTTCCAGGAATCTCGCTGCTTTAATACTTAGTGGTTCGTCAAATTTTGCGAATGAAAATAAGGATAAAGTAGGAATAAGTTTTTCAGACCCTGATGCTCAGAGACTGTGATTCTAAAACGTATCAGCAGGATTGCGGAACACTGGCTTTCTAGTTTTGAGCCAATACCCCTAACATTTTTGCGAGGCTCGTGATTATTATTTCGCTCTTTCAGCTTTTCCAAGCCAATCGTGATCAAAACAGCATCGCTAAAAATGCCATCAACCCACCAATCTTAGCCAGATATGTCAAGCTTAATCCACGTGGCTGGTACAGACACATTTCAATGAGAATCGAGTACTATGGTTGTGTCGCTGGTAAGTTGCTTTCACCTCCACCTTTCACTTTCGACCAGAATCCAATGATAACCTGTTTCCTGTCTCCGTTGGTGATGTTTATCGTTGAGTCTTTATTTAACCCTTTCAATTCCATGCGTGACGAAAAAGTAACTTCTTCTTTTCTACGGCTATGAATTGTCTAGAAGACAAGTGACGAAGGATAACATTTCATTAACATCAAAATCTCCAAAGGAAGAAATATAAGGAATGTATTTTTCCACTGAAATCTTGAGATTTAAGGAACCAACGTTAGACCGAAAGGATCATAGATAGTCAAGCTTGTCGAAAATTAACACGCTTTGAATGGCGAACTTGAAATGTAAGGCGAAATTTTCAACAAGCAAAAGTTGTGACGTAGACCATCAGGAAAGTTAAACATTTTTACTTCCACAATCCAGATCGTTGCGATGTTCCCCTTGGAGTCCGAGACGGTCGCGTCACACGCGCAATGTTCACCGCCTCATCCATGTACAACCACTACTATGGTCCTTGGAGTGCAAGACTGCAGGCTCAGAATCATGGTATAACCAGAGGAGGTTGGGTCGCTAAGTACCGCAACACTCATCAATGGCTACAGATTGACTTAGGAACCACTTCCAGAGTGAAGAGGATAGCTACCCAAGGCCGGTATGATGCCAACCAGTGGGTGAAGTCTTACACTGTATCGTACAGCAACAACGGTGTGAGGTTCTATCCTTACAGACACGGAAGGAGAGTAAAGGTTAGTTATATAGAATTGAACGTGTCATACCTCACTTTGGCCAGTTTTATTCCACGAAGAAGCAATATTTATTTAACATGCGAGCAAATCGTAGATAAAGCGTAAATTATCAACGCAAGGAACAAAGTGCTAATGCAATTTCCAGATGAAAAATTTGACAAGATTCAAAGTGTTTGGAAATCTCTGTAATGAAATGCACTTGGGTATTCAATATATTTCGATAAATTTACGTTGTGCAGTTTAAGGAAAGAGCTTGAAGCTACCCATACAAGGTAGGAGTAACATAAAGGCTTCTTTTTTGCCCTTTTACTTCTACTGATACTGTTGCTCTGACTGCTATGATGTCGCATGGTCGTCAACTGTATATCTTAATTGAAGACGTACTTCAGTTTTGCGAATTGTGTAGTCCTTGGATGTCTCGAGACACGTCAGAGGCCTACGTACGGGGGAAAATCACTACAGTCGGAATAACATGAGAAACCGAAACGAAGAGCAGATGTCTCAGATGTGACTTAAGTATTAATTATCAGGCACAGGCGATAAAGTCTCTCTCTTCATTTGTTACCAATGTTATAATAACTAGCCAATCTAAAGACACATTCTCATAGCACATTTATTTTGTAGATATTCCAAGGCAACACCGAGAGATATTATGTAGTGTACCACAGGTTTCGCCCGTCCATCAAGGCCCGCTATATACGTATTCACCCACGGACTTGGTACAGCTGGATCTCTATGAGGGTTGAACTTTACGGCTGTCGACTGGGTATGTGTAGTCCTAGTGTATGAAGTATCCGGGGCCAAATTTCTCAGAATGCTGACAGGATATGCAATCGAAAGTTCGCCTTGGTGCTGACTGAATTATAGTTTGGAGGTCACAAATCTTCGACTCTGCAACGAAACAAGCCTTGTTTTGTTGTAGCTCCGAGTTCATCTCCTCAACTGCGCTCAGTAAATTTCAACTGGTTTGCTAAATATCAGTCAGATTTGAAACAATCTACTTTCTATTGTTTCTATCTGCTGATTTACTTACCGCGTCCCCAGTTACTCAGAAGTCTAAAAAACATTGATATCTTATCAACTTAATTTTATCGCCAGCTGTTATCTGGGAAAATATCGCAGACCTCTGAGAAATGATAACTTAATCTACATGCGCTTAGAACTCGTAAAATCATTCAAAATTTGATCAAGTTCGTCGATTTGACAATCAGCCTTTTTTAAGAGTTACCAGCATAGCATTGACCGCAAAATTTTAATAGACTACTATGTCGTTATTCCAAAAGCTTTTTAGCCCAGATTATAGGTGACAAGAATCAGGAAACTAATTAAATATGGGCTAATATGTATGGATGTGACGAGAAATTCTTGCAAATAATTTTTCTTAAAATGTGTGGTGATTGTGAGGAAAGTCGATGTTTTGATCCCAAAAATAAATAGACCAAGCGTCGTAGATAGTTATACAGTATTTTTTTTCCTCTAAGCCTCATTATTTTGTCTTTATTAGGTGTCCTCTGCAACCGACCAATGGGAATGCAGACAGGGCGCATCAAGAACTACCAAATCACGGCGGCATCCATGTGGGATACATTCCATGGTCCTTATCTGGCAAGACTCCATCGGCCGCGTCGGGGACGATACATAGGGGCCTGGTCAGCAAAATACAATAACCATTACCAGTGGCTGCAAGTGGACTTTAAAAGAGCAGCGAAGATCATTAAGATATCTACACAGGGACGGCAGGATACTTACCAGTGGGTTACACAGTATTATGTCACCAGGAGTCTCGACAGAGTTCACTTTATGCCATATATGGAAAGGAATAGCATTAAGGTATGAGGCAGAGCACGAGTCTAGAACTGATTGGTGAAAATCTTTGAAACAGGGTGCTGGTTGTCTGTGTTTCAGCACTAACTAAACTAGGACACGGTTGTGAGTTTGTTGGCCTCAAACTCCCGTAGGTGATGTGTCCAGTTAATAAGGCGCCCGTCACTATAGTCACTTGATGGGACAGCTAAATGTCCTAAGATTAGTAAGCCTACAAATTCCAGATCCTCCAACAGGGAATCGGTTGATGCGATCGAACCTTCGTTATCTTGCAGAATAAACAATGTTGCCTTAAACATGATCGTTACGATCCATTTTCCTTTAAGAATAGGCGTAGTTGCAGGGAATCGGCCATGTTCGCATAATCACACTCGTCTGAGAGTCTAAGGGCCTAACATGGTTACGGTCATGTTCTCCTGGCAGCGCTAATACGACAGTTTGTTATACGAAAAGCACCCAGCAGCACAAGAACATCTCACTGAGGCTATCTACGAGTATTTCATGCGGAAAATTCAGTTAAAATCTTACTAATAATATATATTCTAATATATATGTTCTTTTATCTGTTGCAGTACTTCACGGGAAACCGTGACCAAAATACTGTTGTCACCAACTCCTTTGTTCCTATACTGCGTTGTCGTTACATCCGGGTTCGTCCCAGAGGATGGTACAAACACATATCCATGAGAGTAGAGTTTTACGGTTGTTTCACAGGTGGGCATCGTTTAAATTTAATTCACTTAAAATTGGAAAAATACTGAAACGTTTTGGCGAGATATGAAGTTTTTACTTTGTCTCTGTTTTGCTCTTAAGATCGGTGTGTTATGCCTTTGGGTATGGAAGATCGTCGTATCCTATCGGGTCGTCTTCGTGCCTCGTCGTCGTACAACTACAACCACGGACCCGACCGGGCGCGTCTGAACATCATTAATGGTCATGGACGAACAGGGGCCTGGGTAGCCAGGCTTCGAAGTGCCAACCAGTGGCTACAGATTGACTTGGGCCAGAGTAGTATCATAAAAGGAATCGCTACACAAGGAAGGAGAGAAGCTAATCAATATGTGAGAAGTTACACACTCTCGTACAGTCGCTTTGGAATGAGATTCAGGGCTTATGTATCCTACGGAAGAGTTAAGGTACGAACAATCGGCCTGTAAAACTTTTCCTTAAGACCTTTCACCCTTATATCAGTATGCATATTCTGCATAATGTTCTCCATACACTATCTACAGGGCTGATAAGGAGATTCTGTTTAACAGTCAAGAACTCTTTATGTTGGTGATCATTTTTCCTTATTCTCGTGACCTTAATGTTTGATTCAGAAATAATACTGTAAAGATAAATTAGATTTGAGTCACTCCTATATTGGGGTACAGAAAGATCACAGTTTGATGAAATGTGTGAAAATTACTAGAACTGAAGGTGGCAAATTGGAGAGAAATCAGATGCCAAATGCAACATGTTTACTGAATTTCTTATCGTGAGCGTTTAGTTTGTGGCTTTAGATACTTATCTGTGATCTCTACAGGTATTCCGAGGTAACTACGACATTTATCATACGGTGGGGCACAAGATCATGCCAGCAATAAAAGCACAGTTTGTCCGAATTAACCCGAAGTCGTGGTACAGCTATATAGCCATGCGTGTGGAACTTTATGGATGTCGCCTGCGCGGTAAGGCTCAAGCATATCAGTTAAGAATTAACATTCTTTTAACTACTGTCTCATAAGAAATTCAATTTCAAGACTATAGAGAGATAAAAACTCTTAGGATTTTATTCATTTTAGATCAGAGGCGTACAAAAAATTCAAAAAAATTTTCAAAAGCCATTTTACATTTCTGTGAAACTTTTGTTTGTCACGCTTGAAAATTAAAGGCTATTTAACACACAAATGTACCAGCAATGTGTCCCCTCAAGGAAATTGTCTTGTCCATTTACTCCAGAACGATTTTGCGACAGTCCTCTTGGCCTTCAAAACAATCGAATCAAAAATGCCGCCATTACAGCCTCGTCTCGGTGGGATGCGAACCATTCTCCTTGGTTGGCGCGACTTCATCGTCCGCGTCGAGGTCGGTTTATTGGGGCCTGGTCCTCTAGACACAATAATCATAACCAATGGCTGCAGGTAGACCTGGGAAGGTCAATGAAGGTGACGGGAATTGCTACTCAGGGTCGATACGACGCTGACCAGTGGGTTACGGCGTACTATCTGTATTACAGTGCGGATGGAGTCAACTTTGCCAAAGTAAAGCATTGGTGGAATTATGTTAAGGTACAACAGTAATCATTTTCTAAATGCTAATCGCAGTTTTGATACACCGTAAACGAATAAAAAATTTTGACAATATCAGCTGGGGCTATATTATGCGGATATGTAACCAAATTTTTAGGACCAGCCAACCAAGGGTTTGGTTATCTGTTTAGTAGAGTTAGCTTTTAGATCCTGCAAGGTCAAAGGTTTGTTAAACAGTCTGAGACAATAGCGGTTATCATTACCGCCTCTTTTGTTAGGCCAAAACTCAATCAAAAAAGCTCAATCAGTCATCATTTATCGTGTTGCAAGTGACCTCAATAGCGGTTGATTCTCTCTTCTCAGCTCTCTCTAAAGGCATTTGTACGTTTTTCAATAATTATCAATACTTCCACGATTTTCTTCGGTTCCATAGACTTTCCAAGGCAATCGAGACCGACTGTCTGTCCAAACACATCCAATTGATCCACCACTGTACGGCCGATATGTTCGAGTGATACCACGAGGATGGAGGTCCCACATTTCCATGAGACTGGAATTATATGGAGCACCATGGAGTAAGTTTTGCAACCTACGTACTTCTTATTACGAGTTCAATGTCCGTACTGTAAGTTACGGCCAGAGTTTTTTCGTGCGCAGGCCATAAATCTGAGCGGGAAAAAACTGAGGTTCCGTATCGTGGGCTCCTTTAATTTGTTTTATCAAGTGTATCAGTAGTCAAGATTTACGGTCAGACCTTTTTCAAAGGCAACCTATAAGGCGTAACAGCAAATAGGGTTCGATATGAAGGTATACTGATACCATATTGTTTCTGCAAGTTACTAGCCAGTCTCGTTTTGACACTGAACATTCTTGTTAACTGATAAAAACACGTATTTCTCATAGATCGTTGTGACATGCCACTCGGTGTAGAGGACGGCCGTGTTCCAGATCCACTCATGCGCGCCTCATCGTTCTACAACTACTACTGCAGCCCGTTCAATGGTAGACTTAACAGACGACGTTATGGCCGATACGGAGGGGCCTGGTGCGCAAAAAGACGAGACAGACGTCAGTGGCTGCTGATAGATTTTGGCGCAGCTACCAAAGTATCACGTGTTGCCACTCAGGGAAGACAGAACTCCGCTCAGTGGGTGACGAGTTATTACATATCGTACAGTAAAAATGGGTATAAGTACACACCTTATAGAGAGGGCAGGCGTACTAAGGTAAGATCATCTTTGAATGGTCCACAATCGATACTTTTGGATGTATTAGTATGTATATTCCTCACAGTGTTCTCTGAACATTGTTTATGATAATGACCAAGAGAATTTTATGAACAATCAAGAGAGTCTTCGGTTGGTGATCAGTTCTTTTACCATAATGTTGAATTCTGCAGTGATATTGAAAAGGGAAACTAGGTGCGAGTCACTCTTGTGTCTTGCTCAGTGCACATCACTGACAATCAACATGGTTGAAAAAATAATCAAATCAACGGTGCTCAAAATAGACAAAAATGGTTTTAACTGAAGGTTTTTTATTTGTTTGTCGTGTTGTGTCGCTTCTTTCCAATCTCTCTACTTGATTTTAACCATAAAGTGTTAAAATGGTGTTGCTCAGAAACCTAAAAATTAATTTACTCTTATGTCTTTCAGATATTCCAGGGTAATTACGATCGGTACATTATCGTTCGTCACAAACTGGCGAGACCCATAACAGCACGCTTTTTCAGGATTCATCCAGTCACGTGGTACGGCTGGATCTCAATGAGAGTGGAATTTTATGGTTGCGTTGTCGGTAAGTGTACACTTACATCCGGGCATCAGTAATAATGGGTAAATCATAGGTAGCATCAGTTGATTCAAAACTCCTAAAACTTTTTTATCTGTTTTAAGGACCAAAATGCGACAAGCCTTTAGGACTGAGAAATGGCCGCATTCGTGCAAACCAACTTACTGCTTCTTCCAGCTGGGACAAGAACCACGCACCCAACAACGGCAGGCTTCATTTCCGCCGCGTTGGTCATCGAATGGGGGCCTGGTGCGCGCGACATAACAACCGTCTCCAGTGGTTTCAGGTTCTCTTTGGTCGCCCCACTCGGGTGGTGAAGATTGCCACACAAGGACGACAGGATGCCCGTCAGTGGGTGACTCAGTACTATTTGTCATACAGTCAGGATGGAATACACTATGCAGAATTTAAGAAGAACAGCAATCGAAAGGTATGGACTTCTCTCCTTTTAGCATCTAGTATGCCTTAAGTGTCTCCACACAATACAATTTAATTGCTTTTCATGAACCTTTTGCGTCTTGTAAAGGTAATAGTTTCAAATTTGTGCGAAAAAGTACGAAAACTATTAAGATAAAAATGGTTCAAAGAAAAAACCTGCGATTATCGTTTCAATTATACACTGTTCTGGCCACTTGTCTTCTCATTGGCTAAGAGCTTGTTTTAAGTTCTGGATATCAGGGAACCGTAGCAGTTATCTACTTGCAGATATCTTCTCGGTGTTGAGGTCAAATCCTGCGATTATCATATCAACTATGCACTGTCCTCGCTACGGGTCTTCTTATCGGCTAAGAGCTTGTTCCAATGACTGGATATCAGGGGACCTTAGCAGTTATCTACTTGTAGATCATGATCTTCTTCATGATCTGCTGCTTCCACACGGCGCCGATGGTTTTTTCCTGCTCTATTCTGATCAAAATGCTGAGATCGGATGCACCCAAATGTTTAGATGAAGTATGTTTGGGTCGACTTAAGCACATGTTATCTGCAAATTCACAATGTAGTATCCAGTGTTTCTTCGTTATTTGCAGACACTTTACAATTTCGTCGATTCCTGTATTTTTCTCCAGATGGAGTGATTATTTCTTTTTGGGTTATTTGCCCTTGTTGTGCTGTCTCATCTCTCTGTTTTCTGAGGCAACAGCATAAAATATTTCGTAATCCTCGACGATAGCTCTGAACAAATGACAAACAAATGACGGGATTGATGACAGTCGATGCGTAATGGCAAACATCTGCCGTAACTCTTAACACTTCAATCATGGTGCAGGAAAGTGGCAAAACTCTGCTGAAATGTAGGCGAACAAGCATTGCAGGTGAAACGGACAGGAAATATGTCACCATGGTAACAACGGACAATCGGATGGCTCTTTTTCTCTTCTCGAAAACGTTTCGTTGAATTCTCGGGCCGGAATTCGCAAGCGATTTACTTTGCTTATGTAGGGCAGCAGTTATGGCTGCGTATAAAAGTGTCGAGATAAACAACGGAACAAAATAAAGGAGAGTCGTTTGAAACCAAAGATATATTGCGAAATCTTTTTGGTTAATGGAAACGAACGTTGTGTGTTTACAGCAAGCGTGATTGCCTTCTTTACGAAGATCCAAACTTAGTAGGTATGTAAAACAAAAAGCAGCAGCTAGACTCCAAGTAGAAGCGATCGCTATCATACGTATCTTTTTAGAAATAAACCCTAGTCTTACTGGAAACACAACGGCGAAAAATCTGTCAATAGCTATCCACACGAAGCTTTGGGAGGATACAAGAAAAGAAACTTGGGAGACGAAAATAATAAACTTGCAAGTAATCGATCCAAAGGTCCCACTAAGGTACCAACGCCACCATGTCGAATTGTTCGCCTTTGCAACGATTTCTACGGGGAGCCAAACTAACGGGAAAACGAGATCAGACACAGCCATATTCACAATAAAATAGTTCACTGTTTTGTGTAAATCCTGGTTTTTGTAAACGATGATGATTATGAAGATATTCCCGAAAAGGCTGCCAAGCAAAAGAAAGCAATACGTAATAAGTTTGAAGTTGTCCTCGAAAGCGGACAGTTCTTGGTAAGAACAGTTCATTTGCTGATGGTCATTTTTAGTCTCATTAAGACCTTGCATTGTATTTCGTGGCAACGAAATAGATGTTACTCTGTCAGGTCTCAAGGAAGTGGTATAACCTTTTTGCCTCGACAGGGCCTTGAAAAACTTTTTGACACTTGTGAAGTAAATTTGAACGTCGGTCCCTAGTCATTTAGAACAGACGAGTTTGTCTTACGGTGTGAAATTCGTTGTGTGCCTCAGTTAATAACAACAGCTCAACTAAAATATTTGTTCAAGCTGAATGGTGCTTTTTCCTTCAATCTAATCATGTTGTTTTGCATATTATAGTGATTGGATCTTAATGGATAAACATCCACTTCTGAATTGTTCCATCTGAATAAACAAAGCATATTGAGCCTTGACATTTGATTTAGATTACATTTTCAATTCACAGTTTTCAATTCATTTCCGTTGTATTTTTCAATAAAGTCTCCACTACATTTTCAATTCATTTCCGTTGTATTTTTCAATGAAGTCTCCAAATTAATTTGTGAGTAGATTTTCCTTAATTCACCGACAATCCACAGTAGCTACTTTTCGAGACACATGAAGGGCAAAGAGACTGAAAGATTATTGAAATGTAGTGTAATAAAACAAAAATGTTGATAATACTGAAAGTAAAATGATTTTAAAAAGTTGTGTTTGTGCAGACATTGGACAACAATGTTTGGTTCCCTAAATCTCTGGATGTGGCCGGCAAAGGGAAAAGGAGATCGGTTTCGACAGAAATGCAGTTTCGCTGCTGAATCAGTCGATTATGCTACCGGTAGTTAATCGTAGGTATAATTCGAGCATTGGACATTTCAGCCGATTCAATTCTTTGTTCAAACTAGTTCATAATAATAATACGTCGTGGTTGGGAAAGGTGGGGTTTAATGATGATAATGCCAAAGACATTTCTCATGTAGTCTTGCTGCTTTATTGCTATATCCAGCTGCTGTTTCTTTATGATCTGCTGCCTCATCACGCTACGATCATTTTCTCTTGAGAAATTTTTCATTTCTTGTACGTAATTCGCTCTAGTTTTGCTTTCTCGTTGCTCCGTTAACTGCAGCAGGAACATAAACGTTAGACGAGCGAACTTAAGTACAGAAATGCAAAGGCATTGGTGAAGGCAAAGAAGTCCTTTCACGCTTTGCACCCCAAAATCATTGGGCCTATACTGTTCTGTATACATTTCCTGTGGTACTGACAAGGATAATTTGTCTAACAACTAAGAGCTTCTTTGGTTGGTGATCTTTGGTTTTCTTCTCGTGAAATTACTGCAGTACCGCTTTGAGGAGAAATGAAATGCATGGTACGTCTAAGAGTTTAAGATTTAATACTTGTAGCCCGCAGTATCCTAGTATTTCCTCGCTTGTAGCAGTAAATTCCGTTCTTCGCCAGTAGTGAGTTGTGATTGCCCGATAATATTAGAAAATTTATTTTTGTTCCATGTCCCTTGCTTTTGGTAAATGATAACACCTTTATTTCATTCGATCACAGAGCTAAAAAGCTACAATATCATTAAAGTTGTCTATTCGGTACAATACACTAAGATCGGATACACTGAAATTGCTTTAGAATTTTAGACTAAGGTATGCTCGGATCGACTGAAGCGCACAATGTCTGTAAATTTACAAAGCAGTATCCAGTATTTCGTCGTTATTCGCAGACACTTTACAATTTCGTCGATTCCTGCAGTTTGCTGTAGATGGAGACTTCATTTCTGTTGGATTTTTTTGCCCTCGTTTGCCTGTCTCGTCTCTCCTTGTCCTGAAGCAATAACATAAAATATTTCGTAATCCTTGACGATAGCTGTGAACAAATGACAAACAAATGACGGGATTGATAACAGTCGATGCGTATTGGCAAAGATCGCCCATAAAACTCACTACTTTCATTACGTTGCAGGGAAATCGAAAAACCTTTCTGTGTTGCAAATAAGAAAGCATGGGTATGGTAACAGTTAGGTAATACGTCACCATGGTAACTGCTGATAATTGAATCGCCCTTTTTCTCTTCTTGAATACGTTTCGTTGAATATTTGGGCCAGAATTAGCCAGCGCTTTACTTTGCTTATGTAACGAAACAGCTATGGCTGTGTACAAAACTGCTGATAAAAAAAAAGAACCGAAAGTATTAAGAAACAATTGCATATAATAAGATATTGCGAAGTATGTTTCTTCTGTGATGGCGGAAACCAATTTTACTTCACAAAAAGTCTTATTGTCTCTTATGTGAAGATCCTGGCTAACAAGATGATTAGAATTAATAGCGGCTGCCAGAATCCAAGTAGAAGCAATAGCTATGACTCGTATCTTTCTTGAAACAAGCCCAAGTCTCACTGGAAATAGAATGGCGACAAATCTGTCAATCGCTATCCAGACGAAGCTTTGGGAAGAAACGGCAGGAGAAACTTGGGCAACGAAATGTATAGACTTGCAAGTAATCGATCCAAAGATCCCATCAACGTACCAACGCGTTAAAGTCGCACCAGTCGCCATTGAAACAATTTCAAGGGGAAGCAAAACCAACGGAAAAACGAGATCAGACACAGCCATGTTCACGATGAAGTAGTTCACCGTTTTTTGTAGATCACGGTGTTTGTAAACAATAATGATTATGAAGATATTTCCGAAAAGGCTGCCAAGCAAAAGAAAGCAGTACATACAAAGTTTGAAGTTGTCCACTGCAGCAGGCAGCTCTTGGTAAGAACAGTTCGTTTGCTGATGGTCATGTTCAGTCTCATTAAGACCTTGCAAGGGCATTGTATTTCTTGGCAACGAGATGGATATTACTCTGTCAGGTCTCAAGGAAGCGGTGTATTCTTCTTTTGACAGAACCTTTAAACACCTTTTGACACTTGTGAAGTAAACTTGAACTTTGTGTGAGTCTTACGGAGTGAAATATGTGCCTCTGTCAATAAGAACAGAATTCACTTCCTGGGGAGTTGCTCAATTAAAGAAAGCTTCATAGTGCTTTCCTCTGCAATTTAATCATGTTGCTTTGCATTTTGTAATTATTGGGTCTTAATGGAAAAACACTCGCTACTGAATGGTTCCATCTGAATAAACAAAGCATATCAAGCTTGGACTTTTGATTAAGATGTACGTTTGATTAGGATTAACTTCCATTTAAATGAAAACTGTCTTCTTGACATAACATATGTGAAAAAACTATCGCCATCTTTGTTCTATTTTTTGAACTTAAGGTTAAAAATACAAAGAGATAAAAAAAATCCTTTAAAAGAGTTCTCATTTACAAATAAAAAAAACCAGACTCGGATAAAAAAGGAGGCGAAACTAAATCAAGACAAACTAAATGCACGAAAATGACTGCAGCACAAGAAGGGTAAAAAACATGAGTCCTTATTTTTTATTAACGAATAATTAAAATTCAACACTAGCCCCGACTTCATTACAATCTTTTTCCATTGTATTGTTCAACACGTTGTAATTAGACCTCCTCGATTTACAAACATTGAACAGCAGCTGTTTCCTCGACCCATGAAGGGCCAACCGACTGACAGGTTATTAAGCTTAAGATTAAGTGTATGAAAACGAAAAGATGATAACACTTAATGGAAAATGCTGACTTTGAACAATTATGTTAGGTTCTCTAAATCTTTGAGTCTGGTCAAGGGAGAAATAGTTCAGTTTCGAATAAAAATGCAGTTATGCTTCTAAATCAGTCGATTAAGCCACAGCTTGTTAATGGTATTTGTAATTCAGGCATTTCACTCAAAATCGACCTACGATTGAATCATCCCTGACACAAGTCAGAGTCAAAATCGGTAAAACGGATCAAAAACCAGCATTTTAAAAGAATATAAATAAACTTACGGCCGTATCTGAACGTGCGCACTGAAGTAAATCATAGATTTGGAGCATGTAGGCTCATTCGCTTTAAAACAGACAAACAAACAAAAAAACAAGTATTCTTTCTCTCTGTTTTCATCTATTTTGTGCGGATAATGTTGAAAACTGAAGTCAAATAATGTTGTCAAAGTTACAGAAATTTCTGTATTAAACAAGTTGGAGCAATTGTATAGTTTGTTATTCACTAGAAGGTATCATAGTGATATTAATCGTAAACCATTTTTTTTCAGTATTTTACGGGGAACAGGGATCAGAACAGTATTGTCCATCACGGCCTCTACCCTAATATCAAAGCTTACATAATCAGAGTTCACCCATGGGGATGGTACAGACATATCTCTATGAGAGTGGAATTCTATGGATGCACAGAAGGTGAAAAGACAATACTATTTTTGTTGATCTATACTGTACTTAGAGGCTTTTTTTTGCAACTTATGTTTCAGGTACATTTTTTTAGGAGTGAATGCAAAAATCGGTATTTCATTTTCAGATATTAGGCACTTTTCATTTAACATGGTATGCCTAAATTCTCTCCACCCTAAAAATATTTGACGACAGCAACGCAAGAAACAACGGTAATATCTTTATGCTGTAAATGGTTTTCACATTTGATTGTGTAGTCTAATCGTCCGAGTGAGACTAGTCTTGAGTAGGACTGTTGTCGGTAGTAGTGACTGACGTTTCGACAATCAGAGTGGAAGTTATCAACACTCAGCTCAAGTGAGGAGTTATAAGTCAGTCGAGTGTCATAAGTCTGGTTTGTAAAAAAATGATCGTTCAGTTTATGAAATAACAGGATGAAAAAAAGCTAACTAATGTTCTTCTGGAAACTTTTCAGATCGTTGTGCTATGCCACTTGGTTTAGAAGACAAACGCGTGCCAAATGGTCATCTCACAGCTTCTACTTACTACAATCATCATTTGTCTCCTTGGCACGGTAGACTAAACAGCCGCTGGTCATGGAGTGTGCGAACGAGACGGGTAGGGGAATGGTTTCAAGTGAATTTTGTAGAGCTGATGCGCATAAAAGGCGTGGCCACCCAGGGAAGACAGGATGCCGCTCAGTGGGTGAGAGCATATTCAGTCCGTTACAGCCCAGATGGAATGAATTTTATACCCTACAAGGAAAACCGTGGTGTCAAGGTAGGTGACTTAACCCTGTACACTCTAACATCAGTATGTATAATCTCTATACCATTTTCTTTACGTTTCTCATAGAACGGTAAGGAGATTTTGTTGTAAAATCATCAGGTTCGTTACTAAGCTATCATTTTTTTCTTTTTCTTGTGACTTTTAATGTTTAATTCAAGATAATACTCCAAGTAGGAAATAAATGCTAGTAACTCTTATAGTTCCAATGGTTAATTAAATTATGAAGCGTGATAGGATTTGGTTATTAATATTGTTCAATCCTAAAAGCTGCAAGCGCGTAAGCTGCAAGCATTAAATTTACTAGTAAAAAAATGTTCACGTTAATTTTGCATTCTGCGCATCCTCACGCAACTGCGTCACTGTATTCTTTCTATTTTTGGACATCTTTTTGCAGATCTTCACTGCCAACACGGATCGGCACTCAATTGTCTATCATCAATTCATGAGACCCTTCTCAGCCATTTATGTCCGCATCTATCCTAAGAGTTGGTACAGTTGGATTTCCATGAGAGCCGAGTTTTATGGTTGTTCAGGTACACTTAGATTAGAAAACCTATGAAATAGATGGTGTGTTTACTGTTTTGTCATCGGGAAGAATGCGATAATATCGTAAATCATTCAAAACTGATTGGGCAGCAAATTTGAAGAAGCCGTCGCTTAAAATAAGAGACGAATGAGCTAAAATTGGCTTGATGGGCTACGTAAAACTCGCTTTTCTGAGTTTCAGAAGGATTAGGTTCAACTTTTACGCACGGGTTTTGGAAGAATAACAGTGTACCTTTCATTTGCACACACACAAAAAATAATATGGGAGATTTACAACGTAAAAGGACTAACCTTGTACACATGAAAATGCACGAACTCGGTCATTGTTGTTTGTTTGCTTGTTTTTTGCTTTTGAAAGGAGGAATCTAATGGGATGATATATTGGTGTATGGAAAATGTCAATATGGCTTTTTGCTTAATTTCCGAAAAGAAGCTGTATGGCTTATTTTCTATTAAACATTTTTGGTCTGTCAAAGAACACCTTGCTTGACACCCCAACGAGACTTCGTAATCATCGCGAAGTTTGTCAAGGACAAACCAGGAATGCATTTAAACTTTATTTATCTTCTTTTATCAGCATCTTTGTGCAACCGTGCCTTGGGAATGCGAAATGGTCGTATTCGAAACAACCAAATCACTTCATCGTCAGAGGTTAACCGTTTCCATACTGCCTGGCTTGGTAGACTGGGGCGAGTGAAGACTGGCCGTTATATAGGGGCCTGGTGCCCAAAACACAGGAATCATCTTCAGTGGTTGAAAGTGGACTTTGGTCGACTGATGAAAATAACCAAAATTGCCACACAAGGAAGACAAGATGCTGGTCACTGGGTGACGTCATACTATGTGTCATCTAGCATAGACAACGTTCATTGGGCAATGTATCGCTTCAGAAGCTCTAACAAGGTGAGGTCACATCTTTTTTAAAGGACAAGTATATAGTTTTCATCTCTGCTATGACAGTTAGCACGTTTATAGTAACTTTACTAACCTAATTGTGTTTTGACTGGCTGCGCCTCTTGCGGGTTTAACGTTATTAGTTTTGAGCATTTCTACGTCATTTCTGTGATCAATGAGAGTATTAACAAAGAAAAGTTTTGATAGGTTCTGCTTTCGATAATAGCCGTAGACCAATGAGTTAGCGAGAGTTCCTGTTCTTATTTATAGATATTGTATGCCTGATTTTAATAATCTTATCTCAAACAGCTGTTCCAAGCCAATCGTGACCAAAACACTATCGTGATGAATGCAATCAATCCTTCCATAAGATGTCGATTTTTACGTCTAAATCCTCGTGGATGGCACGGTTGGCCATGTTTGAGGGCAGAATTTTATGGATGTCCAGTTGGTTAGTAATAAATGTTATTTAAAATTTTTGTGTACATTTTACTGCGAGGTGAAAACTCGCCTGGAGCATGAAAGAGACTATATCCTAAATCTTTGTTTTGGAAGGAAGAAAAGTACCAAAATTGAATGAAAAAAGCGAAAATGAACAAGGGCGATGAGGATGGGAGAAACTGAAACTATTGTAAATAACGACCTCGAAGATTATGACGTATACACTTTCCTTTGGTTAAGTTTGTCAAGGCACAGTGTTTTAGTTTTGTTTACAACTTGGATTTTAGTTTTTTTTAACTTTCATTTGTCAGTATCCAGTTACTAAAAATGATAATATGTCTCAATAATGTTTTAATTTTCCCTCAGATCGCTGTGATGTTCCTCTTGGTATCCAGGACGGTCGCATCACACGCGCTATGTTCACAGCCTCCTCCATGTACAACCACTACTACGGTCCTTGGAGCTCAAGACTGCAGGCTCAGAATCATGGCTCCTTCCGAGGAGGCTGGGTCGCTAAGTACCGTAACACTCACCAGTGGCTGCAGATTGACTTAGGAACAGTGTCCATTGTGAAACGCATCGCGACTCAGGCTCGATATGATGCAAACCAGTGGGTTACATCATACACTGTATCCTATAGTAACAATGGAGTCAGATTTTTCCCATACAAGCAGGCAAGAAGAACAAGGGTAAGTGGTTTTATTCTATTGAACAAATTCATATTTCCTTCCAGCTATATACATCATGTTTTGTACGTTTTAACTGAAAGCGGAAGCGTATCATTGTAATTTTCAAATTTCCTGGGTTCCCCATTAGGAATAGTTCCCTAGAACCTAGTCAGTTTTCAAAACGATCGATGAAAATTCAACCTTTTCTTCAATGTGACTGTACTACAACCGAACTATTTGTTTACAGCTCTTCCAAGGAAACACTGAACGATACTTTGTTGTGGTGCACAAGCTCCGCCCGGCCATAAGGGCCCGTTATATCCGAATTCAGCCAAGGTCCTGGTATGGATACATTGCCATGAGGGTGGAGTTGTACGGATGTCGACTGGGTATGTAACACAGTGATACGATCTTGTTTTACGAAAAAGAAAACGGAGCAGAAATGAATAATCAGTTTGCGTCTTCAGAAACAATTATCATTGGATGTGGATATTGTTAGTAAAAGAGCAGTCAGTACTATGGGTCAGTGGGTGGGAATGTGTCGAGACACCGGGAACCTCAGAATGTTCCGCGGGTCCCGACACAACGGGACATCATTGTAGTTTATTAAACGTTGTGGCTGTCATATTTAGTGGCAGGAAATGTGGTTTGCGTGGTTTTTTAGTTTCTGTCGCCTTATACAATTACTTATTATTTCTTTTGCTCATGTACTCTCGAAGTCTTTGTAATTTAGCCTTTGTTTACCAGTTGTACTGTTTTTTATGGTATAATATTTTATGTTCTTGCATAGTGACAAACTCTGATTCAACGCTTTTCTTAGTAACCTCTTTCTTTTGGAAACACAGGTCACTTGTGCAATCGGCCAATGGGATTACAGAACAACAGATTGAAAAATCATCTCATGACGTCATCATCTCGATGGGACAACTTCCATGGTCCTTATCGAGCGCGGCTTAATATCCGTCGCCATGGCAGATGGATCGGAGCCTGGTCTGCACAGTACAATAACCGTTATCAGTGGATTCAATGTGACTTCACTGGACCTGCAAAAATTATAAGGATTTCCACCCAAGGGCGACAGGACACTAATCAGTGGGTTACGCAGTATTACGTGACACGTAGCTTGGATGCGGTGAATTTTAGGCCCTATCAAGAGAGAAATTCAATAAAGGTAAGTAAAAGAAGGAATATCAAAGTAGTTGAACATTTCACAGGATGTTGCTCTTGTTAGCCTTGACTGAACATCATACTGTAAGAGTGACAAATATACGTGGCTTCTGTTGCTCTACAGATTTCAGGCCGAATCAGAGGTCTTAGGTCTGTTTTCTTCTCCTTTGGGGAAGGGAGAAGAAAATTGTCGGAGCAGTTTAAATGCTGTTAGCTCTCAATAAGGACGAGATAAAAAGACAATTTCAACTCAAATTTGACGCAAGGTTCGGTAATTGAGCCCCCCTAGCACAAAAGTGATAGACGATCACTCTTAATATGGCGCCACTCATCCTCCCCCAGGTACTTTCCGTTTCCTTGTTGTTACGTTGTTGCGTCGCTCGTCAGTGCTTCCGATCGAACGGACGCTCGGTAATGCATCCGCACGAACGGAAGCTTGGTAGTACTTTCGAACGAACGGAAGTTCGGTAATACTTCCGAACGAGCGGAAGCTCGGAAATACTTTTGAACGCACGGAAACTCGAAAATATATTCGAACGAACGGAAGCTGGGTAATACTTCCGAACAAACGGAAGCTCGGAAATGTTTCCGAACGAACGGAAGCTCCGAAATACTTCCGAACGAACCCCAAGATGCGCATGTTCTAACTCTCGTTTCATTACTTTTCTCTGTCCAGTATTTTACAGGTAACCGTGATCAGAATACTATTGTTAGTCACGCTTTCATCCCTGCGCTTAGATGTCGCTATGTTCGAGTTCACCCTTGGGGATGGTACAGGCATATCTCCATGAGACTTGAGTTCTATGGATGTCTAACAGGTAAAATGAATAAAAAGGTTTTCTTATTTCCACTGGAAAAACATAGCAATTTTTTAAAACGTAATCATCTAAACTAACTTTTGTTTTTACCTTCATAGACAAATGTACCATGCCTCTTGGTATGGAGGACCATCGCATCTTGTCGGGTCATCTTCGGGCCTCGTCGTCGTACAACTATAACCACGGACCTGACCGAGCACGACTAAATATCTATAACGGACATGGACGAACAGGAGCTTGGGTAGCAAAGTACCGGAATGCTAATCAGTGGCTGCAGATCGACTTAAGAATAATGAGTATCATTAAAGGAATCGCTACACAAGGAAGAAGAGAAGCCCATCAATGGGTTAAGAGTTATACACTCTCCTACAGTGCAAAAGGTCTACGCTTTAGACCATATGTCGCGTATGGCAAGGTTAAGGTGAGACGGTGTATCAAAGTATATGATAATTTCTCCACGTGTCAACTTTTCTTAGCTTTCTTTGATATTGAAATATCAAATTTTTGTTACATGGACTTGTATAACGTCTTAATCAATGATACCTATACTCACTATCATTGTAGATGCTTCTGCGTCAAAAACTCCTAATCATGAACACAATTATATTTCAATGTACCTTTTGACTTCAGGCTTACTCTCTTCTCCAGGCTATGCTTGTATCAGTGAAACTAATCTTTACTATCTGCCATTAGTTTATTAATACATCTTTTAAAGATGTGACAAGATTTTTGGACGACACCATATCGATTTTCGTAGACATCACGTGCAATAAATTTTTCATGAATATTTCTAGCCAAGGTAATTAATTTGGAAGATCTTTGCACATTGATGTATGTATGTGATTCTTATCTTTACAATCTCAACCTCACCGTAGCGTCTTAAAACCTTTCTCTTTTTCATATTTGTATTTTTCTTTTAAAACTTCTTTGTTTTAACAGTTATTCCGCGGCAACTATGATATCTACCACACACTTTCATACAAGATAATCCCAGCGATCAAGGCCAGGTTTGTTCGTATTCATCCTAGAAGTTGGCGCAGTTACATCGCGATGCGTGTAGAGTTGTATGGATGCAGATACAAGGGTACGTTTAAAGAGAATAAGATTACACCAGGCAGATTTTGCCCTCAATGCCAGGTTTAAGTTCCTGTGTTATAAACTCTATATTGTACAATGTCATGCTTGAGAACTAAAGGAAACTAACGCAGAGTAACACATCGGAAATGCTACGTTGCGAATATGCAGCGTGCGGCGTGATAGACACAACTTACAGACGTGACTTGAGAAGTGATATAAGTTTTTCTAAAAACGTCAGTTTATCTCAGTTCAGTTATTAGAGGAAAAATCGAATAGTTTAAGAAATAGGCGAACGTTACGTGAAGTTACCAACGTATTACGTGCAACGTTATAGAAAGCAACTTTCAAACATAGCAGAACACTGTGATATAATTTGTCCTCAAAACTTCAATTTATTTTACTTAGTTTTCGTTTCATTTCATTTGCATTCCTCAGAACGTTTCTGTGACCGAATCCAAGGACTTCAAAGAGGTACAATAAAGAATGCAGCTTTCACTGCCTCGTCCCAATGGGACAAATACCATGCCCCATTCCGTGCCCGGTTGCACATCCCCAAACAAGGACGGTACATTGGGGCGTGGTCCTCCCGCCATAACAACCACAATCAATGGCTGAAGATTGACTTGGGCAGACCAACCAAGGTGACTGGTATGGCAACACAGGGACGCCAAGATGCAGACCAGTGGGTGACAGCATACTATGTTTACTACAGTTTGGATGGAGTACGCTTTTCTCGAGTCACCTACTGGTGGGATGTTATAAAGGTTAGTGGTTGAACTGTACACTCTCAAGTTCAGTTACCTGTTTGAACACTGGAATAAAAGTCGTTCGTCTGGTCAGTTCGTCTGGGTTTAGTCCTTAAAAGGAATGTTGTTGGTTACGTCAGAATCGCATGATCAAAAAGTTATTTAACGAACGTCACTCTGTCACTGTCACAGGAGGGAGTCGCCAGTAGACGATCAGTGTCAATGATCGACCATCGGAAATGTTTGTATTCTGCTCATATAAACGCGACCCATTGTCATGAAAAGCAAAGCTAATTGACCTCAATTGAACCATAATCGGTTCATAAGTTAAAGCTTTATATTTTGACTAATGGCTAACCTGAAAACACGAATTAAGATTGGATTATTTACAAAACGATTTTACTCTTTTGTCTTTTTTTTTTAGCGTTAGTATAGAAAGACTTGAGGTTGCGAAGGAAGTATTTTTTGCGTAGAGTAATACATCACTGTAAAATATTTTTCTTAATTGTGTTTTAGACTTTTCGAGGAAATTATGATCGAAATGGTGTCCAAACGCGCTCGTTCAACCCTCCTCTCTATGCAAGATTTATTAAAATCAATCCTCGTGGCTGGCGATCACACATCTCGATGAGGGTGGAAGTGTATGGTGGGGCATGGAGTAAGTCAAGAACATTATAAGCTTGTACAATTTGTGAGAAGTGTAACGTTACACTGACTATGAGACCACATGAGAACAACTTGTCACATAGAAATGCTATTTATCGGCTTTGCACAAACTACTTTCAATGTTCAAAATTTGAAGAAAAAAGTTGGTTAATCTCTGTTGAGCGTTGAATTTCCTCTTCGAAGAGATAATTATTTAAGTGTTGAATTTGGAGACATATGGCCTGGAGTTGCTCTGGATTCAACTCATTGCCTCACTATCTCGCAGCGCTGTGCAAGTTGGAACTCTGAACGATTTAAACTAAGCCATTATGAAGATGAAAGATAAATTGTAAATTCAATTTAAGAGAACAATATTGAAACTAGAAGAAGGTTTCCCTTCAATAACGGTGAAGGGTAAGAAGATTATGGGGGCAGTTTTTTAGCCAAAGATAAACTCCTTATTACATAAAACTTTATTTAGAATATTATCACATTTTTGCTTTGATTTCTTGAAGGTAAGTGCGATGTTCCCCTTGGAATGGAAGACCACCGTGTCCCTGATCAACTCATCACTGCCTCCTCCTACTACAACTACTGGGGTTCACCGAGAATGGCCAGGCTGCATCAGAGACGCGTTGGCAAGTTTGGAGGCTCCTGGTATGCCAAGCGGAACGACAAACGCCAATGGCTGAAGATAGACATGGGTGGACTGACACGGGTGTCACGTTGTGCTACTCAAGGCCGTCAGAATGCTGACCAATGGGTAACAAGTTATTACGTGTCCTACAGTGTGAAGGGATACCGGTTTGTGACATATAAAGAGTACGGACGTACAAAGGTCAGTAAGATTTCTAATCAGGGCAGGTGGGGGACGATCTCTCTCACAAGTCATTTTTCCTACTCTCTGTTGCACACTTTTTACAATGTTAGTTCTAAGAATTTGACGTGAAATCAAATAATGTCTCCCAGCTTATATTGTTCTTTATTATCACTTGTCGGCTTGTCAGTGTATAAGAGAAATTACTTCATGGTCTTGGGGTAAAAGGTTGAAATGAGGAGTGGTGCGACCGAGGCCTTCAAATTTTGACTCTTTTTGAGTAGATCTTTCCATTTTGCTGCCTATCTGAAAAAAATCACCAATTAACTTCATAGAGTAATAATACGTCATCCCCTTAACTCCTAAAGTTGATTAAAATGTAACATCTCCTTGCAATACCAACACGTTATAAGCGAACAGATGACGAGAGTGGGCACATTTTGTCAAACAGAAGGCGTTTCCATGATACAAAGCCGAATCCTCTGTAATGGAGAATTATAAATAAGATCTTGATAGTTGAAGCATAGAAGGGGCAAATGAAAAAGAGCTGATTGATGAAAAGCAAAGCAAATTAACACTTTGAGTGTTCTTATTCTTTGTGCAACCGTCTCCTATTGCTATTATTAATTACATTTGTAAGAAATAATATATGAGTAAACTGCAATTATTATTATTCCATTTCAGATATTCCCTGGCAACTTTGACCGATATGTGGTCGTAACACACCGATTCCTTCGACCAATAGTGGGACGTTACTTCAAGATACACCCGGTCACGTGGCGAAGCTGGATCTCCATGAGAGTAGAATTATATGGCTGCGTCATTGGTACGACAACTTGTGTAATATTATGATAGGTTATTCACTTAGATATAACACTATCTCATCTCTCTTTACAGCCCTAGAGCTATCGAGTGCAGATAACCAAAGTGTCGTCTAGATCCATTATATTAACTTGAATGAGTTGCTCCTCGAAAAAACTAAAAAATTTGAATTCAGTCAGAAGAAGAAGCACCGAAATAACCAAAGTGTCGTCTAGATCCATTATATTAACTTGAATGAGTTGCGCGTAGACCAGCGGTAACTTGCTTTTATTAAAACCCCTATGTCTTGAAAGCAAACCACATGCATTCTCAAATTCGTACTTTTCTCTCACAAAACGTAGGCCCGAGATGTGACAAACCTCTAGGAATGAAGAATGGCCGCATTCACGCTAATCAACTCACAGCAGCATCAATATGGGACCGAAATCATGGAGCAAATAATGCCAGGCTTCATTGGCGAAGAACCGGTGCAAGAACAGGCGCTTGGTCAGCTCGTCACAATAATCATTACCAGTGGCTACAAGTGGATTTCAAACGCTACATGCGGATTGTAAAAATCGCCACCCAAGGACGACAAGATGCACGTCAGTGGGTGACGAAGTACTACGTCAGATACAGTCAAGACTGCGCGCATTTTGCCGACTATGAGGAGAACAGCAATAGAAAGGTAACAAGAAACTATCTTCAATAGAACCATAATAAACATAATTTGTGTTCGAAATGTCTCCCTGGTTTAAATGTTATGTGAGCTTTTCAATCTCTCTATCATACTTTCTAATACGGACAACCATACTCCAGCAAAAAGTGGGAATATTTATACAGTGTTATCGGTGAATCATATCCTATAATCGTCGTTAATTGATTGAAAAATTTGGTTTTTACGGGGGAGAAATGATATCTATGTGAGCGTCGTTTTTGCCAGTTAAGTGGAATGGTTGGCCAAATGACTTTGTAAGCGAAAATCTTATATATCTTATATATACATTTATTTTTCCTCCTCCACTTTGTTTGTTTCTTTTTCAGTATTTCACGGGAAATAGAGACCAAAATACTGTGGTAATACACAGATTTTATCCACCAATCAAAGCGCGGTTCGTTCAGGTTCGTCCGTGGGGATGGTATGGACATATCTCTATGAGAGTGGAGTTCTATGGATGTGTTGAAGGTGTGACGAATTTGTATTTTGTATCAGTAAAATTATGGACTTAATTTGAGATCGCTGTTTTTACGCTAAGGCTATTATTAATATTCCTTCATGTATCTGGCTGTTTTGGTTTGAAAGGATTTGAACCTAGGCCTCCCAAATACTACTTTTGTACCACAATCAAATGAGATACGAAGTCTCATGTTGGAAGCGTGGCAAAATGTAGTAGGCTGTTCGTTCCCGTGCATACTTAGCTTTTGAGTCCTACAAAAGTGTCAGGAAAGCCACTTCTACGCTCTCAGTACTTGATCAATTAATCTTCTTTACCTTGCAGACCGCTGTAACATACCTCTGGGTCTAGAAGACAAACGTCTCAGTCCAGGGTCTTTGTCAGCGTCTACTTACTATAATCATCACCTGTCACCATGGCATGGCCGACTGAACCACAGATGGTCATGGAGTTCTCGGCGCAGAGATGTTCACCAATGGTTCAAGGTTAACTTTGGTTATGTAACAAGATTTAAAGGAATAGCGACCCAAGGAAGGCAGGATGCAAATCAGTGGGTAAAGACCTACATTGTCAGATACAGTGGTGATGGTGTTAGTTATGTGCCTTACACGGAAAACAGGCGCATTAAGGTGAGTTTTTATTAAAATATGGATGATGAGGGTGAAATTTTGCAGTTGATCGTTTTGGAGTTGCTGTAGTTTCCGATTTTAATTAGCATGTGTAATTCTGAGCATACAGCGTTTCTTGTCGAATGGAAATAATTCTTTCCACAAAAAAATTACTTCAATTTTTTTAACCTTGGACTAGTGCAATTTCAACTCAGCGGAGTTTTAATTTGAGTTAGAGATCACTTTCGCTCATCTGAGTAAAATCTGTACTGAAGTTTGGACAATTTATTTTTCTTTATACAATTCAGATTACCGGGCATAGAAAGAAAAAATTTTCAATAGGGTGTCGAAAGTAATCAAGGATAACATTGCTTTTACTTTCTTTTGTTCTATGATTGGCTAGAAAACTCGCGCCAGGTTAAAAACCAAAACTAATCGCGTCTTTGTCACACGCGTTTTTCGCGCAATTCCTGCGCTTTGAGCAGTTTGCGCACTTTTACTAATAATTCTCATCGTATCGCTGTTATATTTTCCTTTCCTCTGAGTAGCTTTTGTAATCTTTGTAATTTTGGTTTTACGACACTCAATCGAAATGCGCTATCTTGATGAAAGGCATATTATTTCTTTATGTTTGCTTATAACCTTCTCACCACCTTCTCATGTCTCAGGTCTTCTCTGGTAATAGTGACAGACATTCCATTGTGTTTCATCGTTTCCTGAAATCTTTCACTGCTGCTTTCGTGAAGATCCATCCAAAATCCTGGTACAGCTGGATTTCAATGAGAGTTGAACTCTTTGGTTGCACAAGTAAGGTTTTTCTCATCTTTGAGAAGAGGAATATCACCTGCAATGAAATTGGTTGCACAAGTAAGGTTTTTCTCATCTTTGAGAAGAGGAATATCACCCGCAATGAAATTTAGATATACATTTGTAGCAAACCTCTCTGTAAATAGAATAGATACCGATGAAACGGACTGCAGTCTTCCCCTTCCGAAAACCAATGGAGAAATGTAACGAAAACAGGTCCAATATAAGGTGTTCTTCTCCTCTTACCCCTTTTCCTATTTCGATGAAAAAATGAACAAGTAGCAGTTGACATGCATATCATTGTTTTGCTAGGTGCACTCTGTAGCACTCCTCTAGGTTTACAGAATGGTCGTATCCGTAACAGTAGAATCACTGCATCGTCCGAGTACAATGTGTACCATGCAGCCAGACTTGGGAGACTGCATCTGCATAAGAGAGGTAGATATGTGGGGGCCTGGTGCGCAAAGCACAAAAACAGAAATCAGTGGTTTAAGGTGAACTTTGGACGGCTGATGAAGATCACAAAAATAGCTACTCAGGGTAGACAGGATGCAGCCCAGTGGGTGACGTACTATAGAGTGTCATCCAGCGTCGATGGAATACACTGGCAAATGTATCGCTTCAAAAACAACGATATGGTAGGGAAATGTGACATGTTCGAAGTCTGCTTTTAATGTACACTTGGTTGGTAATAAGTGCGTTTTTACTGATTGAAAGTTTATAAGTTAAGGTGGTAGGGGGTTTCGAAGAGTGAGATTTTGATAGAACCAAATTTAGACAAGCGGACCTAATTCAATGCTGTTTACCTTCTTCATAAAAGTGGAAGGAGGTACAAGAGTTATTCTGCAGTTGTAGGCTTAGCGAAAGGACGAACCCCAATTGAGAGCATAGAAATGGGAACAAAACAGCGATTAAAGAAAACTTGGAACTTCTGACTGTTCTGAGGAGTATAACGCTACATCCTTCTATCCCAACTCTGGTCGTTCACAGGCCTCGATAGGCCAAGGTGTAACTGTTTCAGTTGAATATTGTGCTAAACGTTTCGTTCATGTTTTGGCATAAAAATCACTCTTGTCTTGTGTTTTCTCTTTTTTAAGACTTTCCGTGGTAATAATGATCAAAACAGCGTCAAAATACAAGCTTTGACTCCCGCCATATATGCACGAATCATTAAGATTCACCCGTGGGGATGGCGAAGTCACATCTCGATGAGGGTGGAAATCTATGGATGTAGAGCTGGTTAGTAATTTTGTCAGCTTGTCGATAAGTATTCGCCAACGTTGAATTATTACCCCTTCATTTTGATGAACAATTCTGAAAGAGAAATCTTACCAATGATTTGACGCGAAAATCTCCTTACAGATCCCTGCGATGTTCCTCTCGGTCTTCAAGATGGCCGTGTTACTCCATCTATGCTCACGGCATCCTCCATGTATAACCACTACTACGGTCCCTGGAGTGCCAGGCTCCAGGCCAGGAATTACGGTTCCACCCGAGGAGGCTGGATTGCGAAGTACAATAACAATAAGCAATGGTTACAGATTGACCTGGGTACGAAGTGTCGAGTGAAGAGGGTTGCTACTCAGGGCCGATATGATGCTAACCAGTTTGTGAAGTCCTATACGGTGTCTTACAGCCTGAAGGGTGACAAGTTCGTGCCTTATACAGAGGGGCGAAAGATAAGGGTATGAAACTAGCCTTCCTATATTTAAGTCTGAATCATAATTATAGTATCTGCAAAATAATTACAGATTCGGTTGCGAGTTAGTTTCAGAAATTTGATGATGACAATTCCTTTTGTCAAAAAGGGATGCCCAGGGCCATTGTAGACGAAAAGGAAACAAATATTTCAGATAACCGTAGTTAAGTTGAAAATTACAGCAAGCCACAGGGAAACCAGCCACTAAAAGAGCACATTCGAGGAGATGAACTTGGGGCAACCAGAAACGAATCCAATGAAAAGCAGGTCGGAAGACTTGAACTGAGAACCACTCGGTTACTGTGCCTCCTTATGAGATATCCCTTTAAAGAATCATTCCGTTCAAATTTTCAGATATTCGTGACGTTGTTAAAATTTATTACAGATTGTTACTTCATAGAAATGTTTAACATTTTTCGTTATTGCAGATCTTCCAGGCCAATATTGAGAGATATTTTGTCGCAACCCATCGCTTCTTTAGGCCATTTGTGGCTCGATTCGTGCGAATCAATGTCAGGAGTTGGTATGGATACATCTCTATGAGAGTTGAACTTTACGGCTGTAGATTAGGTGAGGAGAAAATGAGGTAATATTAAAAGACTTAATATTGCGTCAGATGTCAACGACTCAAACTTATTTCAAATTGAGTGGTAATGGTAATCTAGGATTGCTTTGGTTTTACTTCACTATGGTTTATGATTGGTCTAGAAAATTCGAGTCACGTTTATCAGCCAGCCGGGTGCGAAACAAACCAATCACGACTTGAACACTTGAGTTTTCCACCTCAGAAGCCTGGGTTTGATTTCAGGACCTGGTGTCACATGCGGGTTGAGTTAGTTGATGACTTTCTTGCTTGCTCCGAAAGTTCTTCAACAGTTCCCCCGGTGTTACTTTCTTTACAAAACCTAAATTCCAAATTCCAAATTCCAATTTGATTTAGAAACATGCGACGAATACCTACCTTGTGCATATCCCCCGCTAAAGGCCATTGAACTTGTATAACTTCGTTACTTCTTTCTCTCGCTCTTTACTCAAGGCCGAATGTGTAACCAACCAATGGGCTTACAAAACGGACGCCTCAGAAACCACCTAATGACAGCGTCTTCTCAGTGGGATAAATACCACGCTGCTTTCCTGGCGAGACTTCATCGCCGGCGGGCTGGGAAGTACATGGGTGCATGGAGTGCCAGGAGTAACAACAGATACCAGTATCTACAGATTGATTTCACAAGGCCGTCCAAGATCATCAAGATAGCTACTCAAGGAAGGCACGATGCTGATCAATGGGTCACGCAGTATTATATTACGTACAGTGTGAATCTGGTCAATTTTGTGGAATACAAGGAGAGAAACAATAGGAAGGTATGAACGTTTATAATCATTAAGATATTATGCAGCGAGAAGAAATTAGCGCCCTAGGGAAATTACGTGACTGCAGTCGACTGGGAAAACATTGGGTCTTTGCAAAGTGAACAAGTAATTGAACATAACGACCATTAGCTCGACGACAATTGGTAAAAGAGGAAAAGAGCACAAAAGGGGGAAAGAAACTGAAAAGAAGAGAAGAAGGAAAGGAAAAAGAAAGAAAGAAAATAAAAATAAATGATTTACAACACAAACAGAAAATTATCCTCTGCTTGCTTAGCGTCCATGCATAACGTGAATTTTTACGATATGTCGCCTTACTTTTCAGAGGTTGCTAATTCACATTTTTTCCCTAATCCTTCGATAGTACTTCACCGGAAATCGAGACCGTAACAGTGTGGTCCACAACCCATTTAATCCTGCGATTCGATGTCGTTACATCCGGGTTCATCCTTGGGGATGGTACAGACACATCTCCATGAGAGCTGAGTTCTATGGATGTTTCACAGGTGCAGAAGTGTTCATTATATTTAGGTTTACAGCAAACGAATGAAGTATTTTCCAAATTGGTTCCAAAATGGTGAAAAAAAAACTTTTAAGCAAGAAACAACATTATCCACATAGGAAGCAGACGTTCTTCTAACTGAGAACATTGCATTCAGCCCCAAGTTTTTTCCGAATCTTATTTCGGTTTGAGAAATACATGTACTTGTCTAAATAAAACTTTTGGGACTACCAAGCAACTTCACATTTGTGGTAATGGAATGAATTCTTTGTGAAATGTGGCATCTAGTTGTTCTGATTGTTAGCCACGGTTGTGGAGTTGCTCTTACTTGTTAATTGAGGTTAATTTTTCCCTTCTTTTCAGACCGTTGCACCATGCCTCTCGGTATGGAGGATCGCCGTATCTTGTCAGGACATCTTCGTGCTTCATCATCATACAACTACAACCACGGCCCCGATCGATCACGTCTCAACATCTACGCCAGTCACGGCCGCACAGGGGCCTGGGTAGCCAAGTATAGAAACACTAAGCAATGGCTGCAGATTGACTTGAGGCAGATGTGTATCATCAAAGGAATCGCCACACAGGGAAGGAGAGAAGCTCATCAGTGGGTGTCCAGTTATGTTGTCTCATACAGCAAAGATGGCCGAAGGTTTAGAGCTTATGCAGTTGGTGGAAGAGTAAAGGTAAACTTGTACACAACTTTACATTTGTTTGTTCCTTTTTGTTTGAAGTGGTTGGCTTACGACTATTCGATAACTTACGGCGGTCTGCCAGGGAATCTTAGAATAACGAACTGTCGGGCGCTGTTCGTTAAAACAGAGGTTTGCTAAAACGGGAGCTCGCTATAACGGACGTTCGCTTCAACAGACGTTCGTCATTACGAAGAATCGTTTGTAACGGAGTTTCGTTATCAACGGAAAAAGCGATCGTGGGGATCGTAATTACGCGCTTCTGCTTGGCTAAGGGAACGTATTTGTTAAACGTTATACGTTATCCGGTATTCGTTATGTATTACTGAAAACAGGTGAAATAGCTCACTGTGTCTATAATAAGAAGACATAACCAATGTCAGACTTACTTACCTCGTATGCTTCGTGGTTACGTTCACGCAGAGATTCCGTGGAAACTATGATATTTACCATACTGTTGCCCAGAGAGTATCACCTTTCATTAGAGCCCGGTATATAAGGATTCATCCCAAGACCTGGAGGTCATATATTGCCATGAGAGTGGAGTTGTATGGGTGCCGATATAAAGGTAAACATTTGAACACTGCAAACACGATTGCTTATGTCTCATCTGGCAAATCAGAAAAAGATACTTTTGTTGAAATCCTATTTATTGTAAGAAAACAAAAGCGACTTTATGTTGGAGATGATTCTAAGACTTAAGATAATTTCTGCTGGTGAAGGTATGAGTTGAATTTGAGGGAGAGAAGAAAAGTAATTAACTCTGAGTAATTAAACTGTAGAGCTGCGAAAAGCATGAAGCGATAAAGGTTTTCTTTACTGCTATAGATCAAGGCTTGGGGAATTCGTCATCTTGACATCTACTTTAACCCTTCAAAATAAGGAGAAAATGTTTATACATCTCTTTGTTTGTTTCTTTTCGGTTTGCCAGAATATGTATGCGACAGACCTCTTGGTATACAAAGTGGCCGAATCAAAAATGCGGCCATCACAGCCTCATCTCAGTGGGACAAAAACCATGCTTCTTGGCTTGCCAGACTTGGGAACATGCGCCGTGGCAGACTGATGGGTGCTTGGTCTGCTAAGAAGAACAACTACAATCAGTGGATTCAGGTTGATCTGCACAGGTCCATGAAGGTCACTGGTTTGGCTACACAAGGCAGATATGAAGCCGCACAATGGGTGACAGCGTTTTATGTTCTCTATAGCGCAGACGGAGTGAAGTTTGCTAAGGTTAAGAATTGGTGGGATGTGGTGAAGGTAAGCGTTAGTTTAAACTATCGTGTTATTTGTGTTTATTTTTGTGTGTTGGATAAAGTATGCAGGAATCTAACAATGGACCCCTATGTGAGTTTAGGTGGCAGGTTAGAACCTTTACGCGACCAATTGCGAAAGTTACGGGGCAAACAATCTATTTGTACGTCATCGCTGTTTCCTCTGTGTCCCAGGATTTTGGGGTACACAATACATGCACTAAAAGATCTAGTCCAAGCAAAACAATTATTATTCGGAGGGTTGGTTTCAAAAGCTTCAGGTGATTTTGTGCCGGAAGTGTGGGACAGAAGTGTAGGCGTGTGATTTTTCATACTCAAGGTAAAGGTTAGGTGGGTGGCTCATTAACACAGACATGAGACGCGAGCGGCGACCAAAAGTACAGAGCCTCCACGTCTGAAGCGCTTTGATGCCGAATAAAAAATCGGACATGCCTTTTTTTAGCCTTCTAAGCTAAACGTCACATACAAAAGGTTATAGAAAAAAGAACTCCCAACTTTCGGTCATTGTCCGTATATCTAACACTGACGTGTGTGCTTTAACTCCCTCTTGGTCATAAGAAAATCCACGGATTAAGCTTCTTTTTTTCGTCTCGAAATGTACGTAAAGGTACCACTCTATGTCATTGTAAGGAAAGATGCTCTTATTAATTGATTCCGTGAAAATAATTTTTTTTTCATAGACTTTCCCTGCCAATGTGGACAGATATTCCATACGCAACAATCCTCTGCCGTATCCCATCTATGGACGTTTTGTTCGACTGCAAATGCGCGGCTGGCGATCACACATTTCAATGAGGCTTGAGTTGTACGGTTGTCCATGGAGTAAGTCTGTTTGCCATGTAGTTTTTGGAAAAACTCTTATCTCTTGTAAATGTTAGATGCTACTCTCTCCTGTAAATGCTTCGAAAAAGGAATGTGATAAGCAATGATTGGATGAGATTGAGCATGTCATGAACCATCAAAACCGGGGTCCAAGCTATCTTCCAAAGCCGAGGGCTGAGGCAGATAACACAGATACGAGGTGTGATAATTCATGATATCATGCGAAAACCGAATTTAATGATTAGTTAGTAAAGTAAGTCTAATGCATGATAGTATATTTCATGACAACCGTGTGATAGTGTCTTTCTATAGAGAACTTAGTTTGCGTTATGTGTAAATTAGCTTTCTAGAAAAAATAACAGAACGCTATATATACAACTGCCAAACTTGACCGTCAACCTTCAGTTATTTTCTATACCAATACGGCCTGCCAAAACTATCTTCAATCCGTGGGGTATCTTCCAAATTTCCACTGAATTCGCGTTAACCTCAGATTTTTTCATACACAGATTGTTACTTCTTTTGATTTACTGCTAACACTCTGAATGAACTATATGTTAATCCTTTTTTTCTTCCTTAGACCGTTGTGATGTACCACTCGGCGTTGAAGATGGTCGCTTCCCCGACCAGCTCATCACTGCTTCCTCATTTTACAACTACTACTGTGCACCAAGAAACGCCAGGCTCCACCAGAGACGAGTGGGAAGATTTGGAGGAGCTTGGTGCGCAAAAAGAAGCGATAGACGACAGTTCCTTCAGTTCGACTTTGGAGGACTTACTCGAGTAACCCGTGTTTCTACCCAAGGTCGTCAAAATTCTGATCAATGGGTCACAAGTTACTATATAACTTTTAGCCGAGATGGTCAACATTATATACCTTATAGAGAAGTACGCCGTACTAAGGTACACTAGTTTGAATCCTGTATAAAAAGGCCTTTTGTTTCGGACTTAAAACCGCCTTAGCTATATATTAAAGGTACGACAGAATGAGCAGTGTGCCTGAAGCGCGGGAAAACGCCGCTTGCTAATTGTCAGTTAGTTCTAGGTTCGCTTCTGATTGGTTAGAAGGGTAACGAAAATTTTTTTTAGACCAATCACAAAGCAGAGTAATGTAAAGCCAATGCAAACCCGGCATACACCTGATACTTGCTCCTAAATCGCTCATGATATGCAAAATATTAAGTTTACTTATTGGTAGGAAGCCATTTTCCAAAAGCCTTAGTGACGGTGGCAAATTTGTTTCTCTCCCTGTATAGATATTCGCTGGCAATTATGACCGATACATGGTTGTCACCAATCGATTCCTGAGGCCACTGTCTGGAAGGTACTTTAGGATTCATCCAGTTACTTGGCGAAGCTGGATTTCAATGAGAGTGGAATTTTATGGCTGTATTATTGGTAGGTATACAATAATTATAAATATCTTATAACAAAGATGCTCTGAGAGGAATTTATTTTCTGCTTGAGTTTTCTGATACTTTGGTTTTCTTATTTAGTTTTTGCGGTTTTTCTAGGCCTACGTTTTGGAGTTTTTTTTCTCCCCAGTGTGGTTTAGCCTGCAAAAATGCAAATTCAATAGGGGAAAGATAAGACGTTTTTATCAACAAAGAGATGAATGAATAAAGAAATTGTATTATACATTTAGTGTTTGTTAAAATGAGAAAAAAGTTAGAAGAAACTCTTCAAGGTCAAGGAATGAGTGAATTTCGTTGGAATCTGGAAAAACTAAATTTCAGTGGAATACTCGTAGGAAAATGTGAGATTCGAACTTTTTAAAACATCCATTTCTCTCGGTTTCATTCCATTGCTATCTGTCGCGCTCAAAATTTCTTTCCGCGATTCGTGGAAATTTTGGTCTGTTGTAAGGGGGGTGCGGAGGGGGGACTGAACGTTACCACAGTATGTTATATTTGTCGTTATCTGATCAAGGGCGTTTTTATTTATACCAAGGAAAAGTCAGGAAAAGAGTAAGAAAAAATTTGAAAACAGATGTGTGTATGTGTTTCCTTATTATAATGTAGTAGTCTCCTCATGCCTGAAATTTTCCTCGGTTAGGTCCAAGATGCGACAAACCACTCGGTATGCAAAATGGCCGCATTCGGCAAACCCAACTATCAGCCTCTTCGAGCTGGGATGTTAATCATGGTCCTCGCAATGCCCGACTAAACTTCCGCCGAACAGGTTCCCGTATGGGAGCCTGGTGTGCCAGGCACAACACCCGCTACCAGTGGCTTGCGGTAGACTTTTATCGAGCCATGCGCGTGGTGAAGATATCTACGCAAGGTAGACAGGATGCCGCACAGTGGGTCACGCAATACTTTGTAGAGTACAGCCAAGATGGTTCCACGTTCACTGACTACAAGGAAAATAGCAACCGAAAGGTAATAAACAGATCAGGTTTTATGAAATGTTGCAGGTATCCGTGTGTCTCGGATTAGCTCTGTTGCAAGTGCTGCAAATTGGAAATGAAGTCTGTGCCTTGTTTTATAGCTGCTAACTAACCCAACCAATCCTCCCATCCAAGAATAAAGAGACTCTCGAGGAACTGATTCGCCTCATCAATTGAGACAAGTTCACCCCGGCCTTTCCCCGTTCGCCCCCAAGTCTTCAACTCGACTCCTTTCGTCAGAGCGATACATAAGTGTGTCGGATTCTTCAGGGACAGGTTCTGCCTTAAGGAAACGAGTCAAAAGATTCGGGGAGACCTTGTCGAGATGGAGGCGAACTAGTGTGGTCGAATTTGATACTGTGATATCTTTGATGAGCATTTTAAAGTTAATAGATTTCTTTTGATTAAACATGCATTGATTTTAGTCAGCCCTTTCCTTATAATTGCAAAATTCTGAACATAAATGCAAAGTTTTGACTGGTAATGTTACTTTCACAGTACTTTACAGGAAACAGGGATCAGAACAGTGTTGTGCAATATCGTCTGTTTCCACCAATCAAAGCTCGGTTTGTGCGCATTCGTCCGTGGGGCTGGTACAGACATATTTCTATGAGAGTGGAGTTCTTTGGATGCCCAGAAGGTACATTTGCTTAGACAAGAGAGCTCTGAAAATAACTGTCGTAGTCCAAATATCTCTAAGTGATGAGCGCTTTTTACCCAAACGTGTCAAAAGATCAGTTAAATAGAGGCCTTTTCAGAAGATTGATTTATCGTGAATTTTTTGCTCTGACAGACGGCTGACGCTTAAACAACAACTTTTTAAAATCCGGTACTTCTGTTTATCTGCCTGGGACGAATAAGTAAATTCTACGCGATTATTACCTTCACTGGCCACCAACATGACACAATTTTTCTCAATTCTTAGAAGACAAGGTTATTATTCGTTTATAATTTTGCTCCAATATTTATTAATTTAAAAAATCAGACTTCCATATAGATTAGTTTCTTTAAAGTTCTTTCTTGCAATATAATTTTTTTCTACTTTATTCGACAACTTGGACTGGTAACGTTATTGAATTTGAACCTTCAAAAAAAATAAATCTGCTTGCCAGAAGGTTTCTCATTTGGATCATATTTTCCTTCCCCTGAATCCTAGACCCGTGTGGTGTTCCTCTTGGTTTGGAAGACAAGAGAATCCCAAATGGCCAGTTTTCTGCTTCATCATATTACAACCATCACCTTGCACCGTGGCATGGAAGACTTAATCACCGCTGGTCATGGAGTGTTCGATATCGTAACAACAAACAATGGCTTCAGGTTAATATGGTGGAAATCTACCGTGTGAGAGGCATTGGATCCCAAGGCCGACAGGATGCAAACCAATGGGTGAAGACTTACACTGTGTCGTATGGAATGAATGGAGTGGATTTCACTCAGTATAAGGAGAATAGAAGAGTCAAGGTAACCGATGACCAATTTTTTTACTTTATATTGGCTTTAAGGGAATGAGAGAGAGTAACTCTGATGGTACGCCTCTTTCAAATACTCGTAATGATATACTTTTAGAAATTTTATCAGTGAACAAATAATTGGCTCTTTTCACTTTAGAACTATTTTCCACAAAAAAATTGACAATGATGACTCCCGATACGCGTCGTTTTTTTTGTTTTTTTTTTAATTCTATAAGAATCAAAACCCACTTAACTACGCTTACAGAGGTCTCCAGAAATATTTGAAAGGGTTAAGAGTTCTTTGGTCATGTTAGTTTTCGAGATGGGTGCAATGAAGTTTCGACGTGGTCTCCGTAACTTTTTTTTCATAGCTTTATAAGGATTCCAAACGAATCAGCCGATTGCACTCTATGTAACAGTCACATGACCAATCGCTAGATACAATTTGACTGTACTCGTTATAATGATGCCGTGAACAACTTTTTCACATAATAACATGTGTTTTTGGATTGTTAAAGTTATTCACAGCCAACACAGACCGCCACTCATTGGTGTATCATCGATTCAGAAAGAGACTCCCAGCAGTGTATGTCAGGGTTTACCCTAAGACCTGGTACAGTTGGATATCAATGAGAATCGAATTGTATGGATGCTCAGGTATTTGAGAAGTTATCGCAGAGTAGAAAACAAATAGCAATCAAGTTTTGAAGCTTTCATCAATAAAAAAATGCTGTGCACAGCAGTCAGATACACTTTTATCAGTTTTCTTTTTTCTTTTTTTTTTTCCTTTGTTTATTTGTTTTGCAATTGCACGTATAAGAAAACCCGTTTACCGTAAGCCTATTGCTAAGCTATGAACCCCTCCCTCCTTGCGGGGACTTACTAGATTTCAGGCTTGCCAGGAGGGGGGGTGCATGCACTTTTAGATAGGGAGGGGGTGTAAAAAAGGGGCGAATTTTCAATTCTTTAAATTTTCTTCGTTATTGTTTGTTGTTGTTTTTTCCAAAATGTTTATATTTTCGCAAATTTTTATTTTGATACAGCTGCTGTTTGTAACAAAGCCTTGGGTATGAAGAGTGGTGCTATCAGGAATAAGCAAATCACAGCTTCTTCAGAGTGGGACAAATACCACAATGCCAGACTGTCTAGGCTGGGGACAGTCAAACGGGGTCGGTACAGGGGGGCCTGGAGCGCACGCCACAACAATCACCATCAGTGGCTTAAAGTGGACTTTAGACGACCGATGAAAATCAAGAAAATAGTCACAAAAGGTCGACAGGATACCAACCAATGGGTAACAAGATACCAAGTGACGTACAGTCAAGATGGAACACACTGGACCATGTACAGATACAAGAGTAACGATGTGGTACGTATTATCAGCGGCACTTATTAAAAGAAAATATCGTACTACAAGGTTTACTCTGTCAACTAAATCAATACAGGACTATTTTGTCGTTTCATCGCCTGAGTTAAAAGTTAAATAAGAAATTTGCTATGTGGGATTAATGTGAATCGTAATCATGGAAACAGAAAAAATTGGAAAGGAATTAGGACGAAAGTACTGAGTCTACCGAGGAAAACTTTTCCCAAATGCGTCTGTTTTAAGCACTGTTAAAAATGAGAAATCATTTTTAACCCACGTCTTCATTTCTCATGACACTTCCTTCAGTATTCTTCCTACGTTTTAAGGAAAAGCGTGGAAGGCATTGCGAAGGCTTTTCTTATAAATAATCCGATTCATGAAGCGTTTGGAACTTTTAAACAAAACAAGCTTAAAAGTAACCCTTGACATTTCATGTGATATTTATAATGCATGTGCCCTTTAAACTGTTATTTATTGGTTACATCTTACAGTACTTCCAAGGAAACCGAGACCAACACAGTCTCGTATGTAATGTACTTAACCCACCAGTGATCGCTCGTTTTATGCGCATTATTCCACGAGGATGGTATCGGCACATCAGTATGAGGATAGAGTTCTATGGATGCAAAGCAGGTAAAATAGGGAAGAAAAATATGACATCGAAGCTGTTGTGCATAGACTATATAACATTAAGTTGTGTTGTATTGGGATCAATGGCTTAACATTGGGTTGGCCGATTGAATTCACACCTCTTTTATTTGGAAAAAAACCGTTTTGAGTTTAACCGGTTGATCAAAGTTTTCAGACGAGATTAAATAGGGTTCAAACGGTTGAAAATCTGAGAATCTGACACTCTTTCACAATTTATTCTCATTATCAAAATTGTCTCAATTTTCTATTTTCCTATTAATCGCTTGTTATGCTTTCATTTTTCGCCTCACCTATAACTGCAGACAAGTGCGAAGCGCCGCTCGGAATCCAAGATGGCCGCATAACGCAATCTATGATGTCTGCGTCCACGTTCTACAACCGATATTATGGTCCATGGTCTGCCAGACTGCAGGCTCGGAATCACGGTGCAACCCGTGGCGGCTGGATAGCTAGGATTAACAACAATCGACAATGGCTGCAGATCGACCTCGGAGCCAAATCTGTCGTTAAGAAGATTGCCACTCAAGGCAGATACGATGCTAATCAATGGGTTACTAGTTACACGCTGTCGATTAGTAACAATGCTGTCAGGTTTTATCCTTACAAGGAAAATAGGCGCACTAGGGTAAGTACACCACCTTTTTGTTTGTTTGTTTGTTTGTTAGTTTGGAGAACTACGTCGAATTAGTCAAAGACGATAATTGCAATCCTTACATTGACTTAACGTTTCCTTTGCCTCTGGCTCGTGATTTACCAACTTTTTTCGTGGGCTAATACGCTACTATTAACCCACGCTAGTAAACCAATGAAAAGTGTGCTCTGTTACTTTTTCTAAAATTTACCACAATTTTTAATGGGTTTACCGGTGCAATTAACGAAACGTTTTTGGCGTTGATCGTACAAACAGGTGCTCTTGGTATTTCAGTCTTTACATAAAATTGGATAAGTACTGTTTATTAGACTTAAAATATTAATTTTTTACTGTCTCTCCTATCCTGTCCATATCAAAACAGATCTTCCCGGCCAATCAAGAGAGATACTTCGTCGTCACACATCGTCTGTTCAGACCGTTTGCTGCTCGTTTTGTTCGTATCAATGTCAGAACTTGGTATGGACACATCTCCATGCGGGTTGAACTTTACGGATGTGTGCTTGGTGAGTGCAACTGCATTAATTAGCTTCAGGAAGGCATTTCACAGCGCAAACTTTTGGAAAATATATGCATAAAATAAACAAAGTTGGCGGTTACTGTGTTTTCTTTTTCTGTCCATCTTTGTCTCGGCGAACGGTTCAATGTTTTTAGGGGGACGTTTGAAAACGTCACATGCGTTTTTGTATAGTTGCATATATGTGCATGTTATTATAAGCAGAACGGGAAAAAGTATAATAATTGTCGGAATTTTTTGGATGGTATGATTTCAGTAGAGATACGTCGTAATTCTTTGACTTATTTTTTGCCACTTGCATTTTGTGAATTAGTGAAAAATTATGAGCTTCTTCAGGTAGCTATCCTTCCCTTCATTCTCGTCGCCTTCATGTTTGAATTAACAGTGAAGGTGTGAAGAGAAATAGGAGATTAGTTACAGATAAGGACTAAAGGGCTGACCAATTATAACATTATAATGACATTCTTTCGCGTAGGACGTCGTTGTAACCGACCGATGGGTCTCCAGACAGGCGCAATCAAAAACAGCATGGTAACTGCCTCGTCTCAGTGGGATAATTACCATGCTGCCTTCATGGGAAGACTTCACTGGGGTCGCCGCGGACGATACATGGGGGCCTGGTCAGCGAAACACAATAATCGTCATCAGTACCTGCAGGTGGACTTTGGAAGGGCGGCAAAAATAATCAGAATTGCTACCCAAGGACGACAAGACGCTGATCAGTGGGTTACACAGTATTATGTGATGCACAGCTTGGACTTACTTCGCTTCAGCGAATACAAAGAGCGCAACAGCAGAAGAGTAAGTGAAGAGTTATGAGGAGAACTAGCCCTTATATTCTTTAATAAGCCTGGCTCCCCATTTATGAGGATTATCTCGCCGTTTATAATTATCAGAACTGTCTTGGATGAAGGGTCAAATTTTTTAAATATGCGCAATACTTTAGAGGAGATCTAACAGAAAGAGGGGAAACTCTCTCTTAAAAAGGGTCCATCGTTTTCTACACTTATCAGGCAAGCACCGTGAGTCCTCATTGGTTCCTGGTGTTGTGCACCTTTGGTTTGATTAGCTGTTGTTATTCTTTTGGTTCAAGTTTGATTTCACAACACTTGATCAAAAAGCGCTGTGTAGTTTTTGCTTCCTTACGATGCATATGAATTGCCTTATGGTTATAGAAAATTAAAAGTTCAATTTCTTCCCACAGTACTTCACTGGAAATCGAGACCGAAACTCTGTTGTTATGAACCCGTTTAATCCAGCACTCAAATGCCGTGCCGTCCGAGTGGTGCCCTGGGGATGGCGCTCTCACATTTCTATGAGAGTTGAGTTGTATGGATGCTTCACAGGTATATGGATAAGAACTATCATGAGACAAGGAAAAAAAAGGAAGTTAGGGGTCCGTGAATAATTGTTGTCTTGAGGTTTCGGAACAATCGTATACTAACTAGCATAAATTTTAGACAAGATATTATGTTTGATAGGAGTATCGGAAAGTCATGAAATGTCTATTTTTCGCTTATAATGGGTTAGTAGACACATTGACTGAAAGCTGATCCACGTGTATTTTAGATCGTTGCACTATGCCTCTCGGTATGGAAGATCATCGTATCTTGTCGGGTCATCTTCGGGCGTCGTCGTCGTACAATTACAACCACGGACCTGACCGAGCACGGCTTAACATCGTCAACGGTCATGGACGAACAGGGGCCTGGGTGGCCAGGCATCAGAACACCAAGCAGTTTCTGCAGATCGACTTGAGACAACTGAGCCTCATCAAAGGAATCGCTACACAAGGAAGAAGAGAGGCTCATCAATGGGTGAAGAGTTACACACTCTCTTACAGCCGAACGGGCCTGAGATTTAATATGTACGCTGCCTATGGCCGGATTAAGGTAAGGATTGTCTGATTTTTTTCCCTTTTGAGACAAATTTTCCACACTGCTCTCATCATGTTGCGTGGGTATCCCTTCCGTGTTCGTTCGCGCACTGTTTACCTGATGCATAACTCCGTCGCTCATTAATATTGGTGTGGTTTGAAGAATGTTTTTCCTTTATCGTGCAGTATCAAATCGAACAGATTTTTATCTGCATACAGGACCATTTATTTTATTCTCAGTGAATTATAACAGCAATTACTTTTGTTCACTTCGTGGCTTTCACATGCCTTGTCTTTGTTTGAAGAGTATCAGTGAAACATCAGCGCAATTTACAATTTCTACTGTTTCAGCTATTCCGTGGCAACTATGATATTTATCACACTGTGACACACCGTATCATCCCGCCTATCAAAGCGCGCTTTGTCCGTCTGCATCCAAGAAGCTGGCGAAGTTATATTGCGATAAGGGTAGAGTTGTATGGCTGCCGCGCCAGAGGTGAGGGCCTTAAAATAAATTCTAAACGCTCGCTGTTACAACTGGTACATGTATATTCACCGTTGGTACAATCGTCGTCTTTTCTTTTCTTTACAATCGCTGCTAGAGTAAATTTAAATAATTTCTAAAAGTTTAATCTGATGATACGTTGAGGTAGGTAAAACAGGCATTTGTATTTGTATTTGTAGCAGATTCGAGCACCTGCCTCCATACTTAGCCCCAAAATAATTTTGTAAACATGAAACAATGTAGATGCAACCTCCTTTTGTTTAACATTCGAAATGAGCTGTTTAGTGTTTGGGTGCAGTTTACATCGCTCGTAATACCTACGTGTATGACCGCTTACTTGACGCAATTCCTTCTCCTCTCTTGAAGAATACGGTCATATTTACTCTTAGTTACGTTTTCACAGAGAATTTCTGCAATTACCCTGTGGGCATTCAAAATGGTCGCATCAGGAATTCTGCCATGACAGCCTCGTCTTCGTGGGATGCAAACCACGGGCCATATTTGGCACGACTTCACCGCCCGCGTCGCGGACGGCTTATGGGAGCCTGGTCTTCCCGCCACAAAAACCATAACCAGTGGCTGCAGATTGACTTAGGAAAGGCCATGAAAATATCGGGTATCAACACCCAGGGACGGCAAGACGCTGATCAATGGGTAACAGCCTATTGGGTCCTGTATGGATATGATGGGACGCGCTTCTCATATGTTAGAGAGTGGTGGGACAATGTTAAGGTAATATGTGGTTCTATTGTTTTATTTTGATTTGTCTTTAACCCTTTAACTCCCAAGATCTCATTAGTAGTTCTCCTTACTGACTCCCATACAGTTCTTGTGATTTTAGTTTGGAGAATTTGGTATTGGATCAACATATAATCCCATAACTAATATTTTTCTTTATTCTCATCACTTGTCTGCTTGATATTGTATTGATATTGTAAGGAGAAATTCTGTCTTGGTCACTTGTGGGAGCTAAAGGGTTAAGAGATGAACAGTGCCCAAGTAGTAAACATTTTAGATTGTGATCTTCGACTCACTTGGAAATCATCATGTTCTTGTGATGTAGGTAATATTTTAAGTTTGAATGTCAAATAGATTGAAGGAGTCAATTGTAACTTCTCTTGAACTTCCCAGAAAGTGACCCTTGTTCAATGCTTACTTGAAGAGTATTTCATTTTTTATCAACACGTCCATTTCTTTTTATTCTTTATTAAGACTTTCCCAGGTAACTACGATAGAAATGGAGTTCAGACACGATCCTTCAATCCACCAATTTATGGCAGATTTGTACGTATTCAGCCAAGAGGTTGGAGATCTCACATTTCCATGAGACTAGAGTTGTACGGCTGCCCATGGAGTAAGTGTTGTTTCATCTGTTCCAAGCGTTAAGTTAATATTACAACAGATACAACGCAACAAACGTTAATAAATAACACCAGAAGAATTCGGAACAATTAGTTGAAGGCGAGATGAAACATTATTGACTTATCCACGAGAACCAACTGATTTTTTGAACAATCTTTTGATTAAACCTTCTACATCTTTAGTCTCTTCAACTCCCAATTTCTCTTCAATATCTAACGAGTAAACTCTCATTCTAGAATCTTTAAATTTCAAAATTGAACTGGTAAACTTCCATTTTAGAATCTTTTATCTCTGTAGATTCCAACACCGCTAACTAGTAAACATCCATTGAGAATGTTTAATCTTTTTAGATTCCAATACCAAACTAGTAAACCTCCATTCTAGAATCTTTTATCTCTGTAGATTCCAATACCGCTAACTAGTAAACATCCATTCGAGAATGTTTAATCTTTTTAGATTCCAATACCAAACTAGTAAACATCCATTCTAGGATCTTTTATCTCTGTAGATTCCAATACCGCTAACTAGTAAACATCCATTCTAGAATGTTTAATCTTTTTAGATTCCAATACCAAACTAGTAAACCTCCATTCTAGAATCTTTCATTTCTTAAGATTCCAATGCCTAACTAGTAAAGCTCCCTTCTTGATTCTTTAATCTCTTAAAATTTCATAATCTGATTTGAAAACGTCCTTTCTAAAAACGTAAATCTCCTCGACTTTCGATATGAATTTAGTCATTTTTCCTTCTCGTTGCTAAACATTTCATTTTGGATTAATTACGATAATTTGTAGTTATACTGAGGTAAAATTTTCATACTTGATATTGTGCCTATGTTCGTTCATGTTTTCTGGATAGCGTATCGATATCTCAATGAAAACGAACGTGTATCACTTCTAAGAGTAAAAAACTGATCTACTGTTACACGAATTTGCTTACAGGTAAATGTGACATTCCACTCGGTTTAGAAGATAGACGTATCCCAGACCCAATGTTCCGAGCCTCCTCTTCGTACAACTTTTACTGTGCGGCAAGAAATGCCAGATTACATCAGCGCCGCGCTGGAAGAAACGGAGGAGCCTGGTGTTCACGTCAAAGAAACAATAAACAATGGCTACAAGTGGACTTTGGAACTGATACTGTAGTCACGCGGGTTTGCACTCAAGGGCGTCAAAATGCTGACCAATGGGTGACAAGCTATTATGTTTCATTCAGTAGCAGAGGTCAGCGGTTTATAACCTACAAGGAGGGTCGCAGAACAAAGGTGATAACTTATTGTTCAATTATTATTATTGTTTACCGGCTTCAGAGAAATCTTTGTCTCCCTGAGGAATCTAACCTTAAACACTCAGAATTAGCGGATGAATGCTCTACAAATGTTTAAATTGTTATATATTCGAAGACTGAGACCAAAGGTTGCAATTGTCTAAATCTAGGTTAACTTTTCTAATCAAAGAATGTTGACAAAGTATTCTCCAGCCTCATTTGACTTGTAGCCTTGTTTGACTGTTCCGCAGTTGTGTGTGAAACATAAAGAATGTATCAAAGTCTCTAAATAGCATACCCTTGAAATCACGCAATAAATAAGCCCAGAGCTGCCAGAGATGTTGAGAACTGCCAGGGAAGGTTTCCCCTGTATAAATCTCTTTTTTTTCATTACGTTATGAATGTCGGGACTTTTGTTCTCACCTGCTTACCCGTGTACGATACTTGTTCGATCCAAGTTAATATTGCGCCTATCATTTGACATTGTAGTCTGTCCAAAAATTATGGTATTTTGTTATCTCAACCTAGATCTTCTCTGGAAACTATGACCGGTTTATCGTCGTCTGTAACCGTTTCTTGAGATCCATAAAGGCCCGTTACTTTAGGCTTCACCCAGTCACTTGGCGAAGTTGGATATCTATGAGGGTGGAATTCTTCGGTTGTATTGTTGGTGAGTGAGATTAATAGCTATCCAGCGAATGACTGTTAGTTAGAGAACGTTGTGAACTATCCACCGAATAAAGATTTCTCCAGTTATAGAGTTATCCAACCTACAAACAAAACGGGCTTTTTTGTTTAAGCAATTTACATTGAACATTTCAAAAAGTGGTTCGTGCAAAGGTCTTTGAACCGTGCAAACTCGGACGACCTTCGTAACTTCACGAGTAAAAACCCTGATCAGTTACTAGCCAGAACATAGCTCAAAATTAATTCGTTTTCTCTTTTTGCCGTCTGTTAGGTCCACAATGCAACAAGCCACTGGGGATGCAAAACGGCCGACTGCGAACTTCCCAGATTACTGCATCATCCAGCTGGGACAAAAACCATAGTCCCAACAATGGCAGACTCCACTTCAAACGAGCTGGTTCCCGGATGGGAGCGTGGTGCGCACGTCACAACAATCGTTACCAGTGGCTCTCGGTTGATTTTGGTCGCACAATGCGAGTCACTAAAATAGCAACTCAAGGACGACAAGATGCCGCTCAGTGGGTGACTCAGTATTATTTGTCCTACAGCCAGGATTATGTTTTCTTTGCGGAATACAAACTAAATAGTGCTAGACGGGTAAGTACTGAGTTAGTTTCAATCTATGATCGATGTTCAAATAAATATGCTGGAGCGGTTTCCAATGGAGTGTCGAAAAACCAAAACCAAAATGACCCCGGGACCAATCAGAGCAAAGACTTTCATTATCATTAGCCAATAAGAACTCAAAGTGAAAAAAAATAAATTGGTTAAAGCGCGGGAAAACGCGAATTTCCAAGTCGCAATTGATTTTTAGTTTTGCATCCGATTTGTTGAGAGGATGGTGCGAGTTTTTCCGGACCAATCACAGAAAAAAAGTTGAGGAAAATCAATGCAATCCTGGATTACTATAAACACTCATCTTAAAATTGCTCAACTCTGACACCAGATAGAAGAAAATGAACTTATGTTCTCTTCGGCCACAGCATATTGTTCAAGGCACTCCAACATTCTGCTTGTAATCGTTAATACACTTTGCCTGATGTAGACCTAAACTTCCTTATAGCGGAGCTTGCGTAGCCCCATAATTATACAAAATAGTAGTAACCCATCAAGCCGAAAAATTTGGATGTACGACCGTACGACCGACCGTACAAGGTGCTACTTTTAGCATGCGCGGCCAACTGTACCACGGGCACTATCTTATAATCAGTCCTCTACACGGACACGGAGAAGTTGCAAATGAAAATCTATTAATATTACCACGCACTTTATCCATAGTAGGGGCTTTAGTTTTGTTGAAGAGACGAGCGGGAAAAAAAAATGCGAGCTCCGCTTTTAGGCTTGCCTAAATCTATATATTATGGAAGGTCTCAGGCCTGTTGTCAGGTTTACACATCTTAGAAAGTGTAAGTCTTAAACTCGAGTCAACTTATTTTGTTTAATTTGTTAACCTTTATTGTGTTTTTATGTTGCGCTTTAGTATTTCACTGGAAACAGAGATCAGAATTCCATCGTTCAATATCGCCTGTTCCCCCGCATAATAGCTCGTTACATCAGAGTTCATCCATGGGGATGGTACAGACATATCTCCATGAGAGTGGAATTCTATGGATGTGTGCAAGGTAAATAGAATTTTCGCACACAGGTTACACTGACTTTTCATTTTTATTTTAAGATGTCTTAGTGTGTCCCCTTCAAACTTCTTGATATCGTAAGACAGATTGATGGAAGTAGGTAGACCTTGATGTTTTCCACCCCTTTCCGACACAGTTAACTATAATTGAAGGGTGAATTGGTAATGGTGGAGGCGAAATTGCTTTACTGCAGGGGACACATTCACAAAGATGTTAGGGGGGCGAACTTGCAATAGGGCGAAACCTCCAGATACCAAAATGACGAGCATACTTTTTCTTTTTCGTAACACTTCGCTATACTAGGGTTTCATTCCGACACAGTTAACTATAATTGAAGGACGAACTGGCAATGGTGAAGGCGATCTTGCTTTACTGCAGGGGACACATTCACAAAGATGATAAGGGGCGAACTTGCAATGGGGCAAAACCTCCAGATACCAAAATGACAAGCATACTTTTTCTTTTTCGCAACACTTCGCTATACTAAGGTTTGATTAAAAAGAGTTGGATCACATTTTTTTAAATTTTCCTAAAGGTGGTTATGCATTTCGCTTGATATGCATGGTTTCCAAGGGCATTCAACCCTCGTCCCTTCTGTAGAAGTTCATTAAAGTGCTCCCTTAAGTCAATTAAACTTCAGTACTCGGTGTTTATATGCGCAAAGTTTAACGTTAGTTCAAGGACAGTCAAATTTGAATCCTGTTATGTTTTAAAAAGTAATACTATTTTTATGATCTTCTCGCAGCACGATGTTCTGTCCCAGTTGGAGTGGAAGACAAACGCATAAGTGATGGCGCGTTGACAGCCTCTACCTACTACAACCGATACTTAGCTCCTTGGCATGGTCGCATCAACCACCGCTGGTCATGGAGTGCGCGGCGCAGCGCGCGTGGCCAGTGGCTCCAGGTTTACTTTGGGGTATTAGCAAGGCTGACTGGAATTTCCTCCCAAGGACGGCAAGATGCTAATCAGTGGGTCAAGAGCTTTGTCCTGATGTTTAGTAGGGACGGAATTAAGTTTATCAAGTACCCAAAGGTATTTGTGAACTGCTTAGGCAAAAAAATTATCCCTAGGTTGCCGTTTTCTCGAACTTTTAACAGGAAATCGAAAAGACTTGAACTAAAGGTTCTTGGGGTATTTAGGCTTGAAGTACATTGAGACATTGACAACGCCCAAAGTCCTAGTACAAGATCTAGGTTTGAGAAGAACGGATAAACTATATCAAGAACTGTGCCATCTGTCACCTTTTGCAACCTTTTTTCACTGAGCGCCAATTCAATTTCGAAAACTTGGGTTTTGTGCCTCACCTCGGCGTGAAGTTGACTTAGGATAGGAAGTTCTGCCTACGGTTATTTTGTCGGGGAAAGGTTATAATTTCCTGTGTTGTGTTTGTCTCCTCACACGTGGTGTAAAGGGGAAGTTAAAACTTTTTGTTTTACTTGTAATCATTCGTGTTTCAGGTTTTCTCAGCTAACAGTGACCGTCATACAATAGTAACAAACTCTTTTGCCAAGTCAATCGCAGCTTCATACGTCCGTGTTCATCCTCTGACTTGGTACGGCTGGATGTCAATGAGATTAGACTTCATTGGCTGTCCTATTGGTAAGTTATAAAGCTAGGCAAGACACGGAATTGTTGTGAAGTAGATTGTTACCCGTCTGTTAACGAGTTTCTAATGTGATGTTTGAAGTACATACTATATACTTGCTTTAAGTATTGACGAGGACTGCTTCTCGGTCCTGAAAGTTCAGTTCAAGAAATTTGTACATTTTTGGGCTTAAATATTCATGGACTCCTAAGGGGGAACATTCACCGATGTTTTTCACGTTATTTATTCGTTAAAAAGTAAAGAAACAAACCGACGTTACAAGATCTCATTAGAAATTCTCGTTACCTTACATTCTTATGATTCTTATGATGTTAGTTCGGAGAATTTGGTATTGGATCAACCATTAATCCATTAATTTTCTTTATTCTCATCATTCTTTATTTGTGCAATTTTGAGTTGTCATCTTCATTACTTATTCTGTAGCTCCCCTCTGCAATCGTCCATTGGGATTGGAATCTGGAAGAATCCCCAATGCAAAAATAACCTCGTCATCAGCGTATAATGCACGATACACAGCACCCAATGGACGTTTAAACAAACCATTCTGTTGGATTGCAAGACACAAAAATCATAATCAGTGGTTCAAGGTGGACTTTGGTAGAGTTACCACCGTGAGAAAGATTGCCACCCAAGGAAGAAGAGATGCGAACCAGTGGGTGACACGATATAAGCTGACTTACAGCTTAGACACACTGCACTGGGCCACATACCGACAGAGGAGTCAGGACAAGGTGAGGTTACACAGGAATCTCTTTGAGACTGTTATGAACAATGGAAGGAGCGTAGTCAAAAATTAAGAGCTTCTTTATTTGGTGATCATTTGATTTATTCTTATGATCTCAATGAGTCTGATTCAGCGTTGATGGAGTAAGGAATTAAACACGCACACAACCCACAATTCCTCCAATCGCTGTGACGAAGGGCGAAACGTCAGCTTTTAAAATCTTTATGGTGGCCAATTTACGTTATCAACTCAGTTGATAATAATAAATTACCCTGTGAAGAACTGACTGATGAAAGGATGTCTTTCCCAGAGTTTGAAAATCATCCTGTTTCTTTTTTTTCTTCCAGTACTTCACAGCAAATCGTGACCGTATCAGCATTGTTGAAAACGTTCTTTCACCTCCAATACAAACTCGCTACCTCCGTCTGCACCCTTGGGGATGGCATGGTTACATCTCAATGAGAGCTGAGTTTTATGGCTGTCGCTCAGGTAATGAACTTAAATGATACGATTGTAGCAAGGTAGAAAAGTTCATTTAAAATACTACGCCTCTAAAGCTCTCCGATTTGTACCCAGAGCCTGTTGTAGGCTTTGCAAACGTTAATACCTTTGAATTGAAGGGTGCACCCTAACCATGGTGTATCTCATATTGCGAGCGAGATATATTTTGCCCCTGTAATCGAATTATGTAGATATTATTTTAACACGGAAACAAGTATTACAAGAAGAATGAAAGTTTCGCTTGTAGACGCGTTTCTTCAGTAGTTTTAGGAGGAAAAAAATCACTAAACTCTTTTAAATTGTATATCATCATCCACTAATTTCCTCGACATGTTATTTCTTTTTACCAGCGCTAGGTTACGTCCATGTTTCCTTCATTTAGGACGGAGCTTTCCTTTCATTTTTTGTCTTAGATCCATGCAGTGTGCCACTGGGAATGGAAGATAATCGTATCACCAAACAGGCTGTGACAGCATCCTCCATGTATAACTTTTACTATGGTCCGTGGAATGCCAGGCTTCAATCAAGAAATCATGGATATGTGCGTGGAGGCTGGATCGCAAAGTAAGTCCGATCGTATCTACTTACACATTGGAATAGTTTTAGGTCTAGAATTTGCTCGTAATTTCATTGAAAACAGACAAAAAATGGCTGATGAACGCTACTCAAAGATTTGTTCATATGCGAAGGTTACTTATAACTGGTGCTAGGACAAGATTGGTTAGATTATCTTCAACGCGCCTAATGTTTTGTTAATAACTTTTATTTAATTTTTTCATTACATGTATTATGTTTTTTCGTCTACCTAGTTGTTCCCTTCCCAGGTAATTAATTTTAAGAGGTTACCTCATCTTTCTCGCTTGTAAGGATAGCAATGAAATAACTGAATCGAAGATGATGAGCTTTAATCGTAAAATGAAATTTTCCATGCAGTAAGAAAAGACGATTGGGAACCTATGGCCTGTACTTCACCAACCAGATATTCCTTAGGTTGCCAACAAGTACACAACAGCAATTAGAACAATTAGATCTCCACAGTTTCACACGAGGTACACTATTTGACATTTTTTAAACCTCTCTCTCCAGATACAACAATAGGAAACAGTGGCTCAATATAGACTTGGGTACCATCAGTCGACTAAAAGGAATCGCTACCCAGGGGAGATATGACGCTGACCAGTGGGTAACAAGCTATGCTGTGTCCTACAGTATGAACAATATCAGATTTATTCCGTACAAGGAAGGACGAGGAGTAAAGGTGATAAGGAATTATTCTGTAAACAGCATACTCCTTTAAAGAACACAGTAATTATTCATAAGGTAATCCCTAAAATGTCTCATTTTACTTTTACAGATTTTTATAGGCAACATTGAAAGGAACTTCGTGGTTACACACCGTTTCCTTCGTCCGTTCAAAGCTCGCTATGTGCGCGTTCATCCAAAAACGTGGCGCAGCCATATTTCCATGAGGGTTGAACTCTACGGCTGCAGACTGGGTAAGACATTCAAACGAAACTCCGCTGACAATGCTCTAAAAATAAATTTTACTAGGGAGGAGTTCCTAGAAACAAATGAACTTCCGTCAGCACAGCATTTTAATGTAAACATAACCAGTGGCATTTGGCTTTCTTCAAGGAAAAGAAAAGAACTTTAATGGCAACCAAACAGAACACTTTCGAATCGTCCTTGTTTTTTAGAAAGTCATCTCTGATTTTTTTCGAGTCGAAACTTTTTAAACTTTATGACGTACTACCAAAACAGAATTGTAGTGCTAAACCTAGTTCAAACCCAGCTCGTATTTTGCGCGCATTAAAAATAGTTATATTTTCAGGCAAACTGTGCAATCGTCCGCTTGGAATGCAGAATGGCCGCATCAGAAATGTAGCCATCACTTCATCTTCTCGCTGGGATAACTTCCACGCTCCTCATTTAGCGCGGTTACAAAACAAACGCAGGGGACGATACATGGGCGGTTGGTCTGCCAAGATTAATAACGCTTACCAGTGGTTACAAATAGACTTAAAGCGTCCCACTAAAGTTGTCCGTATATCGACTCAAGGCCGACCCACAGTCAATCAGTGGGTGACATCGTATTACTTACTCTACAGTCAGGATGGCGTTTATTTTGCGTATTATTTTCAACGCAACACAATGAAGGTATGATTTGTTTCATGATTTTCAGTTAATCGCTTAAAGGGCTCAGCCTGTAACGACTTGACTGGAGGGAACACCGATGTCGAGGAATTTAAATGTTTTTACATAACTTATATTGAAGAGCGTTTGCGCGGTGAAGTTAGCTCTACCTCAATGATACTCCTTCTCTAAAGGTAGCCCGACTATGTGTTTTTTATTGCATATTTTAACCCTCGTGAAGAACTATACACGTTATATGTTAAGCAGTAGAAAGAATTCGTTATGATTTCAAGTTATTACTTAGTACCTTTGATAATTGACAGATCTTTGTAAGAGGTAATTGATGCTTTATTCATCAGATCTTCCAAGCAAACAGGGATAGGAACACAGTAGTTTCACATCCTCTCATTCCACCAATCCGTGGCCGTTTTGTCAGACTTCGCATCAGATCATGGTACAGACACATCTCGACCAGAGTTGAGCTGTATGGCTGTGCCATAGGTATGTTATACTCTTCTGATGTCCCTCTGAAGGTATTAAGACTTTGGTCGATTTCTTAAAGTATCCATTCGACTAGTAACAGAGGCGAGAAGGCCAACACGGATTATTTGCTGAGAGCTTCAAGATATAGTGAGAAAGAAATGTAAATTCAAGCAATACACTGAGAGTGGGGATCCTATAGTGAGCACTGTACCTGAAATGGGCCATACGTTTATTATAATTCGGTTATTAGACGGTATTAGATAATAAAGCATTTTTTAGTCGCATGTAGCCTATTTTTTTGCTTAACTGAATTTCATGACAGTATTGTGTTATCTATTTTACAGGAAGGTGTAAGGTTCCTATTGGCCTCGAAGATCGCCGCATTCCAAGCGGTGCTTTGTCTGCTTCCTCAAGTTACAACTCCAAACATGGCCCCGATCGAGGTCGACTCAACATGGTCGCAGGGCGTGGACGGACGGGTGCTTGGTGTGCCCAGAGGAACAACGCTAAACAATGGTTCCAGGTAAAGCTATTCAAGAAATAAACCACTTGATCTTGGAAGTTGTTAGCGAGTTTATGAAACTTATTTCAAGATCATGGAAATTTCCCACCTCATTTGGTGCGATGATGTCACATTTGGCTATTTTTTATGTCCTGGCTCGATAATTTTAAAGTTATTTAAATGACAGCGTTTGTCTAGAACCCGTTCCTTTTTTGAAAGCGATCCGCTTCCATCTGACACGAGCCGCTAACGAAAATTTACCAATAATTGCCTTCACCTAGTTGGTGTCACAGCTAAACAGAAATAATATTCAAACTTCGGAAATCACCTCGTTCCTGTAATTGTGATTTTATGAAAATGAGAGTGTGTTGATATATTTGTCAATAGGTTGACTTTGGTGTCATGGGTCGCCTCATGGGCGTGGCCACCCAAGGAAGACAAGATGCTCACCAGTGGGTGATGTCATACGTTGTATCATACAGCAGAAATGGCAGAACATTCTTTTCCTATAAGCAGTATGGAAGAACAAGGGTAGGTCCTCGTGATAAATCCTTATTAAAGCTGTGTGCTTATTTCTCTTAGTGCTAGAAATATGTTACGAGGTAGGAATGATAGCTGATTTTGTGTCAACTAGTACGGAGGGACAAAGAATTTACCTTTCATCCTGACATAAGTTGTTCAAGATAATGGATGGGTCCATTACTATTATTAATATTTATTTTGTCTTTCAATTTAACCCTGAAATGTTCCGTTACAGTGTCCTTAAAGAAGGCCTTCAACCAAAAAGGCTGCTGTAACGTGGCATATTGAAAATTAATTGGATCCACATTACACAAGAGCGTATGCTCTGTTTGTATGTTGTGCACGCTATATTGCTCACAGAAAGTATATTAACCTTGCCTTTATTTACTTCTTTTGTTTCAGGTTTTCCGTGGTAACTTTGACCGTCACACAGTGGTTGCTTACAGATTCGTTCCTCCCTTCAAAGCCCAGTTTGTTCGAATCCATCCCAGGTCTTGGCGCGGTCACGTCTCCATGAGGGCTGAATTCTATGGCTGTTTAGCTGGTATGTAACCTGAGTGACCGAATTTCATGATTAAATAAGTAACTATCCGTATCGGCGGCTATACTTTTCTTGGAATTTAGTTGGGAGAGTTTGGTAGAAGATTAAGATAAGAACCTCCAGCTGATTGATGGATTATGTATAAAAATTGTCAAGAGAAGGTTTAAAAGCGAAATTTAACATTGTTCAGTCGACAAGACCACTGGCGTTTTACTAAATTTTGTCTCGAACAATGATAGATACTGGGGCGAAAATGTTGATTCCTTTATAATTCAGGTTTCCTTCCTTTTCTAGTATTGGTTTAAGTGGCACACAGCTCATGGGTATTTTTCCATCTGTCATTTTGTAATTATTCGTTCATGTCCTTTTAATTTTTCGTTGTATAAACTCTATTTTCATCCAGCTCGACCGTGCGCCATTCCAGTTGGCATTCAGAGCGGTAAGATCAAAAACACTGCCATGACCGCCTCTTCTTCTTATAACGTCTACCACGGTCCATTCCTCGCTCGACTCCATCGCTCGCGTACCGGTCGCTTCATGGGGGCCTGGGTCGCCCGAATTAGAAACGCCAATCAATGGTTGCAGATCGCTCTCGGTCGACCAATGAAACTCACAGGAATTGCAACACAAGGAAGAGCAGATGCTAACCAATGGGTGACGCGTTATTTGGTGGCGTTCAGTCAGGATAACATGCATTTTGAATATTACATGGAGTATGGAAACTTTAAGGTAAGCCGTTGGTCGCTAGCTATGACACTTAAGTATTCACATCACCAGGATTTTTCCGTCTCAAACTGACGTTTGTTTTACTTGCCTAAAAGGCATATCCTTACAATTGATAATTCATAATGGACTGGTCGGAGGATTTTGCTTGCGTCACGATGGAATATACCTGATCCGCCCATAGGGCTCTGTAATATTCTTACGATCTAACTTCATTGACAGTTAACTGGTGGTCGATTTTTTATAGTCTCCCTTAAAACTCTGTTGGTGACAACTGATCCTTCCTCCGTTACCCTTAGAAACCATGTGACCCCCTCCCCTCCCCCCCCCAAAAAAAGAAATATCCTCTGCCCACTGGTTGATAAGTGACTGGCCCTAATATTGAGTTGTGAATTAAGCCGTTTGTTGCATAGCACTTAATGCTTATTTTACCTCTTAATTCGTCTCCAGTACTTCACTGGTAACAACGATCGTTACTCCGTGAGGAATAATGCATTCTCTCCACCAATCAAAGCTGTGTATTTCCGTGTTATACCCAAAGGCTGGTATAGCTATATAGCTATGAGGATGGAGCTCTATGGATGCCCAGAAAGTAAGTGAATATTTCTCTGCCGTGAAGAGAAAAGAACTCCCCTCTCTCAGAGCCTTTCTTAAAGCCTCAGAGCTTTCAGCCTTCTTGATACGAATTTTTCGTGGTCTACTTCTCTTATGGTTAACGTTTAACTAGGGTTCAAATCCCTGGGGTAAAGGGCCTTGGTATGTCTTCCCAACCCTTTTACCCCTAGGAATGACCAGCATATAATTTCTCCTTACATTATCACTACTGAATCAAACATTAAGGGTTGTGAGAACTACTATAGGAAATGACAACATAAGGAAAAGTATGGAGGAAATTTTAGAGAATATACATGCTGATGTTTGGGTATACAAGGTTAATAGCCCTATCACTTTATGATGCATCTTGAATATCTACAGTCAGCGTCAAAATTTGTTGACACATATTTGAAGAGTTCTATTTATATGTAGAATAACACTCCTGTTTCTAACACACTCTAAATCATTGACAAGACCCTCTTTCCCCATTCAGTGTTGCCTGTATGAAGCTAAAAGTTCACGGAATCATGAAACAACATTGTTTTTAAGGGAAATGGGGCGAACACTAAGTTAATTTAGCAAGGGCAAAACAGTTCAATGAAAGAGGATTGAAAAGGTCAATGTGTCAACAATTTTGTCGCCGACTGTAGTTTACGGTGTGCTCTTTTTGTTCAGCAATGTCAATTCTAGGTTAAATTAATTCAACAAATACACCAACAAGCTAACACTGCTCCGTTATCTTTTTCTCCTCAGATCGTTGTAACATGCCTCTTGGTGTTGCGGACCGTCGAATAGCAAATCCTCTGATCACTGCGTCATCTTACCACAGTTTTTACTGTGGACCGTGGAATGCTCGTCTGCATCAGAGACGAGTGGGAAGGATGGGAGGGTCATGGTGTGCTCGTAAAAATGATCTCAGACAATGGCTACAGGTTAGTGGGTGACAGTGTGATCCTTAAATGGCAAAGGTAGTGAGGCTTACTCTGTGACCGTAAGTCGCTTTGAGACCCCTCAATTCGCTTTAAGTCGCGGAGACGTAAGTCACAAAGGAGGCCTTTGATTGAGGCAGTGGGAGAAAGTAAATTTTTTAGAACTCAGAGAACCGTGAACCGTTGACACCTTCCGGGAATGAGATTCTGTTGAGGAAAATAAGCCAACTTGACGGAAAAACCTCACCTGTACGCAGTAACGCTAGTTAGTCTGTGAACTCGAGGTTTGTTTACATGTCCTCTCGTTTGATTGACCGAACTTCTCTCAGGTGTTAATGGTTTTTTGAGTTAAATCAAATAAGAGAGAGGATATCATTATTTTCCCAAAATTGGCAAGCAAGGATGTTATCCATAGATTAAGGTGAAAGAAATTTCTAACCGTTGCTCAAATTATTAGGGACCTTTAGCAAACCACGACGGCGACGGCAACGAGGACATGGAAAAACAAAAGATCAAATTGGCAGAGCAATAGCTCAGCACGTGCGTTTTAAAACTTTGTACATTTCTTAGCCGTTCTACGCAAATAACAACCTGAAATCACCACAATTTGCGTCGTCTGCGAACCGAAACCGCGACGTCAAATTAATTTAATTTCCATTTGGAACTCAACGCTTCTTTTAAACGTATGCTGAAGTTGAGGTGTGGTGTATGAGACGGTAAACACATGCAGCTATTTTTTAAATTCTAATTAAAGGCAGAAATTAATTTTTTCTCCCTTGGCGTTGCCGTCCTGACTGCTTAAGGTCCCTATTCTTAGGAGATTACAGCAGATGCGTTAAACAGTTGTCTTACATCTAGGTCGCTTCTTCCCAACAGGTTGATTTTGAGGCAGTTACCAAGGTAACAGGTATTGCCACTCAAGGCCGATATGACGCTGAACAGTGGGTCAAAACTTACAGAATATCTTACAGCCGTGACGGTTCCTCCTACAGATATTACACAGAAAGAAGAGTTGTGAAGGTATCTGCGCCCTTTCGGAAAAGTTCTCCAGAAATAACATAACCATTTTTCGTTCGGGTTTCATCTTTACTTTTACTTCTGTGTCTTATTTTCTGGTTTTCTTTTTTTTTTTCTTTTTTTACTCTTTTCGGATTTGTATTTGTTTTATTCACCTTTGCTGTGTCTTTTGGCCTTATTTCCTTTGGTTCATATGCGTGAATTAAGTTTTTATTTGCTTTTTTTTTTTTCTTTGTTGATTTTCCACATTCTGTCTGTTTCTTTGGAAAAAATGTCACTATCTTACTTTATGTTTATTTGTGCTTTTTTAATCCGTCAAACGAATGAATCCTTCACTATTTTTTCAGTTGTTCCGAGGCAATTATGACCGTTACATTGTGGTAACACACACCTTAAACCGACCGATCACTGCTCGGTATATCCGAGTTCACCCCAGAGCGTATCGTGGATGGATGTCCATGAGAGTGGAGTTCTATGGTTGCATCATCGGTCAGTGATTTTTTAACTTTTGGATGAATTTTTTCAATGGTTGTAGTTTGTATTAGCATTTTTTATCTGGACTGAACACACTTTATAGTCTAATTACCTTTGCCTCGTACATACGTAACAGGTTACATCAAAGACTTCCCCTTGTTCATCTATCTCCTCTCTTTCCCGTCCCCCCCCTCCCCGAAAGAAAAGAGAAAAGATGGAAGAATGAGGAGGTCCAGCTGAACACCGACTCAAACGTTAACGAAAAATTCTTAAGATAAAATAGATGACGACAACACTTGTAATACTAGAACGTATGTAACACCAACTTTAAAACATGACAGACTGGTAGTGGTTCTTGTCTCATGAGCTACCTTATTTAAAATCCTCGGGACGGCGTACAGAATGGTGAAATCGCCAATTTCCCTTGAAGAAAATGCCCGTTATGCCATAATGCATCTTCGAGAATGTAACCAAAGCTTGTTTACCGACAGGTCCACAATGCAATCGGCCAATAGGAATGGAGAACCGCCGCATACGAAACCAGCAGATCAGCGCCTCTTCAGAGTGGGACGCAAACCACGGTGCACGTCTGGCCAGACTCAATCAGAAGCGTACAGGACGAACTATGGGGGCGTGGTCAGCACGTGTTAATAACGCTTACCAGTTTCTACAGATTGATTTACGAGTACCAATGAAGGTAACAAGTGTCGCGACTCAAGGAAGAAGTGATGCCAATCAATGGGTGACAAAATACATGCTGTCGTTCAGTCTTGATGGAGCACATTTTGCAGTTTATTGGTCGCAAGGAAGACCCTGGGTATGTTGTTAATTTATTGATTCCTTACCCTGTTCATGGATAGATTTAGTCAATCATATTTATTCTTTCATTCATTCATTTATCCATACATCTCTACATTCTCCCTGGCTATTATTACCGTCATTTTCAAAGTGGCAGACTTCGTTCTCCCATACTAACGGCGTCGCTAGAGCTACTTTGTAGAATTAAAGCCTCAATGAACTTTTGCTGATTACAGTAAAAACAGATAGATATTGCCACTACACAGATTTTGAAAACTGAAGTTTCATAAATTTCAGGGAAAAAAAGCCTTTTTTCCTAATTTTGTAGATTTTCTGCACAATCTCTCTAATTAATTCTAATTTACATTTTCTTTTATATCATATCTCAGTACTTTAGTGGAAACCGCGATAGAAACACCATTAAGCAGCACAGACTGTTCCCAGTCGCTCGCGCCAGGTTCGTACGATTCCTCCCCAAAGGATGGTACAGACACATCTCCATGAGAGTTGAAGTCAATGGTTGCCCTGCTGGTAAAGTCACTTTACTTCTGTGTTTGTTTGTTTCTTTCTTTCTTTGACTGTTCGCCTGTTAACTGTCGTGATATGACCTATTGTTTGCGAAAATTCAACCTCTCGTTTTTTTCTTTATGTAGTGAAGTCCTGTACAACCTTTATACAGTTCTATCATTTATGCCCTTGAAAAGAAGAAATAAAAAAATTGAAAAAAGAACTTTGGTGCTCTCAATATAGTTTTCAAAAGTAAATTAGATTACTTTGAATTGTCACTTGCGTCTCTCAGTTACATGTGAATTCTAAGGCTTGGAACCAAACTTGTGGTTGCGAATTTTCTTCCATAACATGACTGACGGAAAGGTGGAACTAACATTATTGATTTGTCTCCAATGTCATTGAAATGCACAGTAACAATGAAAGATTGTTTGGTAAAACTGTCGTAATGTTGTTATGTCAAGCCTTCTTCATTCAATATAATTTACTCAATGACACTCCTTTTCTTCTTAACTTGTCATCTTTTCAGGACGTTGTGCTCTTCCCCTTGGTTTGGAAGACAAACGAATACAGGACGGTGCCCTTAGTGCTTCAACGTATTACAATCACCACTTGGCTCCTTGGCTGGGACGACTCAATTCTATCCGTTCATGGAGTACACGTGTGAATAACGCTCGTCAGTATCTGCAGATAAACCTTGGAAATATTGGACGCGTTACAGGAATCGCCACACAGGGCAGAAGGGACGCGCATCAATGGGTGACTCGTTATATGCTGTCGTATGGAGATGGAACCAAGTTTGTAGCCTATAGGGAAAGAAATAAAGTCAGGGTAAGTTTTTTTTTTTGGACCACTTCGAAGCATTGTTTTAGCTACTTTCTCCACAGTTTTCGTATTTTATAAAGGACCTCGTCAAATGATTGCACTCATCTCGCTCTTCCTTCTGTGATTATATTTTCATGTACGAGGCTTGTCCTGTAATCAAGAACCTAGTTTTGCGGCCGATAATTTGGCAACCGTGTTCAGAAATTTCCCACGTGATCTCTCTCGCCCGGTTGTAAAGATGCAACAGAGCTAACATTTCTCATCTTAAAGTAACTACACTGAAATATTTGCGTGGTAAAGCGGGCTGAAATTTTTCCCGGTAACCTGGCTGTCTGGCTGAAGAGGCATTAAAAGAAATATCCAGATCTAACTTCATCGTTTTTGTTTCCATCTTTTAGATGTTTCGTGGAAACTCAGACAGAAATTCAGTTGTATCCTACACATTACTCAGACCATTCAAAGCGCAGTATGCCCGTTTTCATCCCAAATCCTGGAGAAGTCACATATCAATGAGAGCTGAAGTCTACGGATGTCTTAAAGGTACAAATGATATGTTGCCTAACATATTCATTAAAATATTTTATTGAGGGACGATCAGGCTAAGGGGGAAATCACCAATATAAGAGATATCCTTATATCATTTATCCAAAGCTATTACTAGCTCACGGAAATCCTGTGAGGATTTAGTAGTAACCAAAGCTGGGTCGCTCGCATGGATTTCTCAGGCGTTTTGAACGGGTGTTTGACCTAAAAGTTTTCTGCTTTGAGTTAAGTGTCTGACTCACTATTATTTTTATCGCCGTTGGAGTCTTATTGGAGAATTGGCTGTTTCAAAGTGGTTTGACTAAAATAAGACCCAAATACTCAGCCTACCTTGTAAAGGCGTTCAAAACTGTCCCACTAAAAAAGGTCTCTCGAAAATAAGATGTTCACTACCCTGATGTTTATGTTAATAGAGAGATGACTGACATATTCCTTTGTGTTCCAGAATTAACAAGATTCTGTAGCTTCCCACTCGGTGTACAAAGCGGCCGCATCAAGAATAGTCAGATGACTTCATCGTCTGTATGGAACCGTTACCACGCACCATTCCTTGGAAGACTCAAACGCGTGCGTACTGGTCGTTACATGGGAGGATGGGCAGCTAGACACAATAACCATAACCAATGGATACAGGTTGATCTTGGCCGTCTTTTTAAGGTTACAATGATATCGACACAAGGAAGGAAAATTGTGAAGCAGTGGGTGACGCGATATACAGTCTCGTACAGTTTGGATGCCGTTCACTATGTATCTTACAAACAGCGAGATCGACTGAAGGTATACACCCGTCTTTATGTTAAATATTTCTTTTTTTTTTTTTATCTCGCCTCTATTGTGTTATTGACATGGCTAGCTGAGTTGGTATGGGGCCTCTATTTCATTTTGGGTTTATTGTTTGGCTTAAACTTGGCCACTCTTGTGTGGAGACAAGAATCATACGTAGGATTTAAAAATAAGGGCTTGTCGTCTCTGTATTTTTGATTTTGTAAGCACTCGATCGTTTAAAAACGATGTGATGCTATGGAGAGCAGAAAATAAACAATTTGCCCCAAGATGATTTTCAATGCCTTCTAAAAGGTAAGCGGACATTCACAGGGGTTGGTTGTTCTAAACACATTCAGCACTCATTTGGGATGAAAAGTCAAACACCATTCTATAGTATCTCTTGAGGGCATTTATTGACTCTTTTTTTATAATCGTTTTCATAATTGTTTTCCCTATAAAGTACTTTGTAGGAAACTACGATGGAGAATCGATTGTTACACGCACACTGACTCCACCAATAGTAGCACGTTATGTCCGTGTTCACCCTCGTGGTTGGTACAGGCATATCTCCATGAGACTTGAGCTGCATGGTTGTACTCCAGGTGAGAAACACTATGTACATAAACCAACACATAACTCTAACAACTAATTCAACCCTTTCACTCCCAAGATCTCTTTAGTAATTCTCCATACTGTCTGCCATATATTCCTTATAATTTTATTTCAGAGAATTAAGTATTGCATCAAATCTCCTTAATAAGATTTTTCGTTGTTCTCGTCACTTTTTTGCTTGTGGTTGTATTTATATTGTAAGGAGAAATGATGTCTTGGTCTGTCTTGGGAGTGAAAGAGTTAAACACTTTGCAGTCTAAGTTTCGGTATCACCTTTGTTTGGAGAACTAGTAGGATATTTTCCGATCAAATTGTCTTTCTAGTAGTACTAATTCAACAATTAAAATTTTTTTATTTTCCAGAGCGTTGTGATATTCCATTGGGCTCCGAAGACGGTCGCCTGCCTGATGTGTCTTTCACTGCATCCTCTATCTACAATGCTCATTATGCCGCCTACCAAGGCCGACTGAATGCCATGCGCAGCGGCTCAAGATACGGCTCATGGATAGCACGTTACAACAACAGGCGTCAGTGGTTCCAGATTGACCTTGGAAACCGAGCGATTGTCATTAAGATAGGAATCCAAGGAAGATATGACGCCAATCAGTGGGTGAAGAGCTTTACAGTTTCCTATGGAATGAATGGATTTCACTTCAGGTTCTACAAGGAAGGAGGGCGAACAAGGGTATGTGAAACCACCATAGAGAAGTTCAGTTTAGTACGGGGCATTCTGTTGATGAACGCGCGGGCCATAATCTGAGCAACACTACGTTGATAATAAAAAGTTGCGTACCTAAACTTGTCTCAGTATCGGATTTTCAAAAGAGGAACCTCAAATACTTAAATTGAGGCGAAATAAAACTTACCCATTTTCCATACATGTAGATTGTTGCAGCTGTCTTTCTATAATGCTCATCACTGTTTTATTATTTCGATTTATACAGGTCTTCCAAGGAAACTCCGAGAGGCAAATTGTCGTTATAAACCGTTTCCGGTCGCCGATCCGTGCTCGTTTTATAAGAATGTATCCACAGACTTGGCATGGCCATATTTCAATGAGACTTGAGCTTTACGGCTGCAGTAGAGGTAAGAAATTACAAGTCCCATGCCAAATCAACATCAGTGAGTTTCGCATGTTTTCTTGGTGACTGCACTTTTCAAGGGGCTTGCTAGATTGGAAGGGTACCTTTAGGGTTTCTCTGGCAAATGTACGCGTCAACTCATCCAAAATAGCAGTTTTTGTCACGAATGAGTCTTACTCTGAAATTCTCTCTGTTCAAAATAAAGAATGTCTATTTTATCACTCGGGATCTCAAAAAAAAAAGTTTTAAAAAAAAATTGCTATTTTACCTGATGTTTTTTTGTGGTTCGTCAAATTTTTCTAATTGATGTTAATGGAATAATGTTTTTTCTAGGTCACATGTGCAATCGACCGCTTGGGATGATGACGGGGGCAATTAAAAATTCGGCCATCACAGCATCATCCATGTGGGATAAACATCATGCACCATTTTTGGCCAGGCTTAATGCACGACGCATGGGCAGATATCAGAGTGCCTGGTCAGCCAGGTAAAGAAACAAGAAATTTAAAATGTTATATTTATGTCGTAGGGTATATAACGCGCTTAGTGTCATTGACTATTGTGGGCATGAGCAATGAGACGTTGATCTTTGCCACCGTTCAAAAGAGCTAACTCAAGTATTTGGCATTAAAATTTCTACCTTTAGCTATTGCATAAGGCTAGAACTATGTTTTCATGGTTAGTATGGAATGTGTTGTAAACTAAAGACATTTTGTGGTCTGGGTGGTCCAAGAAACATTAATATAAGGAAGAGTAGTTCACTCTTTCACTAATGAAGTTCAGTCTCATTTATATCTTCTTAAAACAATTAACAAGGTTTGTGTTTTTCATTCGAAGGCATAACAATCGTCACCAGTTTCTACAGATAGACCTGGGAAAGATATCAAAGATAATACGTGTGGGTACGCAAGGACGAGCTGCAGTGAATCAATGGGTGACAGTTTACTATCTGTCGTCCGGTGTAGACGGCGTACACTTTGCTAGATACAGAAAGAACTCCGTGGATAAGGTGAGAATCAAAGTGACAGATCGTAAATTACGCAAGCTTGCCTAGAGTGAAAACCAGCTACTTTTCTTGAGAAAGTTAGACTCAGGAGATAAACTAAACGTTCGATATTCTTAAACGAAATGAGTCGCATATTCTTGAAGTATATGGTATAAAACTAATTCAGGGCATATTTAGGCCATATTGCATTTTCATCAGGAAAGTTAACAGAATATTCAACTTCTCAATGTGGCTTAAAACGTTAACCCTGTAAGTCCCAAGATTCAATAAGTAATTCTCAGCTCTGACTGTCATACATTTCGTCTTAGACAGGAGAATGTAATCTTTTTATATCAAAGGATACTCTTTAGCCGATAAGCTTGTATGTTCGTCATTATCTCTTTGCAAAATAACATATTAGAATTGCAAGGAAAAGCTAAGTGTCGATCACCTTTAGGAGTTTAAGAGTAATTAAATATTAATTGCAATTATGACAATAGGAGGTGATAAACCAGTTTTGCTTTTGCACTGGTCCATTTGCAACATATTCAGTGATTCTTTTATATTTCCATATTTTGGTTTCACTAAGTGAAGACGTATTTTTTCATTGTATTCTGGCAGCTGTATTACACTATGTCCTGTATACATAGAACCAACATCTTGCTTCTTTTTTTCAGTATTTCCGTGGCAACCGTGACAGAAATACAATAGTTTATAACTCAATTATTCCGTCTATCCGAGCTCGCTTCCTTCGAATCCATCCCTGGTCGTGGCATGGCCATATCTCCATGCGGGTCGAGCTGTTTGGCTGTGCTTTAGGTGAGGCCATGTGTGAACGTTTTATAAATGCGTGTTTTTTTCCTTCTGCATTATGCTGTTTTTGTTTTGTTTGTTTTTTTGTCTTTATTCCTGGTGAGTGGGGTTTGTGTACTTCAGTGTGGTAAAATAGAAGAAAGACTTTCGGAACTCAGGGAATTAAATACATTTGCATTGACATTGCAATAAAGGGTCAATGTACATTGTAACAATCACTTAATTATCCTCAAGTACGTGGAAAAGATTATTAAAACGAAAAGTATCGAGGAACTGCCATAAACGCTTACGCTTACTATAGATGGTTGATGATAAGACAAAACAAAAACTCTCCGCGCGTAGCATATTCTGGCTCCGCCTGTGGTATTAGAATCTTTCTTCTCTCTGCATTAGCTGACTTACCAATAGCAAGAAATACTACAACGTCTTACAGCAATGGACATGATACATGAAGCAAGGAGAACTCATACTAACCTTTCATTTCTTTTTGTCAGGTGCATGTGGTGCTCCACTCGGTTTTGAGGATGGCCGCATTCCAAAGTATGCCATGACAGCCTCGTCAATGTGGGATTGGCGGCATGGTCCTTATAGAGCTCGTTTGAATCTTCTGAACCGCGGAGGCACCGGAGCCTGGTCGACGCGTTATAACAATGTATTCCAGTGGATACAGATTGACCTAGGTGAGGTGTCAAAGGTTGTTGCTGTGGCAACGCAAGGCCGATACGATGCCAATCAATGGGTGAAGAAATACGAGATAAGCTACGGCTTGTATGGCAACAAGTTTAAGTTCTACACAATCAACAGAAAAGTCGTGGTAAGAACTGTTTATTTTTCGCCTTGTATTTGCAAAAATGTCACTCCAGCACCTAGATTTGATTGATTAAAATCCGATGACTTTTTTTTTTTTCAATTTCTCTCAGATGTTCGCCGGTAACAGTGACAGGAACACTGTAGTCTTTAACAGGCTCTACCCCAGTTTCCGTGCTCGGTATGTCCGATTCTATCCCAAACAGTGGCACAGTCATATCTCCATGAGAGCAGAGCTTTATGGTTGCAATAGAGGTAAGGAAACCTTAAATTACATCATTACATCATTACATCATTGCCACATCAAAATTACATCATTAAATTACATCATTACATCATCAAAACAATTATTTATTCATTTTAGTAATGCTACCCTGACAGTATTTCACTTTCCCGAAATAAAGCTCAAATTTTCTGTTTGTTTTTTTTGGTAAGAGTATTCTTCCAATCGAGAAATAGGGCAGTTTAAAAGAAAGGAAATGTTTTGAAAGTTCTCATGTTCACGTTTTTTCACTCGCAACTAAACTCTTATATTAATACAAACAACAAAAATTTAAAAGTAGGCAACACTCACTAATTACACAAAGAGGTCAGATCTCTCACTCCAAATCTGTATGTCCAGAGGATTTTACCAAATGTTCTCTTGCTTACTTATTTTTCCATTTTTAATAATTTTTTTTATTTTCTATCAATTTTTCTTTTTCTTTGGTAGCCATGTTCCGCATGTGCTTCCAGCCACTTGGAATGCAAAATGGTAAGATACCAAACAGCGCCATCAGAGCCTCGTCTCAATGGGACAAGAACCACAATCCTGCTCGGGCGCGACTCAACATAAAGTAAGTTAATTAACAAGACTGCATGACTGAAATCAGACTTAGCCCATTCCCTTTTTGTCGTGCGATACTGCAGACATGAAGGGAATGGGGCTAGGTCGAGACGACAAAAACGGGGCCTAGTCTTGTACCCAGCTCCTCTCAACAAACATCCTCGCTCTATATCCAGATAAAAACAGGCCTTCTCGTAGTCCACATGACAAATGTTGTATTTAGTTCGGCAGGTTCTCAGTCACTTCAAGTGTCCTTAAAGGTTTTCCTTGAGGACAAATAGTTATTCCAGTTTTTTTTACAGGACAAGTTATCAAATGAAATATAAGTTAAAGACAAACGTGACTCGTCAAAGACACCTCCAAATGAAAATTTGAGTGAGTCTTAATCAAACTTGTTATATTTTGCAGGAAAGTGGGACGTCTGGTGGGTGCATGGTGTACAAGACATAACAATCATCGGCAGTTTTTACAAATCAATCTTGGAGGACCAACCAGGATAACTAAGGTCGCCACACAGGGTCGGTATGATGCGAACCAGTTTGTCAGGAGCTACTATCTGTACTACAGTCAAAACGGAAGGACGTTCCTGCCCATTAAAGATGGAGCAAAGATTAAGGTTTGTAAACAAAATTGCTATTGGTGTAAAGTAAAGCCGATCTACTCTTAAGGGGCACTCTCTTTCCAGAGAACATTACCATCCAAGAGACACAAGCTGTAGTCCCAACGAAAAAGATGTTCCCGTTACTGTTGTATCTTTGGTCTCATTGAAGGGACACAATTACGCAAGGGACACTTTTTGTTTCCCACGGGTACCATCTGAATGGAGGTTCCTCAGTATCTGTTGCCATCAGTGAAGGGACATTTTCATTTAGAGGACCCTTTTTTAGTCTCAATAGTGCCCCCGTAATGGAGGTTCCACTCTATCTGTCACTTCACCTCGCTTTAAGTGACACTTTTTATATTCTCGAGGGTGTCCCCCTGAAAGGAAGTCTCACCGTATAAAGAAATAGAGCCTTAGGTATTATCTTGATGTAACACCAAATTCTCTGAACTATTTTGAAGGGCAATCAAGATAGAGGAGGAAATTTTCTTATGTTTCCTGGGAGTTTCACTAACAGTTGACTCATACAGGCTTTTTACGTGTTCTCTTTAAGCTATTCCGAGGCAACTTTGACCGGTTCTCCATAGTGGAGCAGCCCATTAACCCACCAAAGAACGGAAGATATGTGCGGTTTAACCCCAGATCATGGCACGGTCATATATCTATGAGGGTTGAAGTGTATGGCTGTCGTGCAGGTAAGGTTTGAATTGACTAACTGACTCACTCACTCACTCACTCACTTTCTGACTCACTGACCAATTTGCTGACTCAGTAACTGAATCACCAACCGACTGACTGGCTGACACTCAGACTCAATGCCTCTTTGACTCAATGACTCCTCGACTGACACCCCGACCAACTGAACTGACTCAATGACTGACTGACTGACTCATTCACTAATTCACTGTCTTGCCAGCTGATTGATTGATCTTCTTTGTGTCAGATTATCCGGAGATTTCCCATCCAGTCGTCCGTGCTGTCACCAAACATGGCCGCAGCTGTGCAAAGATTGCACTTCGCTGCTACTTCAACACCAGGGGACGAAGAAACAGTCGAATAATAGCCCGTGTACACTGGATTGTGAACAAGAAAGTTACCAAGGCAGAAACTGTTCGAGGAAACTATGCTGAACTCTTAGAAAACACATATGGATTTAAAGCTGGAACAACGGTTTGTAGAATGAAATCGTCCTTTTTGTAACTGGACAAGTCGAGTCAGCGAAACTCATTGCATTGTTTTCAAAAACTATTTGGTTTGTTGCTTGATCGAGTATTCACGAACAAAAAAGATGTTTTGTCAATGAAAAATTCGTATGATGAAATCTGAAGAGCACATTGATAAAGCAGAAAAAATTAACTCTTGTAGAAGAGTGATTGTGTAGTCTTTTACAAGTCAAGTTATTTATCATTTCAAAGTGAGTCGCACCCAACAAGACCGCCCGTTCACAAACAGGGTATGTTAAAGTCTTCTTAACATGCGAACCAACTCACAAACATCAAAATTATATCAAAATTATTTGAACTGGAAACAAGACAACTCATAACGAGACCTTGCGACATAATGTTGCTGTTGGATGCAATATAGTCGCTACTGTGAAAATGGAAGGTCACCGTTTTCCCGAATACAATGTATGTCTTTTGATTTCCTAGTATTGCGTACTTGACTTGAATATCAGTATTTTTTTATGTGGAAAAGAGATTTTAAAAAAAACACATTTGTTTCCAATACTTGCAGGTTGCTTGTAAGGTAAAGGCGCGGTATTCCAGTGGAAAGGACTGGACAATGGCTCAATTAAGTAAAGCTTTTTTCACAGGCATTAAGGTAAAATTTACGTCTCTCGCCCTCTGCATTTAGACACTTTAGCCTCCTGACCAAGAGAGAATTTCTTCTGACACTATCAATACAATATCAAGCAGACAAGTGGTGAGAATAAAGAAAAATATCGGGGGATGATAGTTGATCCAGTGCCAAATTCTCTCAACTGACATCATAAGAATTGTATGGCCATGTTGCAAATAAGAGAATTAGTAAAAAAGATCTTGGGAGGGAAAGGGTCAACACTGGCTAAGATAAATGCCAAAGTATTTTTTAAATCTAGTAACCTAAGAGAAAGATGTTATTCATTTGTCATGAAGGTAGACGAAAAGAAAAAATGTAAGTCATCTGCTGGAAAATAGAAAATTAGCTCCTTAAAATTTTCCTCAGAGACTCTACAGTGAGCTAGAGCCATGGCTAGGTTCATTTGTGACACTGCTATTAGCATTCAATTTCTTTCTCTAATTTATCTCTTTTTATGATTGTTTTCCAGGTTAATCCTAAAGCGCTCACAATGACGGACAGCTCAGGCTGGAAATTAATCAGACTTCGTAGCTTGGTACCAATCAGATGTCGTGGTCGTCGAAGTTGTTCTGTGATCATCAAATTTCAGTCTCATACAAGATTTGTGACGGACAGATGTAAAATGACTCTGACAGAAAGAAACAGGAAAAATTATGGGTTTTATCTTAAACCTGTGAGAGATTTCAGAAAACTGAAGAGAAGTAACGTCCGTGCTTACTTCAGTCCCATTAGGTCCACTCCTGGACTCTGTGGATTCTGGAAGGGTTACACTCTTCCACCGATCAAGGTGAACAGTGATTTTATGATCAGCGTTGTTATTGACTGAGTGAGATAAAGTGTCACAAAGAGCTGTGGATAACCCAGAGTAAAAAGCGCGGGAAAACGCGGGTGACCAAGTCGCGACTGGGTTTAGTTTGGCAACTGGTTGGTTGAGAGGATGGCGCGGAATTTCTTGACAAATAACTGAGTGTCTCAGAGCAAAACCAATGTAATAAGGATTTCTTATTTCCTTTTTGGCACCCAACGAAAATTACTTACTCGATTTTACTTAGTTTTGTGTTTCTTTGATATGTAGGAACGTCTATCAATTCCATCGTATAATTACATTGAATCTGATAGGAGAACGTTCTAGGGTTTTTTCGGATACGGTAAAGCTCTAAGCTACCTAACTGATTGATTTTCTAGGTCATAACATCCAACAGAGGTGTCAAGAAATGTCACGGAACTGGAGATCCTCATTATCGAACATTTGACAACAAGTGAGTCGACTGCTCTTTGACTTGTATACCAGAAAATCGTGGTGGATGGGCTGCATCCCACTACCCAAGGGATTGATTTTATTTGTATTCCCGTGTTTGTATTTGCCCCTCCCTTTACAGAGTAAATTGTGTATACTTCTTTCTTAGACTTTACTACTCAAGTCATGCTTCGTGGTAGGAACTGTTTTTTTGTTGGTGTTTAACATTGCTGTGTGTTTTTCTATTTCAGGTATTACGACATACTGAGGAACGCTGGCACTTACGTTATGGTGAAGAGTTTGAGAAGAAACTTTGAGGTATGGACTTTGACATTAATTATACAGCCAACTCTGCGCTCCATTTTGGCTCGTGCTGTAAGAGCCTTGATAGCGGTGGCCTAACGATTAGTCCGTTAGAGTTCGGGCAGAGAGGTCTGGGTTTGAAACCTGGCCGGGTCGTTGTGTTGGGTTCTTTGGAAGGACACTTTGCTCTCACCAGGCCTCTGTCCACCTCACCAGGCCTCTCTCCATCCAGGAGTGTGTTTGGTATTCGCAAACTGTCAAGGAAACTTGACAAAATGCCTTGGAGGGGGGGTTAACATTCGATGGACTAGCATCCCATCCAGGGAGGGTAGCAATACTTGTCGTCCCGTCATGCTTCAGAAACCGGGATAGACCTCTGCCTTGTGCGCCTATGGTACGAGCGCTGACTTTGTTTTTTCACCTCCATCCATGTCGTGTCTTTAGGTGCATGCTCGTCTATGGCCTTGCTGGAGAGTGGTATGTAACTGTGGTGTAGCCATCCGTGAGAATAATGATGTGGTGAATATTGACATGTGTCACGGACCATGGAAAAGAACCAGCCCACGTGTCATCCAGAAATCACGCGCGCCTCTTGGCAACCGAATGAGAATCCGACGATATGGATCTGGTCAGAGCACGCGCTTTAAGGTTTGTGTCAAAACGTCTTTCGTTTCACTTTCTGTGAGTTGAACAGGTTACGGGTTAGGTAGGTAAGGGGAGTAAGAGTATTAGAGGTTAAGGGTGGGTAAGTTGATTCGTGAAAGTGAGACATTGCAAATTGCATTCTGTTCGATATGCGAAAGGAGGAATTTTGACATACTATAACAAAAGAAACTTTTATACCCTGGATCTCCAGAGGTGCAGCATTGGAGATGTACATATTAGTTTACTAGATATGGTTTTTATTAATTCTTTATTCTCTTAGCGTCTGTTGTGAGACATCCTTGGCCATCTTCGTAGATCGTTTGTTCGAAGGGTGGTCAACGCTATGCACTGAATAAATCTCTATCCGGTGGATAATGCTGTACGTATTGTTGACATAATCCGCTGAATGGTGATTCATCCGTTGAATAGCGTTGTCTGTCCTTAAACCTCTGGGCCTTGGTCTTAAAATAGTCAATTTTAGATATCTTGTTGCGCAGAGTAACAATTAACCAGTAATGTTTTGTTTTCAGGTGATGATGAAGTCAGGTGCAATAGTCGAGGCTAACTGTGCTAACTGGGGTATGAGTTTGTACGTCACAGTCCCTGGTGTAGACTCTGGATCCACTGTGGGACTCTGTGGAAACAACAATGGTAACCCGCACGATGACTTGGAGAGAAAGGGTATCTATACATTCGCAAATAAATACAGGTGAGTTGTCAGAAAGAACCCTGCAAAAAATCGTAGCGAAAACGACCTTTTTTTAATTTCTTTTCCTGCCTTGCTATAACAGTTAACTGGTTGATAAAATGGTCTTAGGAGAAACTTATTTAATAAGCTATTATGAAGTTAAAAAGGGCGTTGAAAAGAGATTCTACACTTTACTTCTTGGTCGAGAAGATTGGTTCAGTAGAGTGAGACGCAGGAGTTCGCTACGCCCCGCGCCCTCAATATCGGGGAGTTAAACCTTTAACGATCGCACAGCGGAATCTAATCGGCCTTAAAAAACGGCAGTTTCAGTGCAATGATAATAGATGTGAATAATATATATTTTGAGGTTGCAAGATATTGTACTAATCATAATATGTTTTTGTTTTCTCTTTTAGACTGCGTCCAGGTACCAGTCTCTTTGAGCGACTGCCTCCTCGCATCTCATCTCTAAGTCGACGCGTCAAGCCATCTTGCGCATGCGTTAAGAAAGGCAACCGCCGCTTCAACACATGTGACGTGAAGCCACTACCAGACACGGACAAGGGCGGGAAATCTGTGAAACCTATCAAAGTTCGGCCTCATCCGAAGAAACCCGGACGAACCGATAATAGAGATTACGACCCGAACTCTATCAACTATGTCTTTAAACCTCCCAAAGTGAAGTATCGTGTTCCTACCTGGCCAACGAAGTCGGGAATCACTCGGAAGAAGGCGATAAGGCATTGTAAGAGAGAAATCTCGCGTATAGTGCGCGTATGCAAGAAGGTTGTGAGTGCCAAGAAGTTGAAAGTCATGACAGAGTGCGTGACCGATATCAAGGTAAACTACCATAGCATTGATTCCTTCACGTGAACACTTTTTTTTAATCATAATCATAAGGATCTTAGAAGAGTGTGAATTACAGAGTGATTTTCTTGACTCAACTGGAGTGTGCTGCAATGCGCAAACATACAGAAAACGTGGTATTTTTAAGTTGTACCTGTAACAGCAAATGTTACACTCGATCTCTCCCACTTTTTTTAAAAAACTTTTCAAATGTTAAGCTCCAGTACTTAATTCTGTATGGGGTTTGAAGATTGCAAAAACGTGAGGCGATCATCGAAGTGACAAGACAGGTGCAGGTCCATTTTCAGGTCGGTTAGAATGGTCTGTAAAACCATTAGCTAAAGCAATTCACGTCTCTCTTTTTCCTGCGTGGATCATGAGGACTTGTCTCGGCTAGAATCTGCTGCGGTTAACAAAACACTCAGCTTATGTGGTATTTCTGTCTTACTTTTACATCCCTACAATTTTGAAGCGCCACTATATAATTCTGTAATTAAAGGTTTCACGGACTGCAAAAACGTGAGGCTTTCAATGAAGTAACCATAACGGTTTAGGTACAAATCTATAAAACCATGAATTAGTGCAAAATGCAGTTGGTCTTCAAGATCAAGCAAAAAAGTAAATCGGAAAAAATTAAACAGTTAGTTACCGTGTAACAAATCAAACGGAAATTAATTCACGTCAGAGGGAATATAGTTCGATGTTGACTGTGCTTTCTTCACCGTGTGCTAACATTGCTTTTTCTATTTTACAGATATCAGGTAAACTCTCCATGGCCAAGTCAGCATTATCCAGTCTGCAAGACGCTTGCAAAACTGCAGCTCTGGTGAATCCCAAAAACTACAAGAAGAAAAAGAATGGCAAAGTTGTCCCTAACATAAATATCCTCGGCAAGCTTTGCCCTGACAACTGCAACAAGAGAGGTAGATGTGTGAACGGAAAATGCCGCTGTTATCGTGGTTATGCTTCAAGTGATTGTTCAGTCGACAAGAGAAAGCCGCCTAAGATTGATGGACTTCAGTCAAAGGGCATGTGCGACTTGAGGAAACGGGCGTGTCGCTTTGCAAGCGTATATGGGCTTGGCTTCTGGGAAGGTCACTTAAACTGTCACGTGCAAAAGGCCAGGGTATGTATTTATTGTATTTTCTGTTGGTTTGTTTGTTTATTTTCTGCAAGAGCATAAGATGTAACAATAGGAGACAGGACATTGCGAAAGGTCCTTGAAACAAACAGTTTGATGTTCAAGTCCACTTATTTTCTGGTTCCGATCATACGCACGGATTCAAACCAGTTTGATTTGGTTCGGCCTCAGTTGTTATGGATCACTCACTTGTTATGCAATCACTGAGTCCGCTGACCAGGACTCAAGCTCAGCCATTTTGAATCACCACCAAGGATGCTGACCATTAGTTCACTTCCTGACATACAGCGACAATATAACAACAATAAGTATCGGTAACAACTATTTTTTCCTGTTTAGCTGATACGTCGCAGATGGCATGGAATTGGAGCACAGAAGAAGAACCGTGGTCACTTGCAGAGTTTCAGGGAAGCAAGATGTAAACTTCCCTTCAGCTTTCCTAAAGCAAGAAAACTCCGTGGCTTACCTCTGAGGATACTGATTTCAATTTCAAACAATGGCGTCTTGACCAGCAACCGGTTGAAATTGGTTATTTTCGACTCAGCTTGTCACAGATGTTTGCCAAATGGACTCTGCTGGCGAAAGGTGCTACTTATTTCTGTTATACAGTGTCAGTTATGAATAACGGATTGTTCATTGAAAGAATATTTGAGTTACTTTCTGCCGTTTGTTTTCGTTGCTCCTTTATTAGAGTTAGAGAAAAATAAGGGGGGGGGGGTATGTTTCTAAAGAAACTGTGGTGCTGCGTCGGTGGGGTAAGGGGGGAGGGAGGGGTGGGTATACCAAGATAATTTGGTTTTATCGGCTGAGTTGATAATTTAAATTGACCATAGAGAGTTTCTAAAGCTGATGTTTCGAGCGTTATCCCTTCCTTCTGACGACAGCCAATTTACATTATCAACTCATTTGTTAAAACCAAATTATCTCTTAGAGAGAGCTATGCAATGTGCAGCTATGTATGTGCATTTCGAATGATTAGCATGAATTCTTCCTGTTTTCAATTGCAATTCGTTTTAATCCCCCCCTTTCCCCCCTTCCCAAATCTTATTTGATTAATTCTTAGAGATGTCTCGCCAACACATGCCTCACTTACAGATTGTTAACAAAGAAGGTCTCTCAAGAAAATAGAAATATAATTCTTTTACTATACTGTTTTTTTTTTCAAATTAAACAATTTTCGTGTTGCTTTGCTTGAAATAGAGAACAAATTGCATTATCGGAGGATTGTGTTACGCTGCAAATGAGCGTCATCCTACAAACAAAGGACTGAAATGTCTCCCACAGATCACCAGGAGTGCATGGACACGAGGTGAGTAATTTTGGTATTTCGTGTTGTATAACCCTTCCTTGTTCCGTTGAGTTTTACGTCATTCAACTTTATCAGCCTGCAGAATTAGCCCTACAAAGTTTTACCATACTACCTTGTGGCATGTGCATCGGGAAAAATTCAGCGTTCAATGTTATGCGCAAGCTGTTCTTGTTCATTTTTGGTTTATCATGGTTGCTGCTTGTGGTTTCCTTTTTTACAAAAGTATTATTTGTAGTTATTTACAATCCAGCCATTTTAGTTTTCTCTGATTTATTCCTATTTCTGTGGTGTTTTTTTATCCTAAAAGACGGATAATTAAAATTTTAATTCTATGTAAGGTTATTCTGTATATCGCTACAAATGTCTCAAAGAATAGTGATGTTACTCCAGTAAAGATATCGAGGACTTGTGAATTTTCCGATCGCTGTTAAAGCGTATTTCGGAGTGATGAAGGAATTAATGGTAATAAATATTCACATTGATATTAATGATGATGATGATGATGATAAATATGATAAAGGAATGTGATTCTTTTTCTTCAGTGTCACAACAGTATAAACCCTTAGGAATGAAAAATGGTCGTATTCCATCCAGTGCCATCAGCGCATCCTCCAAATGGGATCGTTACCATGGACCCAACCGTGGTAGGCTTCAAATCACCCGTCGTGGTCGCTATATTGGAGCGTGGTCAGCAAAACATAACAATCCTTACCAATGGATTCGGGTGGACTTCAGGAAACCTGTTAAGATATTGGCTGTCGCTACTCAGGGTCGGCAAGATCTCAGCCAATGGGTGACGCGATACTACCTGACCTACAGTTTTGATGGAATTAACTTTGTACCTTACTTGTGTCGGAAGGTAAATTATTGAAACTTCTTGTCCCTTACGGATGGTGGGTCTCAACAAAATTCTTCTTGATCGTCATTCCTTATCCATCCACACCTTAACATCAGTTTGCACTTTCTCCATACTGTTCTCCATACATTTCTTAAGGTGCTGACAAGGAGAATTTGTTTAACAATCAAGAGCTTCTTCAGTTGATGATCATTTCCTTTATTCTTTCAACCTTCATGTTTGATTCTGGGGTGATATTGTAAGGAGAAGTTAGACGCAAGTCACTCCTAGGATTAAAATAAAACCTAAATCACTGCTCTTGTTCGAGTTTTAGTCACTCATAGACGATTGTCTTGCAATGTAAAGAGTGCGTTTTGTTGTAATTGTATTTTTTACAAATAACACCTGCAACTTAATAATGACTAGAGGTTCATGTTTACTAGAGCAGACCTATTGTAACTGCTTTCTAGAAATCAAATCTGCCTTATGTAGATAATTTATTTGTAATAGTACTTCAGATCTAACATGTCTTCTGTTTTTTTCTTTTTTGCCAGATATTCCGTGCAAACAGAGACAGAAACACGATTGTAAGACGGCGGCTCTCTCCCGCAATCCGTGCGCGTTTTATCCGAATTCATCCAGTCAGTTGGAGAGGACACATTTCTCTAAGGGCCGAATTCTATGGACACAGAACCTGTAAGGATTTTAGCTCTAGTACATCTTTTAGTTAAGTAATATGCTACAATTCATATCGGTACACTGGCGAAGATTGTTGAAAAAATTTGAATCATTCGCACTCGCCGTACTTTTTGTACGCTTTTTCATAGGAAAATCTCATAACGGCGAGCCAGCGGTTTTTTTTATCTCGAAGAGGGGAGCGAAGGTAGAGAGTCTCTTGAGTTATTCCTTTAAAGCGTATGCGGTCTTTTTATATTTGCAGCTGCATCAAGACTTCCTCTCGGTGTGGCTGATAAGAGAATACGCGACAGTGCCATGAGCGCCTCAAGTTTCTGGGACCGTTATCACGCCGCTCTGCGTGGAAGACTTCATATATGCAGAGAGGGACACTTCCGTGGAGCTTGGTCAGCAAAGAAAAACATCAGAGGACAGTGGCTACAGGTTAGTCTTTGAAGTCTTGAAATGAAAAGTTGATAGAGCGCTTTTCGATTGCGTGTCGTGAGACTAAAGCCGAAAAATCACAACGTCCAATCAGAAGAAAGGAAAATATTTTTAAGAGCGCGGGGAAACGCGTCCTTGGTTTTAGTTTTGCATCTGATTGGTTGAGAGAATGGCGCGTGTTGTCTGGACCAATCACCAAGCGAAGTTCAGCAAAACCATTGTAATCTCACTTTACTTTCAATGCTCAATTAAAAGTTGCTCTAAGCATTTTACTTAAAACAATTAGACATACTCCGAACTGCGAGAACGACGCTAGAGCAGGACACGTCGCACTTGAAAATCCTTCTTATGTTCTGAATGTTAAGCTTCTCTAACATAACAAACTGGTTCTTTACAGGTTGACCTTGGTAAACGTGCAATGGTTGTGGCCATTGCGGTCCAGGGTCGCCAAGATTACGACCAGTGGGTAACAAGTTACTCAGTGAAATATGGCAACGATGGAGTAAGATTTACCAACTATGGCTCTGGACGAAGAGGGGTAAGATTACATCAAAGTTGCTTTGGTGTATTTAACCCTGCACACCCAAACATCAGTATGCATATTCTCCATACTGTTCTCTTTATATTGCCTGAGGTGCTGAAACGGAGAGTTTGATTAACAGTCAAAAGTTTCCCTAGTTGGTGATCATTTGCTTTATTCTCATGACCTTAATATTTGATTCACGGGTGAAACTGTAAGGAGAAAATTAGAAGCCAGTCTCTCTCGTTAAGGTTTAAGGATCTTTTTAACATAACTATGTTTTGTTTTCTCTACCACTCATTTATCAAAACATCAATGTGAAGGTTTTCCCTAGTCGATGGGTAAAATTATTGTACTTGCATGAAAAAGAAACACGGTATTTCTTTTCAGTTAAAAAAGTCCCTTTGTAAAACTGACCTCATTTTAGCTCATATAGGCAAAATTTTCAATTGGAACGTGCAACTGATTTCGATGAAAGTCTAAGTACAAAGCACTTTCGTTTAATGTTTGCGCTTTTTATTAGTTACACAAACTCCAACTGTTTTTCATGCATAATGATTTCATCTTCAGATCTTCCGCGGTAACAGAGACAGAAACACCGTGGTGAGAAATGCTCTTGTCCCTGCAATCAGAGCTCGGTATGTCCGTATTTATCCACTGTCCTGGCACGGACACATATCAATGAGGATGGAGTTGTACGGAAAATATCTGAGTAAGTTGGAATAACACATGAGATGATATGGAAGCCGTTTATGTACAAATCAGTAGGTCTGTGGTTCAATTGCTTATTTGAGATTCTCAATTTTTTACCTAAAAGGACCACTTCCAGTCGCTAAACCTCTTGGAATCTCCAACAACCGCCTCAACAACCGTTACATAACAGCATCTAGCATCTGGGACAAGTACCACGCCGCCTGGCTGGCACGGCTCTACAACAAGAAGCGTGGTCGCTACATCGGCGGATGGTCTTCCAAGGTCAACAGAAGAGGACAGTGGATACAGTTTGACTTGAGGCGGCCGAAGAAGATTGTGAAGGTCGCCACACAGGGAAGACAAGATCTCAATCAGTATGTGACGCGTTATATTATCAAATACAGCGCGGATGCCTTCCATTGGACGCCTTACAGGAAGTACAGTCGAGTGCAGGTATAGTAAAAACGTTTTTCTCTTGAAAGAACTATTTTTATTGTAATAAGAAACTAATCCAGATCTGGACGCATACAGTGGTTTACGGTTTTATTGCTGCTACTTCATTGTCCCATATGATAAAATTATTTAAGACCCTTAATGGAGTATAAGCTGAATTACTTACTAAATTTTTGTTCGATCATGTCAACAGGTGTTTATTGGAAACAAGGACCGCAATTCAGTCAAATCGAACGTTTTTGATCCGCCAATAAGAGCGAGATATGTTCGTATTTATCCACTTGCTTGGGTAGGACATATGTCTTTGAGAGCGGAGTTCTACGGACTCTCTCTGCGTAAGTATTGTACAGGCCTAGTGATTTTTCCCCCGGTTTGTTCCCACTGAAAAATGTTACTAAATTTCGCTGTATTTATTCTTTCCAACAGCTCGTACCGGTCTGGAGATAGGCTCAGAAGATGGCAAGATACCAAACAGAGCATTCACGGCCTCCAGTCAGTGGGACACTTACCACCGAGCTAATCGGGCCAGACTCAACTCTGTGGCTACCAAACGCTACCGAGGGGCGTGGTCTGCAAAGAAGAATAACAGACGTCAGTGGTTACAGATAAAACTGGGCCGAAAAACTAAAATAACTGGTGTGGTTACTCAAGGTAGACAGGATGCCAATCAGTGGGTGACTACTTACAGCCTCTCGAGCAGCTTGGATGGGCGCCGTTTCCGTCCATACCGAGAAAATGGCCGAGTTAAGGTATCGTTAAAAGTCGGATAAAATCCAAAGTCTGAATCAACCTACTGAATCTTTAAGTTTTAATTCATAAGGAAAACTCTGTCTGTTTCTATGTCTGTGTGTGTCTCTCACAACTTCTTAGTTTTTCATATACCCCGTCTATATCAAAGTTTACACTTGTGTCCAGGCTTATAGCAGTTCTTTTAATCGTGAAAATTTGTACTGTGATAATCGGAAATAACAGATGCTATCTATCAGAGCCACTGCAACGAATACTTTAAGTTCTGTATGAAGATAAGATTATAATGAATCTCCTGCAAAGAAGAAAGGAGCAAAGAACAAACTGTGGAGAAATACGAATAAACAAACGTATTTCCTGTATATTTTCCATTTTAGATTTTCCCAGGAAACGGAGATCGTAACAGTCAGGTGTCTCATAGGCTCCGCAGCCCTCTATACACAAAATTCATCCGATTTCATCCTATTACCTGGTATGGCCATATTTCCATGAGGATTGGGCTCTACGGACAGAGGAGTGGTAAGGAATCTGTTCAAAATTAGATGTTCGTTGGACTGAGTAGTCATCAGAGCTTGACTTGGTCAAGTACTCATTTGGGTTACTTTGCATTTTTGTGGTTGTCTTTATATTTCCCTCCTCTTCCACAGGTGTCAGAAGACCAGCTCCTAAGCCCCTAGGACTTCAAAACGGTCGAATCCGCAATAGTGCAATCTCAGCTTCGTCTCGGTGGAATAGGTACCATGCCGCCTGGTTAGCCAGGCTTAAACGGCCGAAGCGAGGGCGATATGCAGGGGCCTGGTGCGCTAAGGTAAACAACCATCAGCAGTGGTTGCAGGTGGACTTCAGAGTCCCAAAGAAGGTCGTTGCCGTGGCAACCCAAGGCAGACATGACTACAACCAATGGGTGACGCTGTACTATTTGCGGTTCAGTGTAGACGGTACTTATTTTGCTACATACCGCAAGAATGGAAAGAAAAAGGTTAGTCTTAGAATTAAACTAACCGAGGTTTGTGATGCAGCAGCTTGTGAGCGAAAAAAAATTGTGATTTCACAAAGCTGACTCTAATTCTTTTGTTTTGTTTCTGAGTTCCTTCGTACTGTTTCGCTCGAGTTTGAAGGAAATTTCTCGTTACTCCGATTATCAAATTATTATTTTTCTGTAGCTTGCAATTTTTGCGTGGCTGAACTTTAGACATTTTAAGTTCTCTTAATTTGACGCTCACTTCTCTTGTTCAATTTTAAGTATTTCAGAGGAAACCGAGACAGAAACACGATAGTAATGCACTCATTGAGGCCAGCGATAGTGGCGCGTAAAGTTCGCATTCATCCAGTTAGATGGGTTAATCACATCTCAATGAGGGTTGAATTCTATGGACGAACTGCAGGTATGATACATCTAAATCTAATCTGCACTATTCTTTTTTTTCGTACCAGTATTTAATGACATCCTTATTGCTCAAAATTAAAAGCAATTAGATTTCTAAACTTTAAAGTTACTTTACGTGCCAACTTGCTTCTCACCAGTGCCTACTCGGTTGGCTCTTGGAGTCGAGGACCGTCGAATCCCGGATGGAAGTCTCAGTGCTTCATCGAGCTGGGATAGGAACCATGGCCCTAAACGGGCACGCCTTAACATACCTCAACAGGGACGATTGAGAGGGGCGTGGTCTTCGCGTGCTAATAATCCCGCTCAGTGGCTATGTGTTGACATAACAAAACTAGCACGCGTGGCTGGGTTTGCTGTGCAAGGTCGACAGGACTACAGCCAATGGGTGACGAGTCTAAGGATATCATACAGCAGGAATGGAATTAATTTCCGATTTTACTCAGAAAGAAGGACTCCAAAGGTACATTTTCATCTGATGTGGTTTCAAATAATCGTAAAACACCCTTAGCAATTAATATTAAATTTAGTCAAACGTCTCACTTGTGCGTTTGCAGACAATGAATTTAGAAATTACAAAGTGGAAAATAGGACTACTTTTATGAGTTAGTTATGTCTTCCATTGTTTCGTTTACAGATTTTCCCTGGTGCCAAGGACAGAAACACCGTTGTGAAGAACTTTTTCAGGCGTTCAATCGTTGCACGTTTTGTTAGATTCCACCCAGTACGTTGGCATGGTCACATCTCTATGAGAGTCGAACTCTACGGATATCTCCTTGGTGAGCTTTCAGTCATTCAAATTTCTCATAACTTGTGATTCTCATTACTGACTTGCACGAGTTGTTCTAAATGTTAGTTCTTAGAGTTTGACACCTGATCTTATAGTATCTATTGTCATCATTTATCTTATGTGAAAATGATGAACAGTGATTGTTCTGAGAACGTGAAATTACGAAATATTGATCTGAATTGAATGTTAATTTTCACATTTCTTTGTTAAAATCAAATTATCGATCTTAGGTGATACAAAACACTCAAAGTCTAGAAACGTTCCGGAAAGTCTAAAGAGTACGAATGTGACAGTAGATTTCTTGGTCTGAGATATAATTGAACTTGCTCCGGACATTCTCTCTAAATAGTAGGACTATGACTTTGCTTCAATTTTTTTTTATCTTTTGATTCACTCTAGCTCGCGTGGCTCCCGTCAGACCCAGCGGTATTCCAAGTGGAAAGCGCGGAGCGCGCTACATCACCGCTTCTAGTTCTTGGGACAAATACCACGGGCCATGGAGGGCCAGGTTACATCAGCGTGTCACAGGACGATACAGAGGAGGTTGGTCGGCCAGAAAGAACAACCGCCGTCAGTTCATCCAGTATGATTTGAGGAGACCAAGTGACGTCATCAAAGTGTTGACTCAAGGAAGATATGATTACAAACAGTGGGTGACAAGCTTCTTTATTTCATACAGTCAAGATAAATATCGGTGGATACGGTACAAGAAATATGGAAGGGTTAAGGTAATTGCTGTGACACCTTTTTAATAAATGTTTTTTAACCAGAGTAGTTTTTATCGACTGTAGAAATAGTTTCCCTACCCGTGTTTATTTGCGCGAATTCAAGTTTTCTTTTTTCCTTTTTCTTTCTTTTTTTGCTGCTTGGTTCGACTGGAAATTCGCGTGGTTATTATTGGTACCATTTTTTCATACAACTGCATCTGAAATGTCGTTTGAAAGAATTTGTGAGCATTTTAAGAATCATTCTAGTCATGAAATATAATCCCCACCGCGAGTCGAACAATTAAATTTCTAATCCAAAGTAAAACTATCATTTTGATTTCATCATACTTCAGTCTCAATAACTCCCTCTTGCAATATCCAATGCGGAACCTGTTTCATTTTGAACTTCGCTGTTTATCATATACAAACATCATAGTCTCTTAGCATTTTGACTTGTGGCCGATTTCTGTAGAATTTCAGCCAATGGATGGTTTTGTTGTTTCATTTTCAGATTTTCCCAGGAAACAAAGACCAAAATACGATCAAGGAGAACGTATTTGTTCCGTCGTTCAGGGCGCGATACGTGCGTATCCACCCTTGGACATGGGTAGGACATGTCTCTATGAGAGCTGAGTTCTATGTCAGGAAAATCTGTGAGTATTTTAGTAAATTTAGGTTGGTTTAACTACCCGATTATGGTGTAAGTTAACTATCTTCTTATTGATAAAAGGTTCGTATCAAATACATTACTGAGTGAACTTCTCGAATCCCTGTTCGTGCCAATCTGTTCAGTTCTTAAAAAAATAAAAAAGTTTGTTAACTAGTTTTTAAGACCTGAGGTTTAAAGTTTTTCTCAAACTGCTGCAAACTAGGCCTTAGAATAAAAGAATAAGTAGGCGGAAACGTCTCATGGCGTCATGGGGGATTTCTTGACTCTTGGGATAAATACGTGTCAATAATTATTCTGCACAACTCTTGAAATTTGACTCATAACTTTTAGCTTGGAAAATGAAAAAAATTGTATGGAAAAAGTCTTGGAAAAGTCACAAAAATGTGTCGGAAGCTATGGAAAAATAAATAAGAAAGAGTAAAGATAGGGTGATTTTACTGCACAATCAGAACGGTTGTAAAACACTCTGTTTAGTCGCTCGGAAAATTTCAAAGTTGCTATAGATCCTTTTGGGATTTCCAGTACTCAAATATTATCACTTTCTAATGCAGCTCGTAACTCGGTGCCAGTTGGTGTCGAAGATGGTAAGATTCCCAATGGGTACATCACATCTTCCTCTACATTCAACCGTTACCACGCCCCATGGTTGGGTCGACTTAATAACAAAGCGCGAGGGCGAAATAAGGGAGCGTGGTCAGCAAAGAAGAATGACAAACGACAATGGCTGCAGTTTAATCTGGGTAAACCAACTTTGATTACGGCGATCAGGACACAGGGACGTCAGGATTATAACCAATGGGTCACAAGTTATAAGGTTTACTTTGGAAACGACGGAGTTCGGTTTATACCTTATAAGAAAGGAGGGCGCGTCAAGGTGAGTGTGTATAGAAGAAAGATAGTGGTAACGGGGATTTTTTGTTTGGGAATCAGCTATTCACGGCATTCTAAGTGAGCAATCAGAAGATTCTTTTTGGTGGAGCGCTTTTCGGAGTAGTGTAATAAATTGAGACAAAATTAGCGTGGTTGCTCACTGAGAGTGCTGTAAACTAATCACAACTGTTACTTAAAGCATGAGCCAATGAGAGCTCAAATCAAAGACAGATGAGCCAATGAACACGAGCCAATGAGAGCTCAAAGTAAAGACAGATAAATGGCCCAAAGTGCTGGAAAGCTCAAGTGATTATATGGAGACAGGTCTGAGCTTTGCTTCCTAATGTTTAAGTGATGACAGTTTGGCAAGGAAATTAAAGAGCGCAGTGAAGCAAAATCAAAGTAATACTAGTTTACTTTTAATAATTAATCGGAAGTAACTCCTTTATGCGCTTGCAACGACATCTCAGAGCAGTATTTAAGAACACACTGCTCAAAAAAAAAAGTGTATTCTCAATATTTTATCGGTTTTCCTAATATTTCAAAGTTTGTCCTTTTACTCTGTGTAAAGCTCAGACTTGCTGGAGCAAGACAACCAGTTTTAAACCACAAACTCTTTTCATTCGACTCCTCAGATATTCCGTGGCAACAGCGACAGGAACAGTATTGTAACACATCCGTTGCGTCCACCAATCCGCGCACGTTACATTAGAATTGTTGTAGTCTCGTGGTACGGGCATATCTCAATGAGAGTTGGCTTCTATGGTCGCCGACCTGGTGAGTAGTTTAGGATGCTTTGATTAGAAGAGTTTACTTTCAAATGCGAAATACACTTTTAGAATTTCTTACTCATCTCTCGAGTTACTACGAGTTGCTTGGTACATCGACTAAGTCATTATCATTCAACGGGGAAGTTTGTGTTATGGTAAAGAAATCAACCAAGATAGGCAATCGCCAAATAAGCAGGAATAAATCAAAGCTGCACGTAGATTGTTAAGTTTACAAAGGATTAAAATGGTTGCAGTTGAAGAACTTGAAAAAAAAGCTAGGTACATTTTTTTGGTCACACAAATTATGACGTGTATCCTATAAAATCTAAAATCGTTCGTCTTTAAAAGTTGTTAATTATCCCTCAGGAATCATAAGGCCTCGTCTGCAAGCTCTTGGAATGCAAAGCGGTCGTATCAGAAATAACGCTGTGAGTGCCTCGTCAATATGGGACAGGTATCATGCTGCCTGGAGAGCGAGGCTTTATATCAAGAGACAAGGAAGGTAAATATCACTGTCGTGTTCTTACACTCAGGTCAAATATCAGTGAAACAGGACGTATTTTATTATTTATTATCTATTATTCCTAACATCGTAAGGCGTATTACAAATGGCGCAATATGAGGATTCAGGATTTCTAGGCTAAATTTTACAGTGTTGTCCTGACTTGTGACCACCTCTGTAGGTGAGGATTGGGGGGGGGGGGGAGGGGTAGAACAGGGAGCTTTCGAAATCCAGAGCTATGTTTTGATACACAGGGTAAAATTATAGTGTTTCATTGACTTAATCCACCTCCGTAAATGAGCCGGAAAACAGGAGGCTCGAGAAATCCGAGGGTACTTTTAGATATACAGGGTAGCATTACAAACATTGGCTGATTTAAGTCAATAGTCAGAAATGCAGTTTCTGGAAATAGTCCCTGAGAAAATATTCGAAGTTAACTTCTTGGAAATGTTGTCCACATTTTCTTCAATCCCAAAAAATTAATAAGTGTTGCGTTCTCAAAAATTTTACCGATCTGACGATTTCTTTCAAAAATTCGTGTCACAGCTTCCGAGGGGCGTGGTCCTCACGTGTTAATGACCGCTACCAGTGGTTACAGGTGTCGTTCAGGTACCCCAAGAAAATCGTGGCTATTGCGACTCAGGGCAGACAGGACTGGAACCAATGGGTGATCAGTTATCGACTGACATACAGCATGGACAAGATCCACTACGTGTACTACAAACAACTTGGTGTCACTAAGGTTTGTTATAGATCGGTGTCCGTAAATCGCTGGTTTAGTCTCTATAAGGAGTATAGCTTACCTAGGCGGGTTTGAAGTATTTACCCTTAACACTCTAACATCAGTATGCATATTCTCCATACTGTTCTCTATACATTTCCTAAGGTGCTGACAAGGAGAATTTGTTTAACAATCCACAGCTTCTTTAGATGGTGGTCATTATTCTTTTTTATTCTCATGACCTTAGTGATTGATTCAGGGGTGATATCGTGTGGAGATATTAGCCGCTCGTCGAAGACGAACGAAGAAAAAGTGTAGAGGAAAATGGGTCATGTGTTCCATTTTTAACCCTTAAAACCGTAAGAGTGACAAGCAACTAATTTTTCGTTACTAATCACACCTGAATCAAACATTTAGGTCACGAAAATGAAAGAAATGATCACCAACTAAAGACGCTCTTGATTGTTGAACAAATTATGTTTGTCAGTAGAATAGGAAATGTCAAGAGAACAGTGTGGAGAATATGGATACTGATATGAGGGTGTTAAGGGTTTACTCAAAATTCACATCTCTCCTTGCTTCTCTGAACTAAACCAAAGTACATTTGTGAGAAGGTTAACACTCCAATGGAAGATTGACGTCTTGGATTTCCCTTAAAAAGGAAGAATAAATAAAGACTTCTGGATTACTGTTAAATGAGCCAAGGTTATACTTTATATCTGACATAAGTTTATCATGAGTTAGCTTGAACAAAAGCTTTTTTACCGATCCACTATGTACATTTACAGCTGTTCCGGGCCAACAGAGACAGAAACTCAGTTGTTCGCCATTATCTTCAACCCGCCATACGAGCGACATCTCTTCGTGTTAGACCAGCCAGGTGGCGCGGACATATCTCCATGAGAATAGAGTTGTATGGTCGCAATGCTGGTGAGAAATAGAATAATGGCAGTTATCAGTTGAAATAATATCTAAGACTACCAGTGATTGAGTCTCAGATGTTATATTTTCCGACGTGAAGAACGTCGCGAAAGCTTATCATGTTTACAATTTATTTGTTACTTCCAAACCCAGAAAATCGTTTCTCTTTTCACGCTCTTTCCACGCTCTTTCCACGCTCTTTCCACGTTATTTCCACGCTCTTTCCAAGCTGTTTCCGCCCGCTTTCCGCGTTCTCTCCGCGCTCTTTCCACTCCTTAAAAGTAATGTTTTCAAAAAGTATTCTCAACTCGCATCCGGCCATCTGACTGCGTGCTACCGTGACAAGTGAAGAACAGAAATCAACTAGAGAGAAATACCTTCTGATTAGTAGAAAAGCTACTGTGATATGAGTGTCAATCACAGCAGACAATAAACTCAAGAAATAATTCGTTTCGAATGATGGAATTTTATAGACCCAGAAAAAAAACAAGCCCTAATTGAGTCTTGTGTAACTTTTCAATATTTCAGTCAAAAATAGGCTTCCCCTTGGAGTTGAAGACCGCCGTATCCCAGATAGCGCCCTGAGTTCATCTTCACGATGGGATGGGTACCACGGGCCGCACCAGTGCCGCCTGAATACTCAGAGGAGGGGCAGATACAGAGGTGCCTGGTCAGCGCGTGCTAACAACCGTCATCAGTGGCTGCAGATCGATGTTGGCTGCCAAGCGGTGGTGTACGGAATAGCGACCCAGGGAAGGCAAGATCTGGGACAGTGGGTGAAGACCTACAGAGTCATGTCTAGTCGGGATGGCGTTCGCTGGCGATGGTACCGAGTGCGGAGAAGAGCTGTGGTGAGTATTCGTCAGAAAGGAGAAAAGGTATTTTCCCGAGAACTCCCTCTCCTTTTACTGCCTCATCGATCGATAAACCTTATACTTTCTTTTTTCAGTTATTGACTGGTAACCGCGATAGGAATACTATTGTAAGGCACAGATTTGCGCGGCCTCGTAGAGCGCGCTACGTCCGTGTGGTACCATACACGTGGCATAGGCACATCTCCATGAGAGTCGAGCTCTACGGACGTCGCCTTGGTAAGAGCTCTTTTATTTTGTTATCAAGACAGGCACGCATAAGGCTCCCACTGTATATCTGTTAGAGACAAGATATTCTGGAATCGACTACATCAATAGTGCTTTTTTCTAAGTCCACAGGCAAGCTGCGCTTGATATAGCATCAACGCGACTTTCATAGTCTGAAACTTAGGTGAAGCCATAAGCACATATTTCTGTAGTCCTGTAATTTAACCAACTGGTCTAGTTTGAGGTTAGACTACTCTCAAAACAAATTATCTTTTACGATAATGCTGACAGTCATCATTGTTTTGTGTTATAGCTCGTAAACCGGTCGTGAAGGCCTTAGGAGTCTCCAAGGGACGGCTGGGAAATCAATACGTTAAGGCGTCGAGTGAGTGGGATCGTTATCACGCCGCGTATCTCGCGCGACTGAACCTGAAACCAAGAGGACGATTCAAGGGAGGATGGTCCGCCAAGAAGAATAACAGGAAACAATGGATCCAGTTTGATTTTAAACGGCCTGTTTTTATTTCCAAGATTGCCACGCAAGGCAGAAGTGATGCAAATCAGTACGTAACCAGCTTCGCTGTGGCTTACAGCCCTGATGGATATCGATGGACGCCGTTCAAGATCAATGGAAGACTTAAGGTAATGTCACATAAAGTACACTGAAAATGGGGTGGACTGAAAAAATACGGACATACGAACAGACTGTCAGTTAGACAGTCGGAAAAAGAGATACATAGTCGGTCAGACAGTCAAGTAGACGGTAAGACAATCCGAAAGTTAGTAAAACAGTCACTCAGTTAAACAGTCAGTCAGTTAGACATTCAGTCAGACAGACAGACAGTCACCCAATTGGTCAGACACTCAAACAATTAGATAGGTAGTCACAAAGACAGTTACTCAGTCAGACGGCCGGCAGGTCAGACAGTCACATAGTCAGATGGTCAGACAGACAGTTAAACAAACGTACTGTCAGATGCTCTGACAGACAGTCAGGCAATCAAACAGTCGAATAGTCAGACAATCAGACAGACAGACAGACTTAGCTTCTAAAGTAGTACTTGATCTTCCCAAATGCAGAGATGTCATTCCTCGGACATTTAACCTTATAACTCCCTGGATCAATTTCATAATTCCCTCCGCCAGCTGCGTTATATTCCTATACAAAAAATAAGGAGGAAGTGTAGTTTTGTATCGACATCGTTCAAGATTGTCCTTTCTGATCACGTGTTTGTTGGAAAAAGTTGTAATTTGAGAAGCTACACGTGTTAATATGTAGCCTCTACATGCGATTAAAAACTCATCTGGGAGTTAAAGACGTAGAAGGTCCCGAAGACCAAAACAATGCGGACACAAATGAGTAACCCGTGTTTACTTTCCTTTATTTAGGTTTTCCGAGGGAACCGCGATCATTACTCTATCAAAGAAAACAGTTTTGACCCGCCCTTCCGATCCAGGTTCATCCGTGTGTACGCGCGTACCTGGGTTAACCACATCTCCATGAGAATCGAATTCTATGGTGGAAAAGCTTGTAAGTATTATCATGCGTAAAGTTACGTTTTCTTGGCCAATCATTTTAATGAGTTTTCGGCGCCAAGTAATTGGAAAACCAACTGAGTGGTGATTTTTTTGGCAGTGCGTTTTTGCTGTATTGAGTGGCTCAAACATTAAAGGTTAAAATTTATTTTAGACCAAGACAGATTTTTCTATGGTTTCGTCTTATTAAAGAAGCCGGCACTTCAGAAACAAGTAGGCGACGAAAATGGCGGCCACCGTCTTGGTTTGAGCCTTGACAGTAAATACTGACTTAAGTGAAGACTGGGCGTGACCAACTGTGTTTTTTTCCACAGCGAGAAGAGATCTGCCTTTGGGTATTGAGGACCATAAGATCCAAGATCGTTACATAACGGCGTCCACCGAGTGGAACAGATATCACGGTGCACGCTTTGGACGATTGAACACTGTGGCACACGGCAAGAACAAGGGGGCGTGGTCTGCAAAGAGGAACAACAGACGCCAGTGGATAATGGTTAGTTTCACCAAACCCGTCTCAGTTGGCTCTTAAATGACATTTTATATCGTTGACATATCGTTTTATGTTTTATATCGTTGACTTACGCAGAGGAGAAGATTTAAAGTGCTGTCTAACCCTTAAAACCCTAGGAGTGATTTGCATTCAATTTCTCCCTACAGTATCAGGGTTGAATCAAACAGTTAAGTCATGAGAATGTAGGAAATGACTTCCACTCTTGGGAAACTCTTGATTTTTAAACAAATTCTCCTTATCAATATCATAGGAATTGCATAGAAAAATGTGTGGAGATTGTGCATACTGATGCTAGGATGTGAAGGGTTAAGACACTAGGCATTTGTATGATAGTTTTTGTTCCCTAATGATAACTCGATAAAATAAGTAAAAATTTTGTGATTTCATGTAAAAGAATTACAAAGCTTTTCGTTGGTGAGAGCTGCTCAGCCAGAGCTATCTGTTGATGGATAATTCATATATTGACAAGAACTTTACGGAAACAAAAGTTAACTGCCAAATTTTATATTCTCTTCTAAATGTTATCACTGAACACTCTCTCTCATCTGAACACAGAGTGGCAACTAATGATCAGCCCTATGAGGCAGTTTTCTCATGGCTTTTTTCTTCGTCTTCTAAGGTGGACCTCAAAAAGCTCACTATTGTCAAGCGAATCCTAACACAGGGTCGACAAGATTTGAACCAATGGGTGACAAGTTATATAGTTACCTACAGCCGAAATGGAAACACCTTCCGACCTTACACGAGGCGTAGACGAATAAAGGTATGTCCTCTTACATGAGTAAAAGAAATTAAAAGAAATGGCACCTAGACAAATTGGATTTCTGATGATGAAAACTGTCATCTTATACCCTCTTTATTTAACGATAGAAGAGGCCGATCGCTAGGTACAAACTCTGCCATGTTGTTAAAATTTTTTCGGTGGAACGTCCTACTTAGTAAGTCTAAGCTTTAGTGATTTGCCTTGCTTTGTTTTGGATGTGCTAGAGCGTCATTTGCCATCCAGTGCTACGACATCATAAATTTTTGGAAAACAAAGAGGCAACCAATGTAAAATTAAAAAAAAGGCCTCGAAAGATGTCCTACCTTAGCTATTAACCACTACCGACAGCATTAAATCTTCCCACTTTCAGTACTCAATCTCATTACACACATAGTCCAAAACAATAAAAAATGTCGTATTATCAATATTTTCTTTTCCCCCAGGTCTTCCCGGCCAACAATGACCGGAACAGCATAGTGGCGCATGTTCTAACGCCTCATATCTACGCACGATATGTGAAAATCAAACCTCGCACATGGTTCAGGCATATTTCCATGAGATTTGAGCTTTACGGAGAGAGAAGACGTGAGTTTATTCAGCCAATGTTGCTTTGTGATAAAATTCATTTTCATTGCTACCGTCTCATATTAACCTCTTCTCAAAATAAATCCTTTCTTTCGAGGCAAAAGATAAGTTCTAACTTGACGTATGTTGTTTCGTTTAATTTCCAGCTGAGAAAAGACGACCAGTTGTGAAACCCACCAAACGACCCAGACTCCCGCCCAGGCCTCCCATCAGACCACCCATCCGTCCGCCAATCAAACCACTAGGTAAGTTTCATGCAACTCAAAGAAGTGGCGCTCTCTGCTTCTCTTAAACCTTATACCATGCTAGTTTGTCGTTTGCGATATTTCTTAATCGTCTTCATTCTTCAACATTTAATATGTCATTTTTTGGTTTATTTTTGCCTTTTCGGTGAGGAAAAATTTGTTCAAGGTAAACGACTCAAAGGCAGCGGGCCCATCCGTAAAACATCCTCGTGACCCTTCCCACTCTAAAATTAGTATACATATTCTCTATACTGTTCTGTATACCTTTCCTATAGTGCTGACAAAGAGAATTTGTTTCGCAATCAAGAGCTTCTTTATTTGGTGATCATTTCCTTTCTTCTCGTGACCTTAAATGTGATTCAGGCGTGATACTGTGAAGAGTCACTATCGGGAATCAAAGGGTTAATTTTCTGATACACACTGTTCTAAAAGGGTTAAAAAGAAAGTTAGGCTTGGCGTATAGCAAGGCAGAAATCCTTTAACAGCGGTTAGGTATTGGATTGAAATCTCAAAACAAAATTTAAAGCATGTTATGCGAGATCAAAGATAGGGACTTAGTCGATGTTGTACATCAGACTGTCGTTTTTTGACGTACTTGTTTTTTTATCGTACCCAGCCCCTACCAAGACCTGCCCGGTCACGTTGGATCTTGCCTTTGTGGTGGACGCGTCGAATGAAGTTTCCCGTGCTAACTTCCAGCTGGAGAAGGCGTTTGTCAAGGCTGTGTCCAGCAAATTCACCATCACTAAGCACCAGTCTCACATCGGTCTCATCACATACGCCAACCTGCCTTCACTGAGAATGAGGTTCAGACAGTTCAACTCCTTATTTGGTATGTCTTACTCTTGATACTCTGTATGTGAATAAATTCAAGTTGTAACTTGCATTTTTGTGGGTCTCTTCATAACTTCACCAATTTTGAAAATGTTTCGCGCTTTCCTTCAGAAAGATTCGGTGTTCACCGCACGAAGTTACCTCATTATGTAGACATCATTTTGATCTGGAATCAGGCAGTTATTTTTCTGAAGGTGTATTAAACACGATATTATGATTTCTCCCACAGTTTGCCTTTTTTTTTTTGACACTGATAAAAATATGTTTGCTTATAAGTGGACATTCTGCATACTTAATCAGTTTGTCTTTCCCTTTTGTTTGCTTGACTTCTCACTTGTTAAACATTCTTATTTAGGCCCTCACTTCAGAAAGGGTTGTTTAAAAGACAGAGAATTAGCCTAAATTCTATACATTAAATTTTCTTCACCTCACACGTTCGCTTACAATGAATTCATTTTCCTTCCCACAGCCGTCCGACGTGCAGTTGATCAAGCGCCACACATTAACCGAGGAGGGAAACGTTTAGATCTGGCGTTACAAGCCGCGTATGACACTTTTTATGCTCACGAACCAACTTATATCCAGCGTGTTTTGGTTGTAATCACAGGCGGTCCACCGAGTCGCCGTCACGCATACGCAGTCAAGCGCATGGCCTCGAGGTTCGTACGAAAGGGCGTCCAGGTTTACGCGATCGGCATTGGCCGTGCGTACCGAGGCGAACTGAGGAGTATCGCATACAAGCGCAAGCACGTGTACTACATGAAAACCTTTGGATCACTTCTGGCCAGGGCCAATCAGATTGCGAGTACCATCTGCAATGAACAGGTGAGGAACTTAATTTAAAGTTCAGTATATTAAAGCTTCTACATGCTCTCCTGGAAACTGAGCAAAAATTAACTCGAAGGCAGATTGTAGAAAATTGATTTTCGATGTCTAAGGCTTCCTGATCAATCTCGGCCAAATGCCCGTTTACTTACAAACCGCGCGTGTAATACTGACAACTGTTTACGAGCTGGTGTAAACACTTGAACTGAATATAACACCTCTCTCCTTCAAAAAATAAAGGGAATACCACAGCCCATGGGTAAATCCCATAATTAAAAGTCAAGATTGTGAGTAACACCAAGCTCCTAGAAAAATAATGTGCGCAAAGTGATGCTTTTCTATTGTTGCAAATGTGATTAACTCGATATTTCAACTGCATCAAATGAACCAACAGAAACAAACATAATCAAGTTCTAAAATAAGAAACCAGTTGGAAACGTATCTTTTTGCGTAATCGTTTCTTGTTGTCCTTCAGTTGCATTCTAAAATCGTAGTAATAGTTTCGTAATAATAGTTTCTAAAGAATTAAAATTACGAACTTAATCGAATCTTGGATGATTTTTTTAGTCGTCTTCAATTTTTCCAATAGTTTAAGGCCCGACTGAAAATAACTTTACCCATTATTTTTTACGTAGCGTCTTAACCACAGTGAAAAAATTCCTCTTGCGATGAAACCTTCAAAATAACGACAAACATAAAATTATTTTTTTTCTTCTCCATAACAGTCCAAAGAAGTGGACATCCATAAACGAGCTGAACTTCTCAAGCCTCTGATTCAAAAAGAAGAGAATGAAACCAAGGAGACTCAATCATAATATTTAAAGTTAAAAATAACTTATCGTTTAATCCTAAATGAAACAGATACTCTTAGATTTTCCTGAGAAATATACAAACTTACATCACACTAAGACTGATTAAAATATTGAACCACGTTGTAGTGTCGTTAACTCAAAGCAAAATAAAGGTTATTTGACCAAAACATTTTTGTGGTGTCAGTACAGTTGTAAATCTTTACTTTGTAATGACTTCAGTCTTAGTTATTAACAAAACGATAAGGCTATCATTCACTGAATTACTGGAGACTGGATTTCTGATGGTGTTGAAACTTTACTGAGAATCTTTAACCAGTGAATCTATACAAGTTTGAAATACTTTTCCAACATGCAGAGTTTACTGCAATGAATACAGAAGTCTTGTTTGTAAGAGCTTACATTTATCCTGTTTTCTATAACTTATTTACAACTAAAGAGTATACAAATAACAGTAAAGGAAATCTTCTTAGAACTTTAAAATTAATGTTTAAATAATACTAGCTGAGTTATCGCGTGTAGTTTGTGCTCAGATATCCTTTCACTGAACTTCAAAGGAACTGATTTAACATCTAACAGTCTCGACTAAAACTCTCGAAGTTTTCGAGAACGAGTTTTTGGGTTTCGAGTTTCAGTGTTCAACTTTCGTGTTTTCCAATAATCAGGAATCGAGTCTCGAAACGCTCAAGAAGTCTTCCGAAGAAACGGTTTAAATCTTGAAGCAGAAAGACAGCGCTAAACAATTGCAAAGCGCTCAACACGGCGTGCTTTGGCGCGCGGCCTTGCACGCCTCTTTGTTTGTAGTCTATGAAGTGCTGTGCGGGCTTCTTCGCGCATACTGTTATTTTACATTTAATCTTTCCCTTGGTTAAGACGTGCATAGCTATAACCAACGTTGTTCTTGACGACCACGTGTTGCGCAGCTCTGGAAATTATCAACTGTTCCAGCTCTCGTTTTCCGCCATGTTGGATTTCTACATCGGCAAGATCCTGGGAACGAGATTAAGCGAAGTTTCAGGTGTAACTTAAGTCGGCCATTTTGCACGTGTTCCTGAAAAATTGTCTTCAAGAAATTGGAAGGATTGGTTATCCTTATTTCCCAGTAGTTTTGCTTCTGTGTAAGTCATCAGAAGCAGACCCGTCGTTGTTCTTGTTTTTAGAGCATTGGTTTTATGTGTTTTTGTGGTTTGCAAGCGTCCATGCTGGGATCAGAATGACATGCAAAGCAGACATCTTTGTATGAAGGTAAGCTTGTGATTTTACGTTTACTGTGATATTTCTGCTAAACTTGTAGTAACTGCAGAATACCTAGAAAAAAGCTTTCAAAGTATATTATTATGAATATTTTTAAATATTCATTCTAAAAGGACATTTTACCTTCAGTTGTTAAGCTAACATTTTCTACTATGATGTAATTCAATAGGAAAGTTTAGAAACTATATTTCAATTGTAAATAATTCAAGAGTTTGTTGACTGCCTGGATTTTTGGCTAGTCGTCACTTGGTAAATTGCAACAAAAATAAGGGAAAAGTGCTAACTGTGAGGTGCCATCTTTGAGCCTCCACACTTGAAATTTAAGCCAGCACTCAAATTTTGTAGCTACAATCCTATACTATATGATAAAAAATGTCACTATAGTCACTTGACTTATAGTCACTGACAAAGTGACTAGCAGACTTGCATGGGATCAAGGTTACTATATACTGTATTTCTTCACCTATAAGTAGATCTCAGTTATAAGCCGCGACCCTAAAAGTTAGAGACCTTCCAACAGACTTGCGTTGTCCAAGAGAAAAAGCAAAACCATCATGATAAGCCCAGAGCAAAATTCTTGATTGTAACAGGCCATTTGAGTGAGCGAACCTAATGGAAAAAATTGGGAAATGGCTCAATGAGCACAACAGCTAATGAAATATACACAAAAGAAAAAAAAGAGCGCTGCAGTCACAGAATTTATGGTCATTTTGCATTAACGGTAAATTTGTACTTTTTTTTTAAATCCCAAACCCTCAGCTATAAGCCGAACCCCGTTTCTTGTGAAAAAATCTCTCAAACGTTTGTGTCAAATACTGAAAAAATCACTTGGCTTATAGGTGAAGAATACAGTACCTTTAGATCAACCAACTGTTTCAAATTTGGATTTCAAGGTCAAAAGATGGCTTGAGGAAAGAAAAAATTGTGTAAAGAGTAAATATTTGTTGGGAGTGAAAATAAAAGTTTGTTTCTTAATTGACAAATGTTGCACATTAAGTAAGAGGTTTTTCATGGGAGTACTTGGCGCATTGGTAGTAGTGGTGGTCCAAATATTGAATTAATGTACTTGTAAGAAGAACTAAGCCTCACTCCTATTTGGCGTAACACTTATCAGTAGGAATATATCTTATTTTCTCCAGGTCAGATGTCTGATGGGTGAACAAATGGACCAAGCTTCAAGCAGACCTCTTTCAAGATGTTAGTTTTCCTTTGCAATCCAGCTGTTGATTGAACCAGGTAGACAAGTTCTTTAATAAGCCAAGTTTTGTTTTAATTCCAAGGTAGCAAATGTGTGATGCCGCTGATTTAGTTCATGTAGCATCAGTGCATGTGGGACATAAACTTGAAATCTACCCCAGACATGTAGTGTATCAATGTTCTGTGGATCAAGGTTGATTTCCATGTCACTTTTCATTGTCTGTTGTCACAGTTGACTGTCTGATTTGTAATTTTGGAAAGAAACAAGTCACCAGATACATAAATTAGCATGTATCTGGGAAAGAAAATTGATACAAGAAAGCATGAAGCTGTGTGGGGAATTGTTAAGTTCCAGAAAGTGAAATTCCAAAGTGAAGTCTTGCCAAATTGCCATAGTTCTTATCACCACTGGATGAGCTTGGAAGCTGATGCTGGGTAGCAATTCTATTAGAGAAGACAACCCACAACTGAAGTATCTTTATCAAAAAACACAGCATCTGGCTAATCTTGTGACAGACAGGCAGAATGATTGACTTGTACCTGTCTGGTTGACTTTCTGTCTGACTGATTGTGACTGACTGACTATTGGATGGTGAACTACAGTACCTACATGTAACTAAGAGACTGACTGGCTGACTTACTGTGTATTAGGCTGACTGATAAACTGTCAGACTGACTAGCTGATCAACTGATTGATCCACCAACTGATTGACTGGCTGACTAGCAGACAGACTGACTGACTGACCAATTGATTGACCAACTGGCTTGATGTTTGACTGTCTCAGTGACTGGCTGCATGATAATGCAACAGACAAACTGTTAAGCTGACAACAACTTACTACCTGGCTGATAGACTGATAGACTGACTGACAGACTGACAGACTGACTGACTGACTGACTGACTGACTGACTGACTGACCGACTGGCCAGCTGTCTGCTTGACTGACTGACAATCAGCCTTTAGACTGGCTAACAGAAAGCAATGGGGATTGACTGACTGACAACTGACTGGGTGATTGACTGGCACACAAAATGACTGACTGACTGATGGATAGTCATGAAGGCTGACAGGCAACCATTTAGTTATACAAAGTCACCCTGCAGGAGAGTCAATGGCTTTTCTGATTGTTTGATGTATAATACAAATTCATATACAAAACAACAATAGAGAATATTGTTGTCAAGCCTGTGCCATGCAAATAGGCATGGTGGCACAGCATGAAATAAGAGTTTTATCTGTTCATACTTCAATCAGTCAATTGTGGCAAAATAAATGAAAAGTGGCAACAGTCAATTACCTACCAGGATCCACTCAAATGAATATTCATTCAATAATAAAATGAATATTTTATTATTATCACCTCAAAGTGACTGACATACTGTACATTCACTTGTTTGTATTATGACTGCATACCTAACTCAATTGGTACGTGGTTGCCACAGGTCAGCTAATGATCCAGAAAAAATCCTTAAATGCCTCAGGAATTCCAGAAAGTTTATTTGGAGAGAAGAAAAATTTAAAATTTGAAGAAAAGTCCTAGAATGTCTAAATTACAGCATCATGATGCTACCATTTCCTGTCATAAAGTGGACTTAGGCCATTTTTATTCATGATTTGGGAAAAACAAACTAATACAGAAGAAATGGTTGTTACGAGAACCTGGAGGCTGTTTCTTACGTACAGTATCTAACATTCTGCATAATTTGGTCTGCACAACTTTCTTTTGATCAAGGAATTTGTTAAAGGAAGTTACAAACTTTAGTCTGTGGCAACCACATTCAATCTGACTGGAAAACTTTAAATAATGGACTAACTTATGAACAGACCAACTGACTGACTGATAGACTTTCTGGCTGACTGACTACATATAAGTGACTGACTGACTCACTGATAAACTAACTGATTGACTGATTGTTTGAATGACTAACAGAATGGCTGATTGACTGAATGACACACTGACTGACTGACCAACTGATAGACTGACTGACTAATCAATGGACCAACTGATAGACTGACTGACTGTTTGAATGACTAATTAAATGACTGATTAACTGACTGATTGAATGACTGATTGACAGAATGGCAAACTGACTGATTGACTGATTGATTAGCTGACTGACTGATTGACTGAATGATGGACTGACTGACTGGCTGAATTACTGATAGCCTGACTGAATGAATGACTGACTGACTGACTGAATGACCAACTGACTGACTGACTGACTGACTGGCTGATTGACTGAAATGACTCACTGACTGACTTAAATAACTGATTACTTGACTGAATGATTGACAATTGACTGACTGAATGACTTATTGATTGACTGACTGACAGACTGATTGATTGATTGATTGACTGACCGATTGACTGACACTTACTGATTGATTGACTGACAGACATACAGACTGTCAAACTGACAGGCTCATCAAGTCACAGACCGAATGAGTGATATTGAATCAAATGTCTTACTGACTGATGGACTGACTACGGGTCTTTCGTACCAATACATAGGTCTACCTAATAAACTAATAAATTAATGACTTGACTATTGACTGACTGTCTGATTGATGTCTGTCCAACCATCTGGGATTAGCTGATGACTGATTGGCAAACTAATTTACAAACTGATTTTCAACAAGATAGCTTTAGCAGCACAAAACATTCATGGTGCTGTTTGAAGGTTTGTGATGCCAAAGA